CAACGAATGTGTCTTTAGTGATAACACCACCATTGGCACGGCGTCCAAAGACTGGGGTGGCAAAGCTAAACTGCTGGTGGGTGTATGTCAAGGCACCACGAGATTGCAGCTCAAGATCGGCACCTTCGACGGCTTCGCCCTTAATAGCACCCAAGACAAGGCTGGGACGAGCCTTGGGGTGGATATGGCCATCGACGGAGAGACCCCAGAGCTGGTTCTTGCGGTAGCTCTTAAAGAATTTTTCCGACCACTGGATAACCTTGCTATTCTTGGAGATAGATCCACCGGCAATATCAATTACATAGTCGGTTTCAAGGTTTGCAAGGCATCCATCATCACGGTACTGCCATAATTGGCGGCGGAAAATGGCGGAATCGATCTTAGCAAGGACAATCTTGGCACCCTTGGAACGGTTGATAGTAGTAACTACAAGGGAACTGTCCTGCTTAGAGCGAATGTAGAACCAACCACGGGGGAAAAGACCATAGCTGATGGTAACCAACTTCTTGTCGGCGCTGACACGCTCCTTCTCGGTGCGCATAGTGAGGACAATTCTTTCCTTGCTAATCAAGGTAATGATTTCACGCTTGTGCTGTTCACTGTATGAGGTGGTGTACTTGCCATAGAACATTCTCCAGGAGTAATGTTCAGTTGTTGTGGAAGTGGTTAGCTGGACAATCCAGTGGTCACCTTGTTGGACAAGGCCAAAACCAAGAGCGGGATGGGACTCAGATGCGATTGAGCCGTCGGTCTTGACTACCCACATCTGACGCTCGTCAACAGTGGCCTCGTTTATGACAAGCTTGCTACGAAGCTGCAACTGACTGCCATTAACCAAGTTGTCTAAAAAATAATAAAAGTGTTTGTGAGTAAAAGTAGATGATATGATTTTCCCGGTATCTCGGACTTACCAGTAGCATGCAACACAAGACCGGTGGACTTGTGGACGAGATATCCATCAGTAAATGTCCACTGGAAACGGGCACAATCAATGGTCTCGAGTTTGCGAACAACTACGCTGGCAAATGCTTCCTCCTTAGAAGGAACAAGGGCCATTCCATCCTCGTTGCCGATAATGAAAGACTCGGATGGCCAGTGGGCGACATGGGGAATAGCGCGCTGGACAGTCTTTGAGGTCATGCGCCATTCCTTGAGTTCGGCAATAGACCACTTGATAATAGTCTGTACACCAGAGCGTGTCTCAAACTTTGGCAAAAGCAGACCCCATCGCTGGGTGGATGTTACGCTGCTGTAATCAGCCAACTCGATTGAGAGAGGGCCGTTGTCCTTGGCCACGGGTACAAGAGCAAACGAGGAGTTGCTACCATGGATCAAATAACCCTCGCTAGAGAGGTACCAACGCTGAGTGAGTGAGTGGGTCGAACGCTTAGACTGCTGAGCCTGGACAGTAGTGCGAATAGCTATAGACAACTCAGACAAATTAGTGATACAGTATACACATACACATGTACAGACTTGAGACAACATACCGCTGACATCGAGAGCAAACTGGGTGGTGAAGTTCACCAAAACACCGTTGGAGTAGGTCCACAGCTGAGGACCCCATTGAGTTCCGTTGATTTCGGTCAAGAAAAGAGAAGTGCTGTTCTTGTCAGCGGTCAAAACCAAAGGTTTCTCGGCAGTTGATGCAGCAGAGAAAGAACGGATGAAGAACCAGCCGGAAGGATACTGAGTGTATGTGTGAGTGATGGTCTTCTTGATAGGCGCTGCAACAGCGACTATAAAATACAAAATATGTTAAGCAATTGCTGGTACGAGTTTAAACATTAACAAACGCATTCTTACCCTCTCTCTTTTTAAAGACAGGCAAGACGAAGTTCCATCGCTGGACCGCGCTGTTATTCTCGGAACGGCGGGCCATAAACAGCTTAGACTGTTTGTCAGTATCCTCTTCGACGGAGATGACAAGAGACTTGTCAGCAATGGAGTGAATGGTGCCATCAATGCCAAGAGCCCAGTTCTGGTTGGCGGCATCCTTCTTCTTTGCTTTGAATTGGCAAAGGGTTGAGCCAACTTCTACGCAACCTATATTATATTTATTGGTTTAGGAAAAAAAAGTAGCTCGTGAATCTAAAGGTAGAAATACTATATATATCTAAGTTAAAATACATACCTCCTTTAACATCGAGGACCAGGTTGGAGGCCTTGTTAACCAAGTTTCCATCTTTGTATTTCCAAAGCTGACGGCTGTGGTTGGACATATCAAGCTTGACAGCGACAGCTTGGGCAGCGAGCTTACCGCTCTCAAGGACAGTAATGACGAGATTGTTTGAGTGGTTTTTAACGAAGAACCATCCTTCGGGGAAGACTGCGACGCGTTCTTCCTTGACGCTGTTCTTGAAGATAGGAAGGGTGATCATGAATCTCTGATACTGGCTTAACTTTGCATCAGAAGTCTTGCGCTGGAGGTGGACGTGAGCGCCTTCACGGGCAGCACCAAACCAGCTGTCCTTAAAACCAAGAACCCAGGTAGGGGCTTGCTTAAGACTCAGCTCACCGATGTTGCTGATGATCCATTCACTGTGAACGGCCTTGTCAGCTGAAATCTGAACAACGTCGATTCCATCCTTGAGTTCCTGGGCAGCCAAGACAAATCCAGACTTTGTGTTGACGATCTGGGATGTCTGGGCATTGTAAGTCCACAACTGGCGTTCAAATTCGGTCTTTCGGAGAGAGTCGAGAGAAAGACGGCTCTGGCCGATTGCAACTTCAGAACCGATCAAAAGGCCACTGAAAATAGACTTCAAGAAGAAGGATGATGTGGGGAAGGTACCAGCAGGCACCTGGAGGACAGGAGTTGGGAGTGAGCTTGTCACTGGAGAAGCAGGAGCGGCTATTATGTGATGGATCAGTAAATCACTTGGGTCAGTAGCATATAAGAAATTAGACTTACGAAAGTCAGTTTTTGAGCTTCGGACCGAGCCTGATGCACTGGCTACAGTGCTAGTGCTTCCAGTTCGCTTAATTGCAGAGAGCGATGCTTGACTGGTGGTCTGCTTGATTACAGGTTGCACAAACTCCCATCGCTGCTCTTTGTGGTCTGTGGCGTGTTTCTCGGCAAGCTGAAGATGGACATGAAGTCCCTCGCGGCGAGAGAAGAAGGATTCCTTAATGCCCAAAACAAGAGTAGGCTTGTGGGTAAGGAAAATTTGACCTTGGGGTGAGACACCATAAGACTGGAAATTTCTGGTGTCTTTGACAGATGAAACGGCTTGTTGTACAACCTCAGCACCAACTTTGGCATTGCCTAGAAGCCATTGTTTCACGTCAGTGACAATGCTTTTATTACTTTTCCCATTGTTTTTTTTATTGGGATATTTGTTTTTCTCGCGATACTTTTTGGTAGAATTATTTATTCATTTGGCTTATTTATTTTCTTATTTATTTATTCATTTATTCACGTATATATTTATTTGTTTATTTATTTGATTTTCACTCAAAGTCGATCAGACAACAACTTACCCTTGGCGATGTCTAAAACAAGACCGCTTTTTTTGTTGCGCAAGCGTCCGTCTTCGGCATGCTGCCAAAGTTGAGCCTCATACTCCTTGTTGCGAAGAGCAGAGATAGTAATATGTTCACCAGGCTGGTTAGAGGCGTTATCGACCATCAAAACATAGCCATTGTTTAGGTTTTTAATAAAAAACCATCCCTCGGGGAAAGTAGAGGAAGACATTATAATAAAGTAGTTTTAGGGGGTATTTTTTTTGGGGGGAAAAGAAGTTATGTCAAAATGAAATAGATACAAAAAATAAAAACAAGAAAAATTATGTAAAGTACAATTTTTTTAAGATAAGAGGATAGTAGTTATACAGGCGTTTCGATGAATCTCTTCACGGATTTTTCTTTTACGAAGAGGCCGAAAGGAAACAGGAAGAGCATAAGACGCGAGACTTGAGGGTTTATATACACAAGCAAATGTTTGACTGAATACCTGTAACACTTTGTCTTTTCCAGCCGGTGGGACAAGCCTTCCATCTCTAAGAGTTGAGCCGGCAAATTTAACACCAAAGTTCCCACCGTTTTACTCGGATAATGCCTTATTGAACACCTCTCCGGTAACGCATTCTACCTAGTTTGGGTAGGAAAAGTCCTTTTGAGGGTCAACTCTGTCTTACCCGGACACGGTTCCGATTCTAGTATGCACGGAATGTCAATTAAAAAAAAATACGAAAGAAAGATGCCAGTAACAGAATGAAGTACTCAAATGGTACCACTTTGACAAACACATACATAGTATATATATATATTTATATGTTCGACTCTCTGTATTTCTAAAGCCTCTTGTTATTTAAATCACCTCTGAAGATAGATATACATTTGATATTATAAAAATGTGTATCTTTCATAGATTTCGATATTGATACTGGTTAAAAATAGCCATGAAAAAAATTCGTTGTTTTTATTTCTTTTTTTTCTTTGGTCAAAACTTTACTAAAACACTGTTCGAGCGTTGTGTACTACAATTATGGCGTTGGAACGTAAAAATGAATACAGATTCATAAACATTGTCCTATAAGAACAGACCTCTAGAAAACCTAAAACTTAGTGAATAAATAAGTTTTACAATGTTTGTTTCATATATAAAATCAAGGGAACTTATTTCAACAATGGTCAATATATATATAAATATATAAATATATAAATATATAAAAGATAGAGACAAAAGGTCTCCCTTATTTCAGACCTGATACTCGAATACTTGTGAATACTTGTGATAAATGGCATTTGTTGCCCGGGATATTGCGTCTTTTAATTTATGGTGCACAGTTGTTTATGAATCAAACATACACAGTATACAAATTTCTATTATACTATCCTTAATTGAGATATGGTGCATATAAATATAACTAAACGAAAGAGTTTAGAAGGGAGGGCAGGACTAAGAATGGTTGTACGGCTCATGCGGTGTATGTTTCACGAAAGGATTAAATGTGTCTGGAATGTGTAGAACAGATCTAGGATAAGAGTATAATAAACTACAAGAGAGAGGCGTTTGATCTCTTTAGCTGCCCGTTTACGCGAACCATAAATCCAGCGCCGATAAATAAGAACAGAGTAAGCCCAAGCATAGGCAGGCGCATCGAATACTTGGCCCCTTCATCCTGACTCCATCCCATAATAGCTACCATCAGGACACCAGCTATATTGCCGACGGTAAATAGGTAACCAGCAGGAATTATTTCGCTGACTGGATAAAATAGCTCACTTGCATATTGACAAATAGCAGGAATAATGGCTATTAAGATTAAATGCTATTAAAAAACCATCAAAGCCCCCAAAAAATTATGACGTGATATACTTTACCAGAAGAAGAGAGACCAAAAAGACCACTAGAACGCCAAAAAATATTATTCAGACAGGACGGCTAAGAGAAATTTATAATATTTACCATGACACAACAATGCCAGAGAGTGATCTTTGCTCTGTGGCTACAGAGAGCCCAAGCCCGCTCAGACATGTGATAAAGAACAGCATATTACAGACACGCCGGTACTCATGAGTCCGGTCTAAGTAATATCCGGTGAAGACGCTTGCTAGAGCACCTACTAAGAGCATCATAGATCCAAGTAATCCAATATATCGTTCATCCACTCGGCCTTCAAAGGGTGGCATTATTATTTGTGCCAGCAAAGTAACAACCGTACACTGAGCCCCCATGCTTATAGCATATGCTACCAGCATATAAATAAATGGCCATTGTTTCCACAACTCGGCAATCTGCTCGGACGAGCTTGCTTCATTTTGAATTCTTATATATATGTGTGTATGTATAAGCAAACATATTCATACAACAACCAAAAATAAAACAAATCATGTTAGCTAGATACGCAGGAATAGAATATATATACGCATATGTACATATATCATTGACTAACCGTTCAGGATACGGGGGAGATTCTCGGAAGGACAAACAGATTAATAGTAAGACAAAGAGGCACATGAGGCACTATTACACCAAAAAAATAAACATTGTCAACTGCTTATCACACTTGGTCCGTGAATCATTACCTGCATGAGCAATAACCTTGGGATGTCCTCTTCGATAGTTTCTTTCTGGATAGCTAATGGTGACCATGCACAACCAGCAGCAATACCTAGACTATTACACGATACTGCAATAGCAGTTGCAAGATTGATTTCGTTTTCCGGGAACCAAGCCACAGCCAACCGAGGTGGAATCGAGAGTATAAACGCTTGAGCTATTTTTACGGATAGTGTTATCATCTATCTGTTTTCTTTGATTTTATTGTACACATCTTTTAGAAGTGTAGATTTAATAAATCTATTCATATTGTCAAACTTGCCCACAGCTGCCAATGTTTGACCTAGAAATACAAAAGCAAATCCAGCCGGAGATGGTCCATTTCCTAGCCAACGAACGATCGCTCCACACGCATTGAGCACCGCGCCTATCAGAATACCCCGTCTGAGTCCATTACCAGGAACATTGCCCTGACTGGTCTTGTAGTCTTCAAAGTATCGGAAAGTAAAATGAATCACAAAAGGATAACTAAGCATGTAGATCGACGACATGGAGCTAATGGCATTGATAGTAGTAGTCGTGGACGATTGGAAGTAGTATTCAACAAAGTCATATAGGCAAGGGGCGAATGTGATCCACATGAGAGCACTTGAGAATGACAAGAATGAGAATGAAAATAGGACACACCATCGATGCCATGGCTGTGCTTTGAATCCAAGTAGTTCATCATTCTCTGCTGGCTCCTTTTGTTTAATGAAGCGGTTTGACATGATTAACAAACGAGCGAAAGAAGGGTGACTCCGTTTTTAAAGCGACCAAAAGATAACTGCCACTCTTTATGTAGAGTTTAACGACGATCTATCTGCAAGAATAACTCATCATATTTATTTAAGGAAGCTTAAGGGTGGTGACAGAATCAAGTTATGCATGATATGTGCCTGACGGCTTGCTCCCTCTTTCCATTCTTGCTTTATTTCTATCGTTTTTTTTTACTTGTATGGCAAGACAATGACCTCTATGTGCACCACTTATCGCCTGAGGACGTCATTTCGGAGTGACGTATAAAAGCAAGATTACAGAAAGAGAGAGAGAAAAGCGGTGCTTTAAACGGGGGATGAGACAGATCCTCCCCCATTAAGATTGAATTAAAATGCTATGATTGGACATTGTAATTTTTGATGAGTGTGACGCTGTATCGGCATTCCAAATAAAATTTTGTTTTCTTTATTTGTTGCTGAATTCCGCTTGCCCTCTCCTTTCAAAGTACTGATCATGTCTTCGTACTCATCGTCTTACCACGCCCCTTCTTCATCAAGAAGCTACGGCGACTCCCAGCAACCTTCCTCTTCGTCTGGAAGCGCAAGCAGAAGCTATGGCGGTAGCAGTGGCGGTGGTGGAAGCAGCAGCTACTCCAGCCGTGGACCCAGCAGTGGCAGCAGCTACCGCGATGCTCGTGAGACATCGCCTCGACGATCCAGCAGACCGTAAGTACCTATTCAATCTTAAAATGAGTGGCAAAAGGCCCACTTGCTTTTGCTCACTGGATTCTGTTATTTGTCAGTCGTGATCTTCCTTCACGCGATGATCGTGGTTATTCATCCCAACCCTCTTATCGCTCATCTAGCGATTCTTACGGAAGCTCATCGCGCGCTCCATACAGTGCCGGCGCCAGCAGTGGTGCCCCCTATGGAGGAAGCAGCGGTGGTTATGGTGGTAGCAGTGGTGGCTACGGTGGTAGCAGTGGTGGCTACGGTGGTAGCAGTGGTGGTTACGGCAGTAGCAACGGTGGCTACGGCGGAGGTAACGCATACGGCGCCCCCGGAGGAGACCGTATGGGTCAACTTGGCAGCGGATTAAAAGATATCGACTGGCAGTCCGCCGCTCTTCCCAAATTCGAGAAGAACTTTTACACCGAACATCCTGACGTTGCTCTTAGATCGCCTGAAGAAGTTTCGAGTTTGAGAGCCGCAGCAAACATGACCGTCACCGGCTACAACGTACCCAAACCCCTTAAGACCTTTGAAGAGGCCAACTTCCCTTCTTATGTCATGAAGGAGCTCGCTCAGCTTGGCTTCTCTGCTCCTACCCCTATCCAGTGCCAGGGCTGGCCTATGGCCCTCAGTGGTCGTGACGTAGTCGGTGTCGCAGAAACCGGTTCCGGAAAGACACTTGCCTACACTCTTCCCGCTATCGTTCACATTAACGCACAGCCCCTTCTTGAGCCTGGAGATGGACCTATCGTCCTTGTCTTGGCCCCTACTCGTGAACTGGCTGTTCAGATCCAGTCTGAGTGCACCAAATTCGGTTCCTCATCCCGCATCAAAAACACTTGTTTGTATGGTGGAACTCCTCGCGGTCCTCAGATGAGAGATCTCCAAAGAGGTGCTGAAGTTGTCATTGCTACACCCGGTCGATTGATCGACATGCTCGAATCCGGCAAGACCAATCTCCGTCGTGTCACTTACCTTGTACTTGATGAGGCAGATCGTATGTTGGATATGGGTTTCGAACCTCAGATTCGTAAGATCGTTAACCAGATCCGTCCCGACCGTCAAACTCTCATGTGGAGTGCTACATGGCCTAAGAGTGTCCAGCGTTTAGCCGAAGAGTATATCAAGGATTACATTCAGGTCACTGTTGGTTCTCTCTCACTTTCTGCCTCCCAGAATGTCACTCAAGTTGTCGAAGTCTGCGCTGAACAAGAAAAGCGTGGAAAGTAAGTATTTGTGAAAAATAGTAATATTATCATCTTTTTAAGATTTTATCAATATATATATATATGCTTACATTATCATTATTAACTTTTACTTATTTATTTTTTTTACAAAAAAAAATAGGCTCATTACACAGCTTGAGCGTATTATGGACGAGCCCGAAAACGAGCGTAAGACCATTATTTTCACTAGTACAAAGCGTACCGCAGACGAGATTACCCGTTTCCTTCGCCAGGACGGCTTCCCTGCATTGGCTATTCACGGTGACAAACAGCAGAACGAACGTGATTGGGTTCTCAACCAGTTCCGTTCCGGTGGCCACCCCATTATGGTTGCTACTGATGTCGCTTCTCGTGGTATTGGTAAGTTATCTTGTAAATCTTTCGTAATTTTCCCGGCTCAGGTCTTTGCGGAAAAAGATTATCACGATCTTTTTGTTGCACAGATTTAGGTCCACGAAAGCTTGCTAATGGCGAGGGTTGGCTTGACCAGCACACACATCACCACCCCTTACTATCTGCGTCCATTATTTCGCTCTCCTTGTATTCGCTCGAATGCAGTTGGTTGTTGGCGAAACTAATGCCATGGCTTGCTTTCATTTTTCCGAGTGGTCACGGTGAAAAAAGCAATTTATCGAATGGGAAGATAAGCAGTACTTCGTGTTTGAAGTTCTTGCCGGAAGAGAATGAGTAACGATGGTCGTCACGCGTTCATTTACGTAGGCCTATGCCCGTCGTTCCTTGCTTTCGGCTTGGCGCTTTCCATTCTCCCAAGGGCTTTAGTGATCAACTCGTGCTTCTTTGCACTTCTCCAGCGTTTTTATTTTTGTGATTGTTGGCTGACCCTTCTTTTAAATGTATTTCTACGAAACCAAATCAAATAGATGTCAAGGATGTCAAGTATGTCATCAATTACGATTTCCCCACAAACATTGAGGACTATGTTCATCGTGTAGGTCGTACTGGTCGTGGAGGTAGTCTTGGTTCTTCTGTCACCTTCTTCACAGCAGACAACGCCCGTCAGGCCCGCGATCTGGTCGGTATTCTTTCCGAAACAAAGCAGGCCATCGATCCTCGTCTTCAGATGATGGCTGCTAGCGGTGGTGGCGGTGGTGGTGGCCGTCGCTACGGTGGTGGCGGAGGAGGTTACGGTGGAGGTCGTGGCGGTCGCGGTGGTCGTGGTGGAGGAGGTGGTCAGATGTACGGACCTCCTAGAGGTGGAGGAGGCCCAAGATGGTAGGCCTCTCTCTCTCTCTATCTTCCTTTTAAACTATTTCTTTTTAATCTTCCTCCATGTCTTTTCTGATTTCATTTTCGTCGTATCTTAAATTTCTTTGATATTCTTTTCACTTTATTTCTTTTTCACATTATAAAATGATAAACGTTTTGTTTTGCTTTCATAAAGTATCAGCTTTAACAATTTTAGCCTCCAAAAAACACCCTCTCTTTCACTCCCTCCCTCATGTATTAAACCTTTTCATACTTGTAATGCTTTATTTTATATATTCATGATTTACTTTTTTTTTTATATCTGGTGAAATACAAGATTTCAAGCTATCATCCCCCTCAAAAACCAAAAACCAAAATATAGACTTTTTTCTTCATCTTCTTTTTTATCAAAGGGGGGTAACAAACAACAACAAACCTTGCCTGTCTTTGTCTGTGTAGTGTGCTATTTTTATATTTGATCAAGCACTAAGTATCTTGCACTTTTGTTGTTGTTTCTGCTGTTGCTGCTGCTTCTGCTGCTGATGTTATAATTATTAGTATTATTATTAGTATTATTTCAATAAGAATTGTAGATCGGCGATATTTACTGTTTCTCTTTCTTTCCACCATCATATTCTTTAAGATGTCTCTTCTTACCCACTACCATCGTGTTTTGGCTTCCAGGTCTTATCAAACAATCAGTCTGTCCAAAATTGACCCTGAATGGTAGGTCTGTCGTTTTCATTACAATGAACTTGCAGGCGTGCATTCTCTTCAATTGGTGGGATTAGAGACTTTGTGAAATCATTAAGGTTTTTTTTTTCATTTTCATTTTTTTTATTGTGTGATACCAGTGACCAGATGAGTACAGAAAGAATGCCATATGTATATCACCGGTACTGTCCTACTGATCGTCAGCCAGGTATTTTCTTCTCTAAAAATAAAGATACAATAAAATACATGTTTCTCTTGTATATATATATGTGTGTGTGTGTGTGTGTCGACTGATTAACCATCCAAACAACGCTTGGCACCCAAAAGGTAGATCAAAAGATCTCATTCTCACCCAGATAGACAAAGTATGTAGATTGTCTAACTACGTATATATTTCTTTCAACTAATCTGTAAAGCCATTTATTGGTATTCTTGATTTATTTTTGCTTTAATTCCCTTTTTGCTTTTTCTCTTGTATTTTTATACCTTATATTCTATATTTGATTCCTTTGTCACTTGTATTCTGGAAACATCTAAAGCATTCAGACCGTCATGCAATGCATGAAGACCAGGATCCTCATCAAAATCCATCTCGATTAACCCTTTCTACTGCCAGTCACCCGAATTCCCAAACACTGGAGTCGTTTAACAGATCTACATCTAGTGTAAGCTTTATTTTATTGTATTTTACTTTACTTTATTATATTTTATTTTATTCTTTTATTTTTACATATACATATACACATTGGCATTCAATAGACTGACCTGTAGACCAATGAATACTTTTATGCGTATATGTATCTGCGTAAATACGCAGCGCCCTGACCACACTACTATGCCCCCGAAAGAAAAACCTGTACATCCAAAAGAACATTATGCTCGGAAGAATCACCACGCGATAGGTCCAGTAAGAGTTCCTTCATTTAGTAGACGATCCAGACATCGGCCAAATCATATTTCAGTTGATGGTTGTAGATCAATTGGTATGCTGTGCAAGTAATATAATATAATATAATGTAATATAATACAATAGAAGCAGCAATACTAATATTAAATAAAATAAAATAAAATTAACAACAACAACAAAAACCTGGCATACTGTGTTTTATTCTTGTATTTTTTTTTGTATTTTTCTTATATTTAATTTTAATAGAGCCTCCTGGGAGAAAGAATACTGTAATGCAATCCTGTCGAGAACAAGAAAACATGGACGAAATTGCAATACTTTTGGGTAACAAAAGGGGAATGCGTTCAATCCAAAATCAAGTATGCCCAGACAGCAATGTTGACGAAACACATCGAGAAAGGCCAGCCATTCAAAGAAGAACAGCCGAGTCCCGATTATCATCCCAGATATCGGTGGATGAAAGTCTTGAAAAGGACGTTCTTGTAAAACAACTTGAGAGAGCCAAACGACGTCTTCATGAGTCGGAAAGAAAATTTAAGAATTTCAAGGTAGGGCAATCTGGCAATTAATTGTTTTCTATTGTTATTGTTATTGTTATTGTTATTATTTTTTAAGAATAAGAAAAGAAAAAATCAAACCAAATCGTAATTGCTGTGTGTCAAGGCTGATAACTGTTACTAGACATCATGTAGCAAGGACCTAAACAATATACAGACCATAAAAAAGGAGTATTTAGACGAAGTAGAAGCCCGTCGCAAAGCCGAAGCTCTTCTTGAAAAGCTAAAATCCTCCACTCTGTGTACTCAATTACTTCCTACATTTGATGGTGACAAATATGCCGAATTAATGGGATCAGAAATTGATTGTCTTTGCAAAGCTAAGCATGGTCTTGAACAGGCTTGTAACACTCTTCGGTCTCAGAGAGATAATATGATGTCTGAGATTGAAGAAGCTTTTGTAAAAGCTCAAGCCACCTCGACAAAGTAAGTCTATTAGAGCCATGTTTACGATAAACCAAGATATTGACTATTATATATTTGATATCTATTCTTTATAACGTATTAAAAGACCTAAAGATGTTCCGGCCAATTGGGATATTCTAGAGGAAGCCTACAAATCCCGGTTAAAATCAATTAGGTCGGATATTAGCTGCGCCAAAGAATCCTATGATAAACTTGTCACGGCAAGAGATAGTATCATTAATGAGATGGTCATGATCAACACAAAAAATGCGGAGCTTACAGCCATGAACAATGAGCTTTCAATGCGTATGGACCGCCGCGAAAAAGAAGCCATGGCGTTTATTGCGAGTACTAGTTTTCTGAAAACAGATTCATCAGACAATATATATCAATCAACAAAGAGCAAGTCTCAGGACAGTACTTACAACATAAACAGCATTGCTTTAGGACCAAGTAACAAATCAAAACAAGAACGTTCGGTTCCTAACTCCACAGCAGGAATCTCTCCAGAGTCTAACAAACTCTTTAAATTCAAGCGAACAAAGGATGCTGTTCTTGGTATATTTGGTGGAAGTGACTCGAACACAAAATTTTATCCGCCAAAGATGGCTGAGGAGGAGAGGGACCACATGTCATCTGATTCTTCAAGAGATTTCTCAAAACCAAGTGATACAGCTCTATCCCAGACTCGGGGGAATTCAAGCCAGGCGTCTCTCTCTATCAAAGGGCATTATTTTAAACCTTCGAAATCCAGAAGACCTATAAAATGCGAAGTATGTGGAGATAAGATGTGGGGCGGGACTGAGCTCAAATGTCAAGGTAAGGTGTACATAGACCCACGCATATATATGCGTACAGATAGAGAGAGAGAGAGAAAGATAGAAAGCGAAAGCGAAAGCGCATATATTAACTTGTTGATCGTACACCATATTGGGGTTGCGTAGTCTCTGATTGCAACGCTGTTTGTCACTCAAAGTGCTTAACTAGCTTTTCCCGGGCATGTGGGAACGAAAGCGCTAGTCATGATCCTACTCGAGATGAGAAGACTATCCAAAAAGGTATGTTTGTTGACATGCATATAGTACAAGTTAGTAACACGCCATGTGGGGGACTTTGTATACGTACATATATTTATAAATGTATAAAGGATCTAGTATGTTTGGAAATAGCCTTATAAAACAGATCCAAATAGAAGGAGGTATGATACCACTCCTTGTTCAAGCATGTGTTGAAGCTGTTGAGGAACGAGGTAATACAAAAGATCGTCTTTTATTACGCAAAGTGTCTCCTAAAGACAATGTACCCTATGTATAGGCATGCGGTTTGAAGGTATCTACCGTAAATCAGGGGGAGCAGCTCAGATACGATCCATTCAAGACGCTTTCGACCAAGATAATTCTCTTAATCTGTGCAACGAGAACGATTGGGAAGATGTGTGCGCGGTCACCAGTGTATTAAAACAGTATTTCCGGAGCCTGCCACAACCATTGTTTACTGAGGAATTGTATGCAAAGTTCATTAGCTCTATGGGTAATTCATAATTGACTTTTTTGTTTTCTGATAAGCATCTTTTTATTCATACCACATCCATCTGTGACTAATGTGTATATTCTGCGGAACAGACCTTCAAGATGAAAGAGAGACATTAGAACGGTTGAAATATTTGTTGAAAGCACTTCCAATTGAAAATTACGATACTATTCAATATCTATTGCTCCATCTTGACAGGTAAATAATATCATGCTTTTGCCTTTGCTTTGCTTTGTTTTGTTTTTTATTAATCATTGTGTATGTGGCGTTTTTTTTAAATAATAATAATAATAATAATAATAAACTTAATAATCAACAGGGTGCAACAAATGAGTAAATACAATCTTATGACAATCAAAAATATTGCCGTCGTCTTTGGTCCTACATTAATGCAAAATATGGCTGAAGGATATTCAATGGAGGATACTGGCGCCAAAATCCAAATCGTCCAATTTTTACTTCAGAATGTTCATTCACTTTTTGAGCCTAACGTGCGCCTACCCTCGATCCGAAAAAGGTCTTCTCGGCCACAAAGCTCTTCTCTATTTCAAGGCCTTGATAGGAAGCAGTTATAGGCATTTAGAATATATATATACACACAAACACACAATCAAACTCAAAAGCAAACGCACACACACACACGCACACACACACATATATATATATATATATATACGCACATCACATAACATAACATACTTAGATATATTTACTGATATAGACCAAAATACACGGATAATTATTTAATGGAATATAGACTTGAAAAAAAAATCCCACTTGGTACACTTAGAGCAAACCAAACCAAATCAAAATGAAAATAATAATAATACATAGTTGTCTAGTCCCTTAATACAGTGTTTTTGTTTATTTATTTATGCAAGCTTGATGAAAGAGAAAATAATAGGGGTAATATACCCATTGATGCAATATATTTATTTGAACGGGGCAGAAAGAGGGTCGATGACTGCGCCAAGCTTTGTAATCACTCTTGGCTTGGTCATCTTCTGGAAAGTTTCCCGTGTGTTCCATTCCTTACCAACAGGAGCACGCAGAGAACGCTCGTACTGCTCCATGTTTTGGAAGGGGAAGGGTACATGCGTAACCTGGTATTTTTCGGCCTAAGAAAACAACGAGAGAAAAAAACATCGCGTGTATGTCAGTTTGACATGATTCACAAACAACGCAGTATACACACATACTATCTAAGAGTTTCAAACTAACCTTTTTGTTCTTCTTTTCATTGATAATGACGTTCGAAAGTTTTACATCCTTTCTCTCACTGGGGGCAACACCCTTGATTGTGCGAGTGAACTTCTTCTTTTTCTTTGGTGCCCTGACACCCTTACCACCCCAGCTACCCCATCCCGGTAATGTAAGGTCTTCTACCTTGTCATCGTCTTCCTCTACTACCTTCTTCTTCTCTTCCTCAAACTCCGCGACCACATCGTCATTAGCAAATGCCCGTGCAACAAGCTCACGCTGAGTGAATTCGACACGCTCTTCTGCTTCGTCGTCGTCTTCACTATCTGACGCCGCCGCTGCTGGTGTTGATGAAACTGTGACAGTGGCGGAGATTTTCTGTTTCTTATTTGCTTGTGTTGGTGTTGCAGTCATGGTTAAGGTCTTGGTCAAATCAAGCTTGACATCGTCTACATCTTCTGCTGCCTTGGTATCCTTTTGTAACTTCTTGATCTTCTCAATGTTGTGTTCTGATTTGTTTTCTGACTTGCTAGCATTTGCTTTGTTGGCCTTGGCGGCTCTCTTTCCAAGACGAGAAGTATCATGCTGAAGCCAGGGGTTAGCAGTGGTCTGATCATCAAGATCTGCCAGTGGGCTTGCATTCTTTTGGATGGCCTTTGTGTCAATAGGACCAGATGTACGAGTGTTGTGGGATGCAGAATGAGATATCTTCTTGGTCTGACCAGCATCGTTCAATTCAACATTGATCTTTGAAGAAGTGGTCGTCTTGATAGTCTTGGTAGCATTAGGATCGTTCTAATATAACATACATACCCACGCCAAAATACAAGGAAAAAATGGTCAAAAACATATTTTTTTTGCATTTTTTTTTTGCATTTGAGTATACCTTCTTGGCACCAAATGCCATACGACCAGGGTTATTTTCGACAATTGAATGAGTAGGTACTTCTTTCTCAGTCTTTTCAGTTGAGCCTCCTTCTTCATCACTATCATCACTGAGCCATTCGTCTTTGAAAGAGTCGATCTGGGCATCAGTAGCCTCCTTCTGTCTCTTTTCTCCTTCTTGCATGAACTTCATGGACATCAAGCCCTTTGCTGCTTTTGTGGGTTCGTCCTCGAGCTTAGCCAACTGTCTCATAATTTCCTCTTTATCGGTAACATCGAGATCTTCTTCTTCACTCTCATCTTCGGATCCATCATCTGAATCACGACCCTGTACCTTACGCTTAAGCTGCTCACCACGTCTCAGCTGATCCATGATAGCTTCACGTGTACCCTCGTCTTGGTTACCTCTGGCAAGTGCACGCTTAGCCCACTGACCAGTGTTCTTGTGCTTCAATGACATACGCTCTTCTGCACGGTCCATGGCAGCCTTGACTTGGTCTTCGTGAGTAATACCATGATCGACCTCCTCCATCTGCTTGATCTGGAGCTCGAGCTTTGCCTTTTCCTTTCTCTGGAGCTTACGATAACTCTTACTCTTGATCTTTCCGAGACGCTTGGCCTTGATTTCGTGACGGAACATCAGCTCACGCATCAAGCGCAAATCATTACGGCGCTTTTCTACTTCTTCGACAGAGAGCTTGTTGAGCTTCAAAGCTTCGAATTCTTCGAGCTCTTCATCCTTCATGCCAGCTTCCTCGAGTGCTTTTTCAATTTCTTTTTCCATATCAGTTTCTGGCTTGAATTTGCTGGCCAAGTTTGCGCTCGACATCTTCTCGACAGCAGCACCCTGCATGGGGAAAGTAAGATGATCTGCTTCACGGTTCTTCTTGACAGTTGGTTGCCAACGAGCAATCTCCTTGTTGGCTTCGTTGTATGCAGCCTGTCGCTCCATACGATCCTGGAGACGCTTGGGCAAAGGGGCATCAAGTGCGCGCTTGACAGCATGCTTTCCTTTACCGTCCAAAGCAAGTAAGCTCTTTCTCATCGATTCAAATCCAACTTCGTTACTGAAAGATCCCATCAAATCATTCATATCGATCTTCTTCTTCTTTCCATCGTTTGACTCGGAAGAGCGTGCCAATAAGTTGAATTCGTTTTCCTGATAGACTTCAGTGCGTTCTGGGATATGTTTCTTTTTCTTGTTGGTGCCATCATTCTCGCCCTTTTTGCGTTTCTTGTTTTCCAGACTATCAATGAAAGATACGATTTTTTCGTCATTTTCGTCGTCACTTTCTTCTTCTGCAGCTTCGTCTTCCTTTTCATCTTCATCTTCATCTTCTTCGCTGTCATCCTCAAAATCAAAGTTGTCCATTTCGTCGTCACTGCTATCAGTAACAGGCATCAAATTCTTTACAGTCTTTTTGAGTTCACTGCTAGCGGGATCGTTGAGCATATCCGAAAGATCGACGTAATCTTCACCATCTTCAGAGTTGCTGTCACCTTCGTCTTCGTTCTCGGATTCATTGAGATCAATTTCCTCCTCAGAAACATTTTCATCTTCAGAATTGGCGTCAATGTTATAGCTCTTTGGCTTCTTCATCTTTTTCTTCTCATCAGCCTAATAGCAATATCAATTATAGTAATAAACATATATCAGTATGTTATTGCTTCATTTTTTTTGGATTTTGGTATATTTTTTTTTACCTTTGTGGAGCCGTGGAACTTGAAACTTTCAAACTTCTCATCGTCAGACTCATCGAATGCCTCATCGGAATCGATTTCTTCGTCATCCTCATCCTGGATCTCTCCAACATTGTATTCATAATCGTCTACTTCGTCCAAATCGTGACCTTTACGAGACAAGCGCTGTTTGTCATCGTCGGCTTCAAAGACGTCGGCTATGTTGGTTTTATAGGGAACTCTTGCCTTTCCCTTTCCTTTATTAGGAGCACCCTTGGATCCCTTGACAGGTCCTTTCTTTCCTTTGTGTTGTTGAGGAGGCATGTCGATCGATGGATTTGTAAATTATTATTATTTTTTATTTTATTTTACTTTTTTTTTTTTAATTTTTTAATTTTTTTTTTTTTACACTTTCTTTCCTTGGCCTGAAAAAAAATTCGACCATGACTGTGAGGGTGACTTCTCTTGCTTTTTTTGGATGTCTGAAGTTTGGCATACTTTTTTTTGGGGGGATTTCTTCTAGGCATTCACTTGCACAGAATTTGTTGGTTGATTTTGGTCTTATCCTCAAATGTGGTCTTGCTATTCTCAATTAGACAAAGAAATAAAGTAGTTTCTGTGGTACTGTATTTTGTTATGATTTTGCTTAATGGACTTGAAACAATATCGTTCAAATGTTCTTTATTTCTATGTAAACTTGAGTTTTAGATTGTAAATTACCATTATTTGGTGAGGACAGACTAAAAGTTCAGAAAAATGCTCAAAACTTTTAAGATGTATTATTGGACGAGACGTTTAAAAGTCAGAAAATTTGAACTTTTGAAATAAAGTTCCAAAAAAAAAAGTTCAAACGACTCTGACTGGCTAGTCTTCTTTCATTGTCAATTGAGTTGAGGAAAAGGTTATTCTTTTGGTGAAAGGGGTGTGCCATATTGTGCAAGGCCTAGAAAAACATGCAATGAAACATGTTTACCTTATGGAATAGATGGTATTATGAGCACTTGCTTTTAACTAATTTGCATTTGAACTAATTTTAAGCTTTTCAGTTTTTCTACACCAACTGTGATGTTGATTAATATTTCCTTTTATCTTTATTTCATACTTTGTATACTCACCCACTAATGCTTATAATAATATCTCTCGCTACAGTTTCTTAAATATTCTTTATAGAGCTATTAGTTCAAGTATTCACTGGGATCTTGTTTGCGCTACCGGTTAGAGGTTGGCTTTTATAAAGCCGGTTGTTAGATTGTGATATCCAGTCCGTAAGTAGAACTGTTGCCCTACTGTACATGTCGATATAACACACAATTACCATTGTGTAAAATATGTGCAAGATACATTTGCTGCTATGTTTTGTCTAGCCTCCTCTCGCTTTATATATTTATATATAAATATAGATCCTGCTTGGAAACATATATTAATTAAATGCTCTTTTTTTATATACTTTCAATTTTCTTTTAATTACTAAGAAGATGACCAATGGAATATATGGCTTTTAAACAACAAATTCTTACAAAAATATATATACTTATTAATTATTTTGAGCAAGAAACTGATTAGTTTATGAAATAAAACAAGATGTTGGAAAAAAAAGAACATTTATTATATACGGCTGTAAGATAACATAAGATAGCATATTTTATCATTGATGATGATAGTAGTTAAAGTCAAATATCATATTGTTTGGGCCTTTCGGATTTTTTTTTTTGTAAATTGTATTCATTTGATTCGCTCGATTGGCTGTGACTTACAAAAAAGAAGAAAAAAAAAGAGAGAGAGAGAGAGAGTATTTTATGATTAACATATTACCCGCTTTGCAGACATAATATATTATATATAATATAAATACGCGTATAGTAGTTAAATGGTTTTTTTTTTCTTTTGGATAAAGTTGCACAGAGTAACACTAATATTAATGATATAAAATATATATAGAAAGCAAGAAAAAATTAGATCAGAAATAAGAAAAAAGATCAAAAAAATAATACGATTTTGAATAAATAATATGTATATCTTTTTCACTTTTTTTTTGTATCTGTGTTGTTTGCCTTTTAAACTTTGGTCATTGGTAAGTCCAAAGTAAATACAAAACCAAAAAATTGGTTTAAATTTATTTATTTTTTTGTCCAACAAAAGATAAACTTTTACTTCCATTCCGTGTGCACTGTGTTACACAAATTGACACTTCAAATAAGATTAAAACGGAGCTGTCACACTGTTTTTTCTGAGTCACAAAGAAAAAAAAGAAAGAAAAATGTTCTTAAGAATCTTATTTAGATCTACCCACATGAAAACAAAAGATAATATAAAAATATATTTACGAGAAGAATATGCCATTTAATGAAGTTGGAAAATATGAATTGAAGAGGGAGAGGTAAAAAGGAATTAGGTGGTAAAATAAAATGAATAAGCAAATAGAGGGGATAAGAGAGAGAGAGAGAGAGAAAAATGGTAGATATAGATATGAATATAATCTAGTTCTTGTAGAAACGAACATCTCCAGTATCTTCAACAAATCGGCAGCTCTTCCATGTAGAGAACAATGCAACAGGAATAGGGGTGGCATCATAGTGGTAATGCTTGCCAAGAGACTTTTTGATATGAGCAGTAGCCTCCTCAGCGTGATAGTGGGGCATGTTGGAGAAGAAATGGTGGGCAACGTGGGTATCGCAGATATGGTGGTGGAAATGGTTCAAGATTGTTCCGAATGAACGATCGACGGTCAGAGAGGCACCTCTCTGGAAATTCCAGGTCTTTGCAGTGTAGTGAGGCAGATCGTAGTGGGTGTGCTGGAGGAAAGTGATGAGAATCAACCAGGCGTGGACGTAAAAGTAAGGCACGACATAGAACTTGATTACGGCCATTGATCCGTAGATACTCGAGGCATAAAACAGCCCGCCGATCACAGAAAACACACCGATGATGGACTGAAAGACCTCTGCTCTCTGGCTGTCCTCAAAGATTTCGCAATTGGGGTTGAAGTGAGACATCCAGCCACTTCCCTTTTGAGCAGCAGCATTGGTAAGGAGATGGTAAGGCCACCCGAAGAAAAGGAACTTGAACACATCGAACAGTAATACGATAGGAGTCTCTTCGAACACACTGTGAGGACCATCCATTTCGGGATCTTCGTTGAGAGGAGGCAATCCATAGGAGCTACGAGTTCTAGGTACAAAAGCCTATTTATTACATAATATATATTTATTGTTAGAAATCATATTTATTATTCATATAAACCGTTCCAATGTACACAAATGTACATATCAAAGCAAAAGTATCTCCTTCTTCCTTTTATTATTATTTTTATAGCAGTAGTAATGATACTTACGGTATCTCTTGTCAAATGACCAGTTGATTTGTGATGTCTAGAGTGAGAGAACTTCCAGGAGAAGTAAGGGACGAGCAAGCCACAGTGAAGAATCATACCGACAGTATCATTTATGGTCTAATGATAACAAGAAAATGAATAAAATATTGATTGATTAATACCAGGTTATCCAATTATCCAATTCAATACAATGCAATGCAATGTAATACATAGCAACAGACTAAACTATGGACATACCTTTGAGGGACTGAATGCTTGATGACCGCATTCATGGCCAAGCATCCACACACCAGTAGCAACGATACCTTGGGCAATCCAGTAAAGATTCCACAAAAGATAGCGGAGGGGGGTTGAGGATAGAGTGTCGATCCAGGTGGCACCGTATCCAATGATTGCAATGAGTGTAAAATCATGGAGTACATAGGTGAACGAACGGAAAGTATCTCGACGGAAACAATGGGCAGGGATCGAGTCTCTGATTTCCTTGAGGTTAATATCAGGAAGTTCCCATCCTCTTGTGATAGCCTCGTCGAGATCGAGATCGACTGGCTTTGCCTCTTGGGTGTTTCTCTTGGTTGCCATAATGAACAATGAAGAGAGCGAGAGAGAGAGAGAGAAGGGGAGAAGAAGAAGTTGGAGGTAGATGCAAGATGAATGGACCTGAATAGTGTTTATAAATAAAATACAAAAAAAAAAATACAAAAAAAAACTTATTCAAAGCCATATTGGAACATGTCTGATGTTAACCAACCAGATCAGCCTTTTGAATTTTTTGATCCATAGATTGGTCTATATATCTTATATGTTTCTGTGTATGAGTGTGTGTAGTAAATTGCAGATGCAAGACCCGATCTTTATTATATATTACATTTTATTTTATTTATATTAATGCCTTTTTCTTTATCTTTATTTTTTTTTAAAGCCAAGTATTTTTGTAGGCATTACGGTTATCTTATTCTTTATCATAAATAATATAAATATATATATATAGATTTCATATTATGGCTTGTTTTTTTTTTTTTTACTATATTTATTTTATTGAATTTCTTTCAAGTTAATAAATCAAAACCTTGGGTTTATTGATTATATTCTATATTATAATATTATTTTTTGTCTTTCAATTAATTGTCAGTCAATTAAACATCAGTCAGGACCATTGAATATTATATATATATACATATTTAAAGACAAATCATTATTCTTATTCCTTAATATATATATGTAAATCTATATAGCTTGAGTATCTATTGTATTCAAGGGAGGTTGAGAGGGAGAGATGTGTAAAAAGAAAGGGGTATAAAAATCAGGCTAATCGATCAAAGCCAAAGTCAAAGTCAAAGCCAAAGTCAGTTTGGTATAATTTTTTTCTTCTTTGATATAAAATAACAATAATGATTCTGTAACCCAGATCCATTTTATTATTATTATTATTTTAAAAAAATTGGCGAGTGCAATGGAATGTTAAACATGAGTCAAAATAACACCAAAAAATAAATAAATTGAAACAGAAAGGTTTTAGACATGAATTAAATATATAAATAGATAAGAAAAGCAAAGCAAAGAAAATGTTTTCAATATGTTTCAAAATATATATACAAAGATTGATGTTATTAATGTTAATAATTACTTTGCTACATAAGCTATTTTATTTCATTTCATTTTTTTTTAAAAAAAAAAGTTTGATTTTAATAGTTTTATGTGTGGGGGACATAAATATTCATGTGCTTTTGATGACTTTATTGAAAACACATGCGAGCCAATATATATATATATAGTTGAATATTTGAAACACAAAATGAAAAAGAAAATTTTCATTCTACAGGCTTGTAACATTTAGATGATCTAGGATTTGACCCCACACATATTTAGTTATTTATTTATATAAGTCTATACTATAGAACTGATAGAATTAAGGATTTATACTTGCATTATTTAAAATGTATAGAGCAAAATTCAGTAACCATTACCAATATGAGATGATTTTTAAACAAGTTGAACACTCTTGAAACTTTGGTTCGATAATTCAAATACTACAAAATGAACAACAGCCTTTTATATCAATCTAAACTAACCGTCTGTCTTTTCCTGATATTTTTTTTTCTCAGTCTTTTCAAAGGTTAAGTGAGGGGGTTTTTTTTTTGGTAGTAGTTTAAAGAAAGTTGACAATATTGAGATGCCAAAACCTGCATGTATCAAAATTCTACTCTAACCCATAAAATTAAATACGAAAATGTGCCTCTTTATGATATTCATCTCTTCTTTACTCAATATACCCTACCTCTGTTAATTTATCTTCAAGAACTATAATATAAAAAAATATCTTTACATCTTTGGCAAATTGCTTTTGTACAAAATATTAAATGTATTTTCACTACATCAATATTTGTTCACTCTTATCTTAATTCAAATAGTCCTTTGAATTGTGAATATAATTACGCCTGTATGTATACACTAATGAATGAAGTACCAAACTTTCATTATTATTCAAAATATAAGAAGGTTTGTAGATCATGATGCTTTTGTAAATACATCCAAATTGAATCTCTTGTACACAGTCTGTGCAAATACAATGAGGGAATTACTTGTGTATTCAATTCAACACACCTCTTCTTTCTCTTCAAACCCTCCTTTCTTTATTCCTTTTCATCTCTCATTTCTCTTCATTTTTTTCGCATTTCTTTAAAGAAACATATATATATATTCTTATTTTCTTTCTAAAGAAGCACCTTGATTTAAAGATACTTCTTTAATCACAAAGTAAATCGTTTATTCTGTCATAATAAATATGCACACGAAAATACTCTTCCTCTCTCTCTCTCTTTATTTCATTTAAACGCATGTCATTCATAATTCCAATCCGGATCTACCAATGTCAGTAATGTACAATTCACGGCCTCAAAATTATCAAACATTATTCTGCAATTTGTATACTTTTTAGACAAAAACAGCATCTACAGTTAAACACGGTTATAAATACCACATTATAATATACAATTATTATTTTATTTCTTTTTAAATTTATTCAATCAGATTAAATGAGCCCTCCTAATTACAACATTAACCTCTTCAATCAAGCAAAAAAAAGTTTAAAAGCGTGTTTTTTATTAAAGTTGACAATAGCTAAGAAAGACTTTATTTATTTATTTAAAGATATACATAAAGAAGCTATTTGATTTGATTTAATTTCACTTAATGTTCTTTTACATGAATAAAAGAATAAAAAGCATGACACCAAGTTCTTTGTCCCCGCATTACACGGCTCAATCTCCTTCAGGACGTAAACCTGACTTGGTAGCGAAGGAGGTGCTGGAATGGTGGCAAACCAACGGAAAGCACCCGTTCATCCAGCCCCACATCTCGTCACCGAGTAATGTGGGTGCGAACTCGCCAGAGAACTTACCACTAGGTGATGATAAGGTCCAGCTCATTCGACTACCAGTAGCTTCACCGTCAGCCGTTAAAAAGTTCAGTAAGGTTAGCAATGAAGAGCCAGCACATCTCACTACAGGTTAGACTTCCCTCCCCCCAGCATCATGATTCCACATTGGCGATGCGATGTACACAGTAGTCCTTCCAAAAATGAAAAGAGACCATGCCCCACGACTTCTCAGAATTAACTGAGCTGGCGAGTAACAACTTTCACTTTCCGATGCTTGTAGCATGGAAGAATCTCCCTGCAACGGTCGCAAGAGACGCCTCACTATGAAACCGGGACTGTTGTTGCTCAAAGAGAAAACAAACGACGCGCGTTGGAGGGGTTCTATATGTAACCGAAAATTTTGCATCTGAGATTTAAGATTAGGACTGCGCTTTTTGTCAGTCTTAGATACCCACGTCAGAGCAAACGTGACATAGCTGTATATTCCTTTTACTGAGATTGTGTAACTGCTTTATAACAGAATTAACAGCTACTAAGAGGTAACTTATAGACCGTGCAAAAGTATTTTGCAAAGTAAAATAAAGAGTTGAAGTAATGAAGTAATGAAGGGTTTGGTCTTGATCGGTGTGGCAATAATTGTAAAGGTGGAGTATAAGTTTCTATAACAGCAATTTTTAGGTTACTCTAAACTGGTCTGTGCATTTTTTTGGTCAAGGGCACAAGAGAAAGTTCTATTTTGCTTGTGCAAGTAGAGCTAAAATAAGCCCAAAGGACGCTAGGAAATAAATCTGAATAATATATTTCAAAATGGTATTAAATAATAAGTAAAAAAAAGCACAATATATGTATATATTATCTGGATCTCATCACAATACGACATGTGGCGGAAGTTTGAATTCCAGGTTGAGTTTTATTGAAATGAGGTTATACCGATAGTTGAAAGTATCAAGATGATTCTTTAAGGGAATGAGTGCTTGCTATAATATGTTTAGGGATTATGGTGTAGAACATAACATATATTCCCAGTCTTTTGCGTTTTAAGAGTGTTGGATACTGCTATTAGTCATATACGAATAAAAACGAAAGCAATTAGCAAATATATACTACCAAAGAGATTGAATTTCATCCTTTTATTAGGAGGTGCACTTGGTACCGTCAACCATATATTCTAGACTATTTAGTATAAATTAAATATCCCAGAAAAAGAATAGTAAATATTAAAGGTATTCATAAAATACAGAGATTTTGGGTCTAGTTTTTTGCTTTTGGATAATACCGAAACATAATCGTTGCGACGAAGATTGTCCGAAATATAACACTTGAATATTGATAGACAACAGAGTATAATTACACCTCCAGTTTACTCTATACCTATATTGACTTTTTTATGAGCAGAGTTGGTTAATTGACAGAAATACTTCTAATTCTACAACAGCAAGGACCTTGTACTTCATTGATATATACATTTAAGGGTGTATTTATAATGCCACCCATGAAGTGATAAAACAACAACTACGACAGAATATATAATTTATAAAGACAAATATCATAAAATTATGATACTATTTTCAAAAAAAAAGTTGCTTGATAGTACTATATATATATCTTTATTAAGTAATAAAACATCTATTTCTCTCTAGATTCGTTCTTTTTTCTTTACTTTCTATTGATTGGTGTTTTAATTCTAAAAAATATCAGAGTTTTAGATTTGAATATTGAAATGATATATCTAGGGTTTAAAAGCCACAAAGGAAGGTAAAAGGTGTGAAAAAGATGTGAAAAAGGTTACATAGTCAATGCATAAGTTTTTTTTAGAAGAAAATTAAGGGAAATTGTCTGTCATGATTTATGGTTATTATCTTGAGTATAAATGCCAACCTATTCAATATAATCAACATTACAAAAGTAAATCATAATAAATACATCAATATTTGGGGAAGCTATTCAACTCTAGACTTAAGGAACTCAAATATATTTGAAGTTCTTGGGATTTGTTAATATATATGGTATCTTCAATATAGAAAAGAGTAGATGCTTTGAGAATGTTACTTTATAAAAAGAGAAAATAAGCATTGTTTGTTGAATACATTACTATCTAAATTCACTTGTGCTTCAAACTTCTGCTGTGCGCTGGTTAGTTTACACTGTATAACTGAAGTGTACGTGAGTTTGTTGAATAAGTGTTCCTAAAGTTATTACCCCACCAGAATCATTAGAAAAAGTGGGAATCAGAATATTTGGCTGTGAATTTTGCATTTCACTCAACCTTAATGTGGGTATACCACACAGAGAATAAAAGCTTATCCACAAGTACATTGTATTAACCCCACTTCCCTTCCATATATTCTTTTTTCTGTCTCAAGAATATAGAGGGATAATTAAAGGCAAATAACAAAAACTTAAAAAAAAAGGCAGTTTTTGGCCACTCTAATACATATACATATGTATACTTGGTAGCTTCGTGTTTTTTGTTTATCGTGTCGTGTGATTCTCGAGGTATATTTACAAAGGTATATAAAAGATGTATAATAATTGTGTTTAATAAGCCAAAATTGATGCATGCTTCATTTGTCAAGAGAATGTTATCATCCTAATTAGCCATTAGGATTTTGTTTCTGTTACTTATTACTTGCTCATTTATACACACACACATACCGGCATTGAATACCAGACATTCTTTCAATATAAATTTATCTTGCCACAAAAAATAAATTATACCCGTTTTGTGTTCCCACAAATATACTACTGCCTCTACTACTAATATATTTATTCGAGGATTATATATATAATATAAATACCATTTCTCACAAATGACAGACTTCTCAACCTTGGTCCAACAAAAGTATGACGCTGCACTGGCCTCAAAAGATCTCCTGTTCTTTGAAGCCGAGACAGTAAAGAAAGACACGCGAGGAATCAACGTGAGTAATGAACATGTACATAACTACAGAGCTCATCATTTCTTACTTATTTATTTATATATTCTAGTTTGAAATCACATGTGTTCCTTCTCTTGGACAAAAACCAAAAGCAAAGGATAATGATGATAGTAAAGAGGGAGAAAAGAAGGAAGAAAAGGTTGATCCCTTTTTGTCTCCAAATCCCAATCTCTTGGTAGAGGAAAAAGACCAGCATCTCATCTTGCTCAACAAGTTTTGTGTTGTTCCTAACCATATTTTGGTAGTTACCAAAGGTATCTTCTTATAATATACAAATTTTATAACACACACACACACACATATATATATATGGCAGTGTGTGGTGATAAAAATATATATGTATAGAGAAAACTAACTGTATCAATTCTACAAAAATTCTACCCACCTAGAATTCAGAAAGCAGACCGAGCCTCTGTTCCCTACCGATTTGTATGAGACATGGGTAGCTTTGACTACAGCATATGGCAAGACACCCGCTGTTGCCTTTTACAATTGTGGACCTAACTCTGGTGCAAGGTGCGATGTGATTTAGTTTCAATACAACATATAGAGAGAAATGAAAGAAATACGAGCAAATATATTTTCTAACACCCAAAAACCTCTTCTTTCGCACTTTTATCTTTAGCCAAGCGCATAAACACATCCAAATAATGCCCTTGAGACACGATGGACCCCAGCCTCCCCTTCTTTCTGCATTTGAAGAAATTAAGGATCGCAAAGCAGGTAAAGAAAAATATATTTCTTTTTATATCTTCAATAATTTAATAACCTCGTCATATCATATTTTACTCAATTTAATTATTTTATTTTACTTAGGCCAGATTTATACAATTGATAAGATACCCTTTATTCACGTCATTACTCCCCTGGACCGTCCTTTTATTGACAGCAGCACAAGCAAGGATGAATTGGAAGATTATCTGGGCCAGATGTTTTTTGGCCTTCTCGATGGCATGTTCCACCAGATGCGTCAACACACTCAGCCCACAAAGACATCCTACAACTTTGTCATGACTGACCAGTTCATGCTACTCGTCCCTAGATCAAAGGAGTCTGCCATACTAGAGCATGATGGCAAAGCCTTTGAGATTTCGGTAAACTCACTTGGCTTTGCTGGTCTTTTGCTTTGTAAATCAGACGACGAGAAAAAGGCTCTCGAAGCTCATCCAGATCTTTTGGAGTTTCTTGTTCAGTTAGGTATGCCTTGGTCTAATATCGTCCAACCTGCTGAGCCTGCAGGAGAGGGTGGGTTGGCACAATGATGATAACGTCAATAACGTCAATAATTGTAAAATATATAAATAATATTTGTTATTTGGTCAATGTATTTCGTTTTTTTTAACGAACAATTTTATAAACAGTTATAATGTAAAGTAATCCGTATATATATATATAGATGTGTGTGTGTGTGTGTGTGGTATATAGTGTATATGCATATGTGTGCATTTTGAATGTATTTTGTGTGCCTGCTTTATTAATCGCCTAGGCGTGTTCCTTGGCCTTGAAAAGGTGTTGATACTCCAGGAACAGAATGAATGGGCTCGGTGTTGGTAGTAGAAATAGGGAGATATGGCCCGATATCATCCACACTGACAAAGCCGCGTCTATTGGTCAATCGATGGAACCAACCTTCTTGTTCTTGGCGTTGAAATGTTTCGTCAGATGGAAGTAAAAATGCAGGCAATTGTTTGGAGGCATCTAATTATTAGATAGTATGTTTTATATAAGTAATTCCATCGTATCATCCTAATTATGTTCTTTTTTAATCACCAGTAAAAAGCAAAAGACTTACAAAGATATCCACTTCCAGCAGCACAAATGTGTAAAATAAGAGAAGTATCAGGTGCCAAGAAAAAGTAAAAGGCAATAGTTAAGACAGGTACAAGTCTTCTTGGGATACGGATAACACCAAATAACCTTTTTGTTTTAAAATAAAATAAATAAATTAACTTAATTTCCTCTATCTTTTCATTTTGTAAAATATCCACATCACACTTCCACCCACACACAATAATATATATATCTAAAACTTACATTCTATATTGAACCTCTTCTTCGTCTTGATCTTCCAGCGTGGACCACACAGACAAACCAACAGCTAAACCTGACAGTCCAGCGCACAGTGTGTGTTGCAATTCTCCATCAGCCATTTTTACCATGTAAGCAAATACGCTCACAAAGAATACATAGCCTATTCCCGGAATCACAGTCAAGAAACAAATCAAGATCCACAGTGTTTTGAGAGATCCTTTTCTTTTCTCTAATTCAGCCATGTAAGTAATTGATAAAAGTAGATTGGCAATAACAAGAGACAATCCAGGTGAAGCAAGAGGATAAACAGCCAATCGATGTACTTGTAACATACATGTATAAAAAAAACACAAATTTATGCATTTACAACATTAGCACAAATGTAAAGAAGAAGAGAGTATTATAATTGTATGTATTATCAGCTTTGTTTCCACAATACCTTGTCCCTTGTTTATAACCTTTGATACACTGAGATATAGCCATTGAGTAAAGAGACCATTGTGGTAGAAATTACGGAATCTTCCAAAAGAATCCACTAAAGCAATTACACTAGTGGCGACTAAAAGAGAAAAGGTGACGAGTGGGAGATTGTGAAAGTACTGCTTGACATGTGCAATGAAAGCCCGAGAGCTTTCGCCTAGTCTATCGTAGTTATTGGGTGCTCCTGTGGTTGGAGGATTGGAATTCATTGCAAGTATGCAAAAAAATAAAATAAATAATTAATAAAGCTTTTAACGCAATATGCAAAGAAGATTTTTTTATTGTATTTTTTTCTTTTCTTTTTCCTTTCCCCTAAAATTAAGTTTTTGTGTATAAATATGTATGTGTGTGCAGACAGAGAGAGAGCTTAATCTATTCACGTGATACAGTGCTGTCAGGAACGGACTTGGATTGACCCTCAGTGCCAGTTCCTTCCAACCAGAAGCAAACACTACTGCTGTTGTAGCTGAGTGAGGAATGACGAAAATAACAGAAGAAGAAGCCAATTATTTCTAATTAAGATAGTGCAGTAAAAAAAGGGCCTTGTAATACAGAAGTATATCTTCAAGTAGTATAAGTATGATAGATATTCTAACAAAGTAAACATTATTTTTACCTTCATATTCGATCCACTCCTCATATTCCCTTATTATGTGACCTCTTTCGCACACATTTCAGTGTCTGCAGCACCAAATTGCGGGGTTTCTTAAATACCCGATTTAGGGTTTTCTAAAAAAAAAAACTAGTATGTATGTTTTTACGAGCATTTTCCCCTTACCTAGACATTCTTCTTTTTGAACAATGGGTATCAAACTTTACAGAAAATGCATTATTATTATTAATAATAGTGTTTACTAATTAGCCATCTTACTGAAACATACTTATATATATATCAATTAGCATTTTATTTCTCTCTTTTACAAATAACATAAAACATATATAGCTTTCTCAGAATAGACTTTACTAAATATATTTTTTTGTTCTTTTATTGAGAGAGATTTATGTGCGTAGTATGTAGTATGTAGTATGTAGTATGTAATATACATATATATATATATATATCAATTGTGAGTGTATTAAAAAATATTTCGACGTATTAATCTAGTGTATATAGTTGGATAAACTTTAATGCAAATATCATTATTACCATTGCTTTAACCAATAGGATTATTCGTTCAGCTTAAATAATAATAAAAAGACTGAAAGAAAGAGAGAAAGAATTGGCTTAATTGGGGGTTTTCTTCGTTCGATTGGCCTTTGACAGTTGAATATTTGTCACAAATGCGTGTCTGAAACCTTTTTTTGTTTTGCACTTTAATTATAAAATATAATAAAATAAAGCGTGTGAAGCTTACTACAAAAAAAAACTTATTCGGGAGGGTACGGGACACCGGCCGGCCAATCATCTCTGTCATAATACAGCATGGGCTAGACAAGTAAAGGTTAGGAAAGGTAAGGCAAGGTAAGGCAAAGAAAGAAAAAAAAGGGTCCCTTGCGCACACCCATAACAATCGCACGAGTCACGACTATCTTCTTCCCTTTTCTCTCTACCTCTATCTTTCTCCTTTGTCTTTTTCTTTCTCTTTAGTCAAAGTCTTTTCTTCTTTTTATATCATGTCTGACAATATTGCTCACGCTCTCTCAGGTACCCACAATACACAATACAAACTTCTTTATTTTTATGCTTCACTTCTTTGGAATGAGCTTCTTTTGTTCTAGAGTAGTAGACTGACATTCAAAAAAACGTTTTTAATTTACTTGTAGGTGCTGGTGGTGGCATCGTCGCCATGATCTTGACATACCCTCTTGTCAACATCAGCTCACGTCTTCAAGTACAGAAAAATGACAATGACAAGGACGCTTATAAAGTAAAGTACTCTGAGTATTAAACAAAGCAATACTTATTACTATTATCCCTTCTTTTTTCCAAACTAACTAAATATCTACTTCTTTACATATAGAATACACTTGATGCCCTTGCAAAGATTATTGCTAAAGAAGGTCCCAAGGGCCTTTACTCGTAAGTCCCATTGTGTGATGGTGGATAGATAACATATAAATCGAGATCGAGTAATCTGATTTGGTCCCGGATATATACATGTAGTGGTCTGAGCTCTGGTATATTTGGTATTGCTATCACAAATGGCAAGTAATTTCTTACGAGAGAAAGAGAAACCATTATCATTCAAATTACTTACTCGTCTTTCAATCATCGCAATAATGAAAATAATAACAATTAAAGGTGTGTACTATTACTGCTACGAGGCTGTCAAGGCAATCTTTGAAAAAACCAAGCCCAGAGGTCAGTCAATGTCGGCTTCGGAATCTATGCTTTCGGGTGCCATTGCTGGTGCTACTGTTGTATTGGCTACACATCCCATTTGGACCGTCAATGCAAGTTTTTTTTCTTATTGTAGTTACTTGTTTGGTTGCATGTGTGTGCATGTGTGTGTGTGTGTGTGTGTAAAAAACATCTTTGAAATGCTCATCCAATATAGATTATAAATTCTCTCTCTTTAGACCCGCATGACAGTTAGGAAAGGCATGGAAGGAGATAATTCAAATAAGGCTACTTCTAAGAGTAGCAGTAGCAGTGCATTTGCCGTTGGAAAAAGTATTCTTCACCACGAAGGAATTGCTGGACTTTATGCAGGTGTACAGGCTGCTTTGATGCTGGTGATTAATCCCATTATTCAGTACACCGTTTTCGAGCAGTTGAAGAGTAAAATTTCCAAAACCAGAGCCCTCGGCAGCTTTGATTACTTTCTTTTGGGTGCAGTAAGCAAGCTTTGTGCTACTGGAATTACATATCCTTACATGCAAGTTATCATTTACCTTATTTTATTTTATATTCAAAACAAGAGGCAAAAAAAGGAGGGAAGCGAATTATGAAGATTATGCTGGGTGTTTTGTAGTAGTAGTAGTAGTAGTGTAAAGTGCTATGTCTCATATTCTTTCTTTTTAGTGTTGTAAAGTCTCGTATGCAAGTGGTTCAGGAAGGCGAGGAAAGATACAGTTCGATAATTGATGCTTTCAAGAAGATTATATCAAAGGAGGGCATCAGCGGTCTTTACAAGGGTATCCACTCTAAACTCCTTCAGAGTGTTCTTACTGCTGCCTTCTTATTTATGGCTAAAGAAGCTTTGTTCGATTGGGCTGTCTGGGCACTTGTCCTGACTGGTGCTAGAAAAGCTAGAATTGGCTCTAACAAGGCATAATAAAAAAAGTTATAGACCTACACATACACAGAAATGTATATTATTATTATTATTATTACTATTATTACTTGTATGTAGATATTCATAATACATTCTCGAATTTTTGCATGTATATACACACACACAAAAGAGAAAATAACCTTTTTGTTGATGTTTAATTATTTTTGCTGTATACTTTTTTAACTCATTATATTCGGGCAGTAACTTGGTAAAATTATGTATCTTATTTACTATTTACTATATAATTATAAGAAGTTATGTGAATACATTTATGAAGAACGTTCATTATCGAAATAGTTTGTCATAGCAACAACATTTATTCTTATTTTATTATATTATATTTTAAATAAGCGAATTTTCTGAAGATGTCATCACTTGTACCTTTTCAGGTCTTTCGCTTACGCGGCGATAGAATAAAAAATTAGGGCAAAAAGGAACACGTAAGAGGGGGAGGCGAGTGGAGAGAGAGAGGTAATAGCATAACTCATCGGGAAACACATTTCTGCCATTGAATCCTCTCTCTTTTTTTAAAAAAAATATATATTATTTCTGTTTCTCTTCCACATCAAATTAACAACTGCAACTGTCATAAAATGAGCTTGAAATCAGGAGAAGTCAACCTTGGTGTATGTACCAATAGTTCAAAGTGAAAAATACCAAAAAAAAAAGAATCCCCCATTTCAGTAACTCTAAAGAAGAAGAAAAAACGCGTCTCTCGTTCCCTCGTTCTCGCTTTTGCTCTCTTTTGACTCTTTGTGTCTATGTCTTTTTCTGTGTGTGTGTGTGTACTTAGACATCTATCATGGCTGTTCAATACGCAGGCGGTGTTGTCATTGGTGCCGACTCCCGTACAACCACTGGTTCCTACATTGCAAATCGAGTTACAGACAAGTTGACTGAGGTTCATGATCTCATCTACTGCTGCAGATCTGGATCAGCTGCCGACACCCAGGCTATTGCTGATATGGTTCATTACTATCTTCAGATGTACAGGTACGAACAAAATGAAAATGAAAACTGTGTTACGTTGGCAGTATATACTTGTTAACTTTGAAATTCAAAACAATGAACAATAATCTAATGTGATGCATGTATGTGTGTATAAAGTGTGCAAGAAAATGAGAGACCAAGTGTACGCACAGCAGCAGCCCTTTTCCAAGAACTCTGCTACCAGAACAAGGATAATTTGATGGCCGGCATTATTGTAGCTGGTGTGGATAAGAAGAATGGTCCAGCAGTATACAATGTTCCTCTTGGTGGATCTCTTCACAGACAGCCTTTTGCCATCGGTGGTAAGAAATACTAGCTTATATATATAATCTACGGGATAAATGAGGTTATGCTGTTTAACTGGATATTAATCATAATTATGATAATCGGTATTATTTTTTATTAATCTTACCAGGTTCTGGATCTACCTACATTTATGGTTATTGTGATTCCAAGTATCACGACAACATGACCAGAGAGCAAGCCATTGAGTTTGTCAAGAACTGTAAGAAAAAAAAGAGATAGAGAGAGAGATAAAAGGAAGAGGAAATATATCCTTGAGATAGTTAAATGACATATATATATATATATATATATATATTGCTGTATATTATTTTTGTTGGTTGTGATTTAGCTCTTTCCCTTGCCATGTCCCGTGATGGTTCCTCTGGTGGTGTCATCCGTTTGGCTGTCATTACCATGGATGGTGTTGAGCGACTGTTTGTTCCTGGCGACCAATTGCCCGGTAAGTTGATAAATAAACTTGATCCAGAATGTGCTTTTATCTTATTATATTATTATTGTAAAACTCATTTTTTTCTCTATATATTATTTGTGGGTAATATATATATATATATAGTGCATTGGGAAGGATAATTTCTACAAGTATCTTATTTGTAGATAATAAAAAACAAAAGAAAGATAACGAAGAAAAAAAAAGTGTTTTCCTGTAGATTTACTAGGAATAAATAAATAAATCTTATACATATAAAACAAATCAACAACAACAACAAACAGCAGTAGCAGCAGCACAATAAGTATACAATAACCTTGTACATACACTACAATTATTAGCAGATGATGGTTATAGAAGAGGGGATGAAATAAACCAATATGTATGGAAATTGATTGAAATTTTCTGCTTACTGGTCAATATTGGCCAAGTACAAAAGTTATATATATATATTCAATAGGGGGTTTCACCAGCTCTGGATGCTTGATTGTTGGATGTGGTGGTAGTTTAGGCACCATCCAATAATAATCAATATCGAGGAAAAAACTGCTGAGTACCAGTAATGTCTCTTGACTGATATGTTTTCTCTCATACATCAAAATTCATATGTACAGTCACAATCAAAAACGTTTCGACCTCTGAGCCCAAAAAATACATGAGAGAAATCATGGCATGTATTCAACATGCAACTGCTCCTCAGTAATAAAAGCTAAAGCATTCAAACTTCAAATAAAAGATTATATATATGTTTATTATTGAAATATAGAAAAAAATAAAAGATCAATATTTTGTATGACCTCCTTTGGCCTCAATTACAGCCTGGCATCGATGCTGCATGCTTCCGGCCAAAGTTGACGAAAGTTCGAGACATATCCTTCGCCACTTTCGTTGCATTACAACCTTCAGATCTTCAACATTGTTAATACTGGCCCTCTCGTCACTCATGCGCCTCTCGAGAGCCCACCAGAGATGCTCGATGGGGTTGAGATCCGGGCTTTGAGCGGGCCAGTAGTCAAAACCTCGGATCTCATGGCTATCTTTCCACCACCTCGAGTACGACCCAGTATGACAGCTGGCGTTGTCCTCTTGGAACACGAAGCTCCTGTTTTGTTCCCGCGAAAGATTTTGGAACCAAGGGAGGAAGTTCTGAGCCAAAGTGTTCACGTATTGGTCTTGGTTTACGTTACCATCTAGGAACACCAAAGGGCCAAAACCACCGGCCCAGAAACAGCTCCAGATCATCACACTACCCTTCCCCCACTTGGTTCCTTCGATGATATTTTCTTCCTTGAACCTTTCACCGACTTTCCTGATAGCTCTAGCTCCTCCATCATTACCCTCAACTGTGAACCGTGATTCATCTGACCATACTACACCTCTCCACTGGTCATCTGTCCAATTCACATGCTCATGGGCCCATTCCAGCCTTCTTTTCTTGTGGCTTTCGGTTAAAGTTGGCTTGTGAGTTGCGATATATGATCCGAAGCCCAAACGCTTCAGACAACTGATTATTGTCTTTCTGCAGACAAATACCTCCATGTTCTTTAAGGAAGCCCTTAGCCTAGAAAATGAGGCAAAGGGGTCCTTACGAACTATTTGAACAAGGTGTCTTTCTGTCCTCTCGTCAATCTTTCTAGGTCGTCCGGACCCTTTTCTTGGCTCGGGCGATCCTGTCTCGTCCACTCTCTTAATGATGTACTTGACAGTTGACAGACTCATGCCAACCACCAATGAAATCTGGGTCGCCCCGTAATTTGCTAAATGCATGTACACGATGCATCCGTATTTATAGGGATCAGCCTTTTCATATGATCCGTGGGTGTTTTCTGATGAATTTGCGTCTTGCATGTTGGATTTGATTAATAATATTGGGAGAAAACAATGTTTTTATTTTTATTTTTTCGATTTTTTTTAGGCATTTTTTGCGGGGGTCGAAACGTTTTTGATTGTGAGTGTATAATAAGCTTGATTAGAGTACCCATAAATATAGTATCCCTGCCCAAATTCCTCACAAGTAAATTAGACTTCTATAATTTTGTATTAAGATAGCTACTCTTACATAGATTGGTTATGTTTTATTTTTGTCTTCGCCACCCACATATTTGTCAGGTATGCTAATAAAGAGGGGTAATTCTGGCGATTTGTCTGTCTTTAAGGTAATGCTCATTATGTTCTCCCATCCACCTTTTATTATATTCACAAATCCAGGGATAGCGCTACACACGTTATCGAATGCCTCTCTCTCATCCATTCTTAGACTCCCGACCTTTGCTGATCTATATATATATATGTGTGTGTGTGTAAAAGAGATAATAATAATAATAATTCCATAGTTAATAGTCAGTTACTTTTTTTTAAAAAAAAAAAAAGAATCTAATTCAAAATTCAAAATCAAATTTGACTTTACTGTGTAACTCCATTTGATAGCATTATGGAGCTGATTTTAAGATGTTTTATGATAGTTGAGTTGATCTTCTTGGGCCTTGGTATTTCAATCGGAATTGGTGCCCTTGAAACAAACGTGAGCTTTAGATGTGGTGTTCATTATCACTATCACTGTTATATACTATAGTTATTAACACTTGCCTGTTTGGTCCAAAGAATGACTCCCCAAGTACTTTTTTCATCTGTCCGACAACTCGAATATCAACAAAGAAAATGGAGAGCATTGACGCCAGTTCGCAACGAGACTCAGGGGATTTGTAGGAGGTTTCAAGAGTATTGATACCTATAATCTTTTCTATATATCCACTCTTTTCGTTTTTCAAGAGTTTGTTGTATCTCGTCTCACACTCCTTGGTAATCAAACACACTTTGTCTTTTTCATTTAATATAGCGTGTTTAAGAGAGCTAGAATATATATAATGACAATAATAACAGTAAAAATAAAAATAGAAGTAGCAATATTAAGAGTGAAAGCGAATTTGAATGCCTTTAATATCTACAGATAGTTGGTCATTACATTTTCTTTGGTTTTGAAGAACGTTGAGGACTTGCTTCTTTGATGGTCATGTTTAGCCAGAGCTCTTGAGATGGATTAAAGGCTGGTTTTTCTGGATCATTATAAGTTTCCCATAAAGCATGAGTAGCCTTTTTAACCTGTATTGGTCATTATGTAAAATGAGAATTTTTTTATCTCTTTTTTTTCGGGTATGTAAAGTTGTGAAAGGTTATGCGAAACTGTATAACGTGTAGTATATGTAGATTAAAGGTGCAATGTGATTCGTGCCTGATCTTTGTCATATAAGGTACTGCTTGATGTTTTCATTTGTTTAAAATGAGCTTTAGGGTTAGTTGTCGTTTATGCTTAGAAATGTTTGTTGTTTAGTTTATATACCCACGTAAGCCACTCCGCAAATACACACACATACTCATAAGGTGCTAACGGAGTGGGACTACGTAGTGAAAAACATTATCGATAGCAGAAAATGTTCCTAATTTGAACGTAGTGTAAAATGGCATATTTATGCTGTTCGCCAGCATACGAGGGAATCATCGAGGGAATTAATAATAATCTCTAAATGATATTTCAAATAATAGGGGGTTTCAACAGTCCTTTAAGCTTATAAAAAGCTTTGAGTTTTAAAACAGTAACCAATAATACGTAAGAGTTACTAAGTGTTTTTGAGTACCCTAAATGCTTCTTTCAGTTCTATTAGGCATTGTGATAATAGAATATAAGCTTAAAGTAGTATTGAAAGAGACAAAGATATTTGTATCAAGGATTTATTAAATTTCCAAAAAAAAAAAAACAAATTTAAGCAAGGATGTATTAAAAGCTTAAAACTCTTGAACGATTTTGTTCAAGAGTTTTAATCTTTTTTTAATGATTATAGGTTCATTCCAGCCAATCATTTCTCAAGTTTAAACTCAAAACTTAAGTTTAAATCCCAAAAATTATTGGCTGAAATTAATCTATAACCATTTAAGAAACTGATTAATAAATTAAACTTAAAAGCTTAAGTTTAGAAACTATAAGGGACTGCTGAGCTACCCTAATACAATATTTACGTAAATTAAATATAGTCTTCAAATTTCCAGAAAAGACAAGCTAAAGGACACATTCAAACACACATATATATATACACACACATTATCAAGTTTTTCTTTCTTCTTATTGTTATTGTTATTCTTAATTTTGATTTCAATATTAATCTTCAAAGGAGTACTCAAAGGGCTCGAATGGAGGAGCCTCTTCTTCAACAGACCCTGATCCAGCTGCATCAGCTACAAGGTAAAATAAATATAAGAGAAATCAGTCCACTAAGTATAAAATAGAGTAATAGCTCATAGCCCAAATATATATATAAGTTCAAATTTACTCTAACTATAATTTACCTCCAGAGAGTGCACTTGGCTCAATCAGATCTTCTTCTTCTCCGGGTTTCTTGTCGATCAGCATGATAATACCACCGACAACACCCTTCTTGACAGGTACATAACGCGAATCTTCCTTGAAGGAAATGTGTTTCAGTTGTGCAGGCATAACACGTGCCATATTCTCAAGGACAGAGAAGTTATCTTCCTTCTTCTTCTTTCCCTTGCGCTCCTCTTTTTGTTCGTCTTTCTTTTCTTCCTTCACTGAAGTAGCAGGTTCTTTGTCAATATCCATCTGGTCACCCTTTTCCTTTTCGCTCTTCTTCGCCCGGGCCTTGGCCTTGGCTGTAGTAGACAATACAGCTGTAGCAACCTTGAAAATTAAATAATAAATTATTATTATTACTGGGTAATAATTTAAATAATATATATATATATATATATCTTACCTTTTCTACAACAGTTGCAGATGGGGGTTTCAGTGCAGGTGGGTAAGCGAACAAAGATGCCTTTGTGTTTGAAATGAACTCAAATCTTGGGGTCTAATAACAAGTACAAGTACACATAGAAGAAGAAAACATGTTGTTAATTTTTAAACCACTTGTTTTTTCTCTTCTTATTATCCTTTTTCTTACTTGAAGGTTCTTGTTGAGACCAATAATGGCAGTGGGTGTGAAAGCCAAGCTGAGCATGTGTGTCAAAGGATGCCAGTACCAGAACTGGGTAAACACCGCCATACCAACAATAGCGGGCATGTTGGCATGACCAGAACGAGACACAAGTGAGATTGTGACGTTACGTCCACCTATAATAAAATTAATTATAATAGCCAATAATCAATAACCAACAATCAAAACGGTATCGATATCGACATCGACAACAACACTAAAAAGCATATATATATATCTTTTTTTTACCTGCATCAATAATGCCCTGGGCAAGAGTTGCACCAAACTTTGACATGGGATCTTCATGCTTCTCTGCAATAATCTTCTCATATTCCTTTCTGACACCAGAAACCTTAGGGTTTGTGTTTTCAGTCTGCTGAACAAGAATCATGGCTTGAGCAATAAGAGCACCTTGACGAACAAAATCAACGGGGTCCTTTGCCATGGGCTCCAACAACTCAAGAGCATCCTTTTTGTATATTAAAAAAAAGAGTTACACGCAAACAGTTAAACAACACTCGTTTACATATAAACATATAATGATATTATTATTGATGTTGTTCTTTACCAAGTAACCTGTTCCAGCACATGAGATACCGAGAGCCAAAGAAGCACCATAACGAACGTGAGGGTTGTAACTCTCTGACAGAAGCTGAACAATACGGGGAACCTGCTGAGGGTTTCTGAGGAGGATAAAGCCCAGAGCAGTCACGGCAGCACGACGCACATCATCGTTGACATCACTGACAGCAACGTGGAGCAGGCGACGGATGGCCTTGTTGTTTCCGGTACCACTGTAAGCCATAGCAATCGTGTAGATACCACCATAACGAAGGACGGGGTCCTTATCATCCAAGAGCTGCTTGATCAAAGGATCAGCCTGCTCTTCTCTACCATACATAATCAACGAGATACCAATAGCAAGACCACGGATGATCTTCTCGTGTTGAGTTTCGTGAGCATACTGAAGCATCTCTTCGATGGCTTCGGAAGATGCAGTGCCAAGCATAATCAAACCCATAGCAAGACCGGCGGCCTCACCAGCAACAGCACTGTCACTAAACAGTGTGGACTTGAGTTCGTTGTAGATACCTAATTGATTTTTTATGGGGGGATTATTGTTTTAGAATGATATGTACAAAAAAGAAACTTAAAATAAATCACACATATATATATATATATATATATATTGTACCTTCATCAGCAGTGGCCATTCCAGCAACACCCAATCCAAGACAGGCACCATGCTGAATAACTTCACCAGTTGCGTCTCTCAAGGCATTCTTCAAGTATCCGAGAATATCTGAACCGTGGTTTGCGTTGATGAGACCAAGAGCATACAAAGATCCACCCTCAGAGTAAGCACTTGTACTGGCAGCACCTTCTTGGGGAAGATAAGGAGCCAACAAGTTCATTGATTGCTCCAATTGACCCTTTTTATATAAACACAGTATTAATATTAAATCAATGTAATGCAATACAATAAGATACTAAATCAGCAGAGCTATTAAGCAAAAATATAAGCCAAACAATACTTTATGGATAACACCGAGGGCAGCAGTGGCACTGAACTTGGACCAGTTAGTAGCTCTTGAGAGCCATTCAAGGTTCTGTCTCAAAAACTCGTCGCTAGTAGTACCAGCGTGCATAAAGGCGTTAGCAAAAGTAACAGCAGAGTGGAAAATGGAGTTTCTAGGTTCCAATGCAGTCTATTTACACACAAAGAGAAAAATAAAGAGATTATGATGATGTAAGACAATTAGATCCAGCATTATAACACGATTATTATGTACATACATATACATATATATGTATGAGTGTGATTGTGTATCTTATGTACCTTGGTAGCCTTGAGGATCATAAGATCGGTGTGGTTATTACGGTAGAGGAATTCAAGGTGAAGGCGGATGGATTCTACGCCAGAAAGGATTGAACGCATCTTCTTGTAAGGACTATCTACAGAAGTCATGTTGGTCTACCAAAGTAGTAATAGTAATAGTGTGAATAAAGTATCTATTTAATATAGACATAGACACACACGTATATATCCCTTTCTCTTTCAATCTACATTTCCTTTTTCTTTTTTTCCGATACTTACATCTTCAGTTCCAGATGTGGGTTCTTCCTGCAGAGCCTTTGACACCTTTGACAAAAACTCTTGTGTTGCATTCTCTTCGAGGTCAAATGAGATTTGGTATGCCATCAACTATTATTATTAAAGTTAATATACTAGGCTTAGCCATATATACATATGTATAATCTCACACATTATTACTAGTATCATAATCAACGCACCTCTTCACCCTTCTTCACCAAGCTCTGAAGCATCTCAGCACATGTGGAAGGGTCATTTAAATGAACCAGACACTGGCTGACAGATACATAGTCAGGTTCCTTCAAACCCTGATACAGAGTAACCAATAATCTAAGGACCTGCATATTTAATAATAAATTAAAAACATTATTAGCTTTTAGTCTTTCTCTCTATTTCTTATATTTTTTTATTTATTTTTTCACTCAATTATGTGTGTGTGTGTCAAGTGTCTGTACCTGATTACGGAACTCCAAATTCTGAACAAGTGTCATGCAGACATCCAGCACATAAGATAAAAGTTTGTTGGCAGGACCCTTTTCCACAATGGCCTTGACCACATCAAGTCTTCGGGATTCCATAGCAATACCCACAGCTTGCTCATACTCTTCGTCATCTACACATCTTTGGAACATCCGCTCGACAATTGCCTGTAATCTAGGATCGATTACAGCGTCTTCCTTTGATGTTCGGAGGAGGATGTACTTATCAATACATTTAGCTGATATATGTATATATATAATAAATAAAGGGAAAAGTTTAGAGTACAGCATATCATCTCTTTCGCTCTTTATTTTTTGTTCTTTCTTACAAATAATAGTCTCTACATATTCGGACTTCTCGGACAAATCAAACGATTGTCCTGCACCGAGCGCAAATGTCAACGAGTCATCTAATTCTCCTAGATAGTAGTAAATCTACACATTACAAAAAAAATTCGATCAGATTCAAGTAATGGATAAATCCACAAAAAAGATTCAAATCATTTTTATTATTTTTTGGTGTTGTTGTTGTACCTTGGATGTAACGAGAGCAGCTAATTCACGTTGAGGAAAATTGGTGTCTTCATAGAGGATCTCGCTACGATGTAATACAGTCAGCAAAAATAATAATAAAGCATCTTTTTTTTCATTATCATTATATATAAAGACAATAAACTAACATCTTTTCAACTGAGTCTGATACTTCTGCCCAGAACACATTGACAAGGCTGTTGAGTTTCTGAAGGGCATAAACCTGCAAATCGGTCTGTTGCTCATCGAGTAAAGACACGATGCCGCCTTTAAATACATTAAATGAAAAAGGAATTGGAAGGAAAGAGAAAAAAATTGCGATGTGTTAGTTTTGTGTGCAAAAAAAAGAAGATTATTTGGATAATACAAGTACGTACTTGCGGATGTGAGAGTGGTCATGGTGTTCTTTAAAGTGTGTATATATATTTGTGTGTGTGTGTGTATGTATGTATGTATGGGTTTGTGTATATGTGTTATGTGTTTCTTTTTTATTTTTCTTTTGCTCTTCTTCTTTCCTTTAGTGCTTGAGCAAAGAAACAAAAAAAGGGGGTGTCTTTCTACTCGCGTCCTCGCTTTGTGAAGGTGCACTTACGTGGAGAGGGGCTAAATGCACCGCGATTTATCCCATACGTAATCAGTGACGTGTCTGGATCGTTTTGGGTGTCCGATATATATATATATCTCTTTATCCTTCTCTTCCCCTATGTAAATAGATATATAAATATATATTCGTGTGTGTGTGTGTAGGTTTGTGCGGCTGTGGATTTGAGTGAGTTGTTTATTTAATTTTTGAACTGCTTATTTTAAACTTTTTTTGTTTTACTCAATGTGAGCACTTATATTTATATTGTTAATAATTATAATAATTAGAAAGGGGGATTGAAAGAAAAGAAAACGGTTGCCACCTATCATTCACCAGTAATTGTTCGAACCCGACACTTTTCTCTCGGGCATGGCACTTCTCCAAAACCGCCTTTTTGATAACATATGTATATTTTTTGTTTATTATTCACCAAAAGCCATGAATTTGACTTATATCTGTTGTTTACCTAAAGTAAACTAGAAAAAGAAAAAGTTTTTGGTTTGGCTATCAAGTAATTTATTCGACCAATCGCCAGTTACAAAGAAATATGGTGCTTAATGGAAAAAGAGTTTTGATCGAATAAACCTTTGTTCAAAGCAAGAAAAACATGCTAGAGAGAAAAGCATTGTGTTTAAGTAAGTATTCCTACTACTATTAGTATTGCTTTTGCTTTCTTCTTTATCTATTTTATCTTATATCAGGGGGTTTCATGATCTCTGTAGATACATGCTGCGAGTGTTAAAATTGGTAAATTATTGGCTGAGAATAATCTGAAAAGAATTAAAATAGAGAACCCATTGGGATGTGATATTTTCAAAGACTACTAAAAAAGAATTATTAGTGAAACCCAGTCAAAAAAAAAGAAAAAACCCAACCACAGTTGATGAAAACAGAAGTACTGTGACAAACATAAGAGAGATACATCTTAATAAACTTGACTTTTCAAGACTTATTCTCTTAAGTAAATATATAGAGACGACTCTTAATTATATTATGTTTATGTTTGAAGGTAGAAAAACAAGCTCAATTCTTAATAAAGACTTGGTGATGAAATGGCCTCCCTCAGTAAACTTTTACATCTTTTCATTGGAATTTAAATCACCGCGTAAAGCAAAAGTGAGTGAAAATTCGAAATTTTCACTTGACAACGGGTTCTCTAATTACTGATTTTTCATTTTTCATTTTTCATTTTCTGAAATATTTGAAATATATATATATGCATATTATAACAAAGTGATGTTTATAAATAAGTAAATTAATATTAAAGGCATGTATAATAGAATATATATTGTAGATAGTGTTTAATATGGGCTGAAGAATATAGATAATATTCTGGTAATAATTGAAATATCAGCATAACCAAAACATGTAGAATAAAGAAGAAGAAAAAAAGGTTGGTGATTTTGACAGACACTCTTAAAATGGATGGTCGTGTAATCTGTGTCATAATATTGTAGACTGCGCCTTAATTAAAGAAAGATACATAGGGTAATTTTTACGGGTTTCATTAAATAGCATACTTGAGGTTTTTGTTTCAGATTTGATTAAAACAATGCCAGTGACTTGGCGTAAGGAAGTGTAAGGAAAATAAAGAAAAATAGGTATCTTACTATAAAAGCTTTATATTTTTGCCTGATCAAGATTGTAAGATTACCTTTCTCTCTGCCAGAAACTGCTACACCTTTATTTATTAAATCTTACTTTAAGAATAATTACAAATATCTTGTTTTCTTTAGCTTTGTAACTCTTTACAATATCGTCAAAACTCCAATACAGTCAAACTTAAAACCACCCCAAAAAACTTACATATGAGTGCGGTACCCATCAAATGCTTTTTTAAAAGTACGAAAGTCGGCACGTCAACCACTTTAACGGAGTTAAGTTTCGCGAGTTCCTTTTCAGTGAAGGGGACTATAATAAATAAAGTCTTCCATCTACTTTACACATCTCTTGAATTCTTTCATAAATGACACGTACACCTGAAAAAAAAACTCTAAAACGGAGAAACTCTCGTTATTGTCTTTTAGAAATACCTTTTTGACTTTCAAGTAAAAAATAATAATAAATGTTCATTTTTCTCATTCAAAATGACATGCGATGTTAATTCACGCATCTTTTTAACGAACAGTCATGATAGAAATTAAGAGTCTTTAAAATAAAAAAAATAAAAACTGAAATAATGCTCGGCAAAAAGCAATTAAACTTTTGAAATTAATTGGTATATATATATACATAAAGTTGACATCTTGTTGATTTCTTGGGAGTGTAATATGATTTTGATTATTACAAAAATAATATCTAAGTATTGTATGTAAGGGACCGAGGATTTTGTATAGCTTTTAATAGTAGGTGATATTGGATACAGTGAAATATAGAAAAATAAAAAGGAAAACCTTTGTAAAAAAATCTGGTTTATTTTGTAATATTTAACGGAGAACCTCTCGAATGAATGATCATGGAGTGATATAAGCTTTACATGCTTAATAGCTATATTTTCTTTCTTTCGGTCTCGATCTTTCCAAGTGGTTTGCTCATTGAGGTTTATTTTATCTTGCAGAAAAGTACTTTTTTTTTTAAAGAAACAACTGTCTTTATATGGTTTTACACTATAAAATTCTGAGACCCCTTCTTCAGTAGTCTTTACGTATCATTTTTTGAATGATAATCGAAATAACATTGATAGTTTAATTATCCAATTATTAGGATAAATGAAGCTTTTCTTTGGCTTCTTTTTTTTTAAAAAAAAAATACTAGCTATATTTGATACCAAACAATTATACATTTCAAAGAACCAATAGTGATGTGCTTATTGATTTTAATGAGTGACTGGAAACTGTAGATCGAGTTTCTGCCAATAAGCTGATTATTTCTATGAATAATGAACTCTCACATTATCATACATGTATACTCATGTGTATGTAAAATTGCTTTATATTGGTCACTTGTAGTCTTTGCTAACTTGTACATAATCTTTTTTTTTTGTTGAAAAAATATTTAGGCTCCAAAACTAACTCGGGACTTCCTTGCTTCTATTTTCACTGAATGTATATTTATATTTATTATTAACCTTTGAAAGCCAAAAATAAAGATGGGTCCAGGGTTAATAAGTTTATCTTGTCCAACGAGTGTTTATTTTTATAAAAACAAATGGCTTTTGAAACAAAGTAATGTAAATTTAAGAAAAGTAAGAGATTACAGCCCAACTCAAAACCCTCTTTTGATTTCATAGGCTACACTATTATAAAACTCCTTATTATTATTATCTTATTTTATTTTACTTTATTTTTATTTTTATTTTTGAAATGCCACTTGTCATCTTTACTTTTTATTATCGTTATTATTATTCTACCCCGTGCAGTAAATCCATTAAAGCCAAGTCGAGGTTACACTTGCAGGATTCTAAAGACCCATGAAATCACCCATGTCTTTTAGATTACAAGTAGGACAGGTTTCTTTAACAATCCTGTAGTCCTTTTATATTACAGCAAAGAATAGTATATTAAGTGAATAAATGTAAGATGATTAGATATATATATATATACATGCGTGTATGTGTTTTTATTTATGCAAAAATAAAGTTATATTCTATTTAAGTAAATCATTTTTTTTGTTTGTCAGGATATCCTTTTTGTGCAAAAAGACAGGTTCTCAGAATACAAGCACACGCACAAAACAGACACCTATAGACACAAATAAGACAAAATAACTAATCATATCAATAAACGCGTTCTTTGAAAGAAACGCAGGACCCATTGGCGTTACTATAAATTAACCAAACCCACAATACATAGAGAACACAGCTAGGCCCCGTGCGGACCATTCATTATTTTTGGCAGTTTGACATACAAACATTTAAAGAAATGCCTTTCTCTCTCTTTCTCTACACACACATATATATATATATACTTGAAATATAACAAGGTTTACAAAAAAAACTAGTCTTGTGGCTTTCTATTCTTGTTTTAAAGATACTCGTTGTATATATAAATATATAAATATATATTAAGGTTATTAGTAAAATAAAGATAAAAATAAAAATAAAAAGGCGAGGAGTTGATCTTAATTTTTAAGGGACAAGATCAATAGTGGTTCGTTTTTGCATTTATCAATATAAATATTATATAGCTTGAAAGAAGGAAAAAAGTTCAATAGCAAATTAAAATCCAGTATTTGGGATCGTGTTACCTTGTTCCTGGCAGATCTTATTTATTTACTTACTGTTATTACACTGGTCTCTGTGTAGCTTCAGAATATCCTCACTATATTCAACCTGCCAAACGATCAGTAACATGTTTGTACATCTGTCTGTGTCTATGTTCGTATCTGCGCCTGCGTCTGCGTTTGCGTCTGTGCTTGTGTCTGTGCTTGTACTTGTACCTGTACTTGTGTTTGTGTTTATGTTATACATATGTAATTTTTTTTACAAAAAATAAAATAAAATAAAATAAAATAAAATAAAAACTTGGGGGAGTAGATGGAGGTAGAGATGGGACCAGGTATTTTTGTGTTGAATTAAAGCATGGCATGATTTTGATCGGCTCAAGAATAATTTATTGTATACAATGTCTGCATGGAAGCCAAGAATTACAACACAGAAATCACAAGCATGTGCAGCTCATCTGCTCTTCTGGACACCACATTGTGTGTATAGTGTGCGTAGTATAGCAGTATATGCAGTGTATTTTTTGGGTCCTTTCTTTTTTTTTGCTTTTTTTTTACCTGTATATATTTTTGTTTTAGGATTTACATGTGAATCTTGTAATTATAATAGTAATGAAACTCGGTATCTCAGAGAAAATTGATTTTCGGTAAAGAATATTATAAATTTGTTGTATTGTGCTTTGAATAAGATGCTACTTGTACCAGTTGAATTATCTCCGAGATAACGTACAAATTTGTATATATCTGTAAGGAAAACAGTATTCTTATTTATTTATTCAGACAGACAGACAGATAGAAAGACAAACATATATTTAGATGGAAGATGCCAAAATTTAGGACTTGTTATATGTTTTTCTTGTATTTATAAAACGAATACTCTCCAAAGAACATATAAAGATTCTTTGTTAGCTCTTAATGCCGAGGCTATCTTTTATATGATTAAATAGAGAGAGAATAGTAATAGTAATAGTAATATCAGCTATAATTATAATCGTATGTTTTGGGCTGGTGCGTGATGTGTGATGTGTTGTGGTATTTAAGATAATTTAATATAAGAATGATACAAGCTGGTCACCGTATTCTTATTTTTTCTTTTTTTTTAATTACAAGAGGTACAATATCTGTTGTGTCCGGTTATTACGGTTATTTGTAATAAAATGAAAAAAGAAAAAGACAAAAGAATAAAAGGGTGATTTATTTTATTTTCTCTTATGTAATTCGAACCCCTTGGGTACCTATTCTTTTTAATCGTTTCCTGCCTTGCACACCTTGAGTATTAGAAATCATTTACAAATCAAAGCTATGGATTTAATGTCCAGAAGAAGGAAAGAAATACAAGTCCAAAAGAAATACAATCTCATGAATATCAATATCAAATTACTATCTGTTTATATATCTATATACGTCACTTTAAACAATTTATAAAATATTGCCATCTTTGATCAAATATCTCTTTTTTTTTGCTTTATTGAAAACAAAGAATAAATATACGTGATTTTAAATGGCAGTACAACGCAATAATAACCAAATATATATAGAAAAAAAAAGAACTTCAGTATCATGAAAATTCCCATTTCAAAATGCATTTGATTTTTTAGCTTTTTTTTTATCACCTTGACCGGCCAATAATGCAAATACATATATATATCCATATATGACGGTACAAAAAATTATATAGAATCATACATTGATAACGTATCCATAAAAAGTCCACGCTTAAAACTTTTTTCTTTTGTGCTCTAGACCTTTTTGTCCAAATCAAAAGCATACTTTACTAAATTGTACTTATTTATTGATTTGTTTATTAATTATAATAATGTGAATAACAAAGGAAGTGCTTTTTTATTCTTTTTTTTTGAATATTGTTAAAAAAAATGTAGGTAGAAAAAACCAATAGTCACGTGTGACGTAGCCTTTTTATAATGAGCTCCGACTTCACTATAGCATGTAAAATCCGTAAACAGTAACCATCACCAAACATCCTTACACTACCCCCACCCACCTTTCCAAGCCTTTTTTTTTATTCATCTTCGTAATGTCTGCTCTTCGATCCCAGTTTGGTGCCGGTCTCAAGGAACTCCGCGTTCAGTTCTGCCAGACTTCCCCTTCTAGCAGCGGTCTCCGGTAAATGAGATACATTAATGTGTTTTTACAGACACGCATATATGTACAAATGTACACACCCAGACATGTATATATATACATATATATATGTGTGTTTGTGTTTGTGTGTATGTATGTATGTATTTATGTGTATACAGCTACCTTTAAATAGCTATTCAATTACCTGCCTGTTTCTTTTATTATTATTGTTAATGCACTTTAATATACGAAATCTAAAACTGACCTCAAGTACCTGAATATATTAATGTTATTGTTATTTGGGTTGAATCCCTTCCTTTTTTGTGCCTGTGTATGTGTGTGTGTTCCTTTTGTTTGTGTCAATTTGTATTGGTCCTATACTTTTTTTTGGACTTTAAATAGTGATTTCATTGCCAAGAACTACTCTTCCATTAAGTCTGCCAACCCTAATCTCCCCATTCTTATCCGTGAGGCAAGTGGCGCTGAAGCTCGTATCTTTGCCCGATTTGGTGAGTAATTGATTTGTAATATGCAAAACAATAAACGAAAACTAATAACAAAATAACAATTATACAATTATATGTACATATAAAAAGACAAGGGCATTGAACAAAAGATAGTTTTCCAGAACAAGGCATCAGAAGAGATTGAAAAGACCTTGGCACAGTTGGTCAAGTCTGCTTAATTAAATAAAGAAGAGAAAAAAAGAAGACCGAAGAAAGATGATTGTTTGAATGAAAGGATATTTCTGGATTGTTTTTTAAGAAAAAATGGGGTCAAAGAAAGTACATATTGTATTATATGATCTTGAGTTATTTGGTGGTCGTTATAGTGAATAGAATAAAGGTAAAGGCAAAATAGAGAGAGAGAGAGAGGTGTATTTGTAAGGGTATAAAATACATACCAAAGAAAAAGAAAATTAATGCAAAAGAATACACTAGATTACAAAAGATATCGTATTTTATAAAACCAACTTTCGAGTTAATTGACTTGCTTTAATGCCAATAACTCGCTCAGATATATTCATACATATAGCTGGATACGTGTATGTGTGTGTAGTTAAACTATCGTTGAATTTATAAAATATGGATGTGTCTGTGTGGTCACAATGACAAGTTATTAGTCACATACAGGTTTTGTACACTAAATATTTGGACATTTACTCTTTTGGTCTATAAATATATATATATGTGTGTGTGTTTCTGCATATTCAAAGAAGAACAATAGCAATAAAGCTTAAAATCACCTAATCCAAAATACACACACATAAAAAAACACTGATGGAAGTGGCTTAAAATCTCACAATTCATCTCAAAAATATTATTCCAGATTCAAAGAATTCGTTTCCCCTGTCTGCTAGAGAAAGAAAGAAAAAAACCCCTCTCCCTCTCCCTCTCCCTCCCTCTCGCCCCCAAGAAAAATCCCCCAATTTTTATTTTTTGGATTTTATATATATTTTTTTTCTTCTTCTTCTTTATATAATTTATATCAACAATGGTCACAGCAGTAAAAATTACCCTTCCAAAATTGACACCTTCTACAAAACCCTTTGCCAATGCCGTCAAAATTGTCTTGGCTGCTCATGTAGCTGGAGCAAAACTTAATCAAACCGCTGGTGATTCAGTTGAACTTGTCTTGGCTGACAAGTCATTGACAGATGCCAACCTTGCAGTCAAGTAAGTCATTTATGTCATTTTTCAAGTCATTTGTCATTCGGCATTCTCCCACTTTTTCTTTCTTTTTCTTTTTTTTTGTTGGAATGAAACCTCTTTAACCTTTTTTGTCTTCGTTTCTATTTATTTTTCTTTATATAAAATAAAAAAGGATTATTTTGGATTTGGTTTCATTTGATGCTTCAAACACCTCGCTTTTACAGAGTGCTGCTCTTGAACAAGAAGAGGCTGTTATTACCCCCTTGATTTTCAAGAAGAAGACCACAGAGGCTCTCCAGATTGCTGAACAGGCTGTTGTCAAATACTCCAAGGTCTTTTCAAAGGCAAGTTTTACCGAAACATATGTTTGTTTGTGTGTGTGTGTTCAAACAGGTGAATATATAGGAATTATTTCTAATTTTTGTGTACATATTTATATTTATATATAGGATGGAAAGCTTGGTATTGTAGATGTGATTTACTACGGTGCTTTGTATGATGTGTTGCAGGCCAACGCTGAAAAGGAAAAGTACAGTGCTTTGACTGCATGGTTTGAACGCGTCTCAAAGGCTGAGGCTGTTGAAAAGGCTATCGAAGTTGTCAAGGGACAGGTAAAAAAAAAGGAACATTATGAAAATACAAAAGCTTTTGGATTTTGATTTGTGGATATATGTATATATATGGGTGTGTGTGGGTATAGATCTCTAACAAGGCAGCCAAGAAACTTGCTGCTGCCCCTAAGATGAAGACCAACGAGCAGACTCCCTTGGCCGAACTCAACCCCGAAACTCAAAAGGTGAACCGGAAAGTGTTTATGAAGAAGCACGATACTTCCGTCAAGCCGTAAGTTATATATATATATATAAGCATGAAAAAGCGCGACAATTCATAAGCATATTAATATTATTTCTGTAGTGTTCCTGTTGAGGGTGAACGTAACATCTTGATTACTTCTGCTCTTCCCTATGTCAACAACATCCCTCATTTGGGTAACGTCGTTGGTTCTACTTTGAGTGCTGATGTTTACGCCAGGTAAGAAATGAAGATATATGAAACTAAGGCAGAATTTTCTCTGAGAAAATGATAGTATTATTATTATTAATACTAGTATTTTGAAAATAAAATAAATGTATTTAACCGAGTAATAAATATATTCTAATATTATTGTTATAGATACTGTCGTGCTCGCGGATATAACATTATTTATATCTGTGGTACTGATGAGTACGGTACTGCCACTGAGACCAAGGCTTTGGAAGAGGGTGTGTCTTGCCAGGCTCTCTGTGACAAGTACAATGCTGTTCATCGCAGTGTTTACAAGTGGTTTGATATTTCATTTGACTATTTTGGCCGCACCACCACTCCCAAGCAGACCGAGATTGCCCAGGACATGTTTTTGAAGGCAAAGGCCAATGGTTACTTGCTTGAGCAAACCATGACTCAGCTTTACTGCGAGCACTGCAAGAGGTATAAACGAAAATTGATATTAAGATTACGAGTACGAGTACGAGTACGGTTTAAAGAAATGAGAGAGTGGACACGCGTGAAAGAGAGGGAGTCGACTGTGTGTGTGTGTGTGTGTGTGTGTTTATTTTAGAGTTTTTGGATGTTGAATATATATTATTTCTTATTGTTATTTTTTGGGTATTGTACAAAAAAACTAACGTGCGATATTGTAAATTATTGTAGATTCTTGGCTGATCGTTATGTTGAAGGTGTCTGCCCTGTTTGCAAGTATGAGGTAAAAAAAAAACACTTGCATTGACATAAAAAAATAGTTAAATCGTACTGACAAATCACATATATTACCCCTTTTATATATTTAATATATATATATATCTGTGCACACGATTATAATAAATATAATAATAGGATGCTCGTGGTGATCAGTGCGATGCTTGTGGTCGTTTGTTGAACGCCTCTGAGCTCGTCAAGCCCAGATGCAAGCTCGATGGCCATCCTCCTATTACCAGAGATTCCAACCACATGTTCTTGGATCTTTCCAAGCTCCAGGACAAGATTGAGAAATTCAACGCCAAGGTTAACGTTGAAGGCAAGTGGTCCAGCAATGGTATCAACATCACCCAATCTTGGTTGAAAGAAGGTTTGAAGCCTCGTTGTATCACCCGTGATCTTAAGTGGGGTACTCCTGTTCCTTTGGCCGGTTTCGAAGACAAGGTATTCTATGTCTGGTTCGATGCACCAATTGGTTACCCTAGTATCACTGCCAACTACACAGACGAGTGGGAGAAGTGGTGGAAGAACCCCGCCAATGTCAAGTTGTACCAGTTCATGGGCAAGGACAACGTTCCTTTCCACTCGGTTATCTTCCCTGGTTCGGAGATGGCTACCGGTGACGACTGGACCCTTGTACACCACATCAGTACTACCGGTAAAAAAAAAGTTCTTATTCTTGTTTGTTATCTTGATTTGTGTATTTTATTTTTACATTGTTGAACGCCCAATATTTTATACTAACATTAACATATTTTTTTCCTTATTTCCTCCTCTTAATAATAGAGTATCTCAACTATGAAGGTGGAAAGTTCTCAAAGTCACGTAACATCGGTGTGTTTGGCACAAGTGCTGAAGAAACTGGAATTCCCCCTTCTGTCTGGCGTTATTACCTCTTGTCTTCTCGCCCAGAGACCAGTGATTCGATGTTTACATGGAACGAATTTATTACCAAGAACAACAGTGAATTGTTGAACAATCTCGGAAACTTTGTCAACCGTGCTATCAAATTTGTTTTGGCCAAGTATGACGGCGTGATCCCCCAGGCTAACCTTTCGGGTGAGTCTGAGGTCACGATGATCAAGGATGTGAATGTGTTGTTGGCACAGTATAACGACCAACTTGAGAATGTCAAGATCCGTGGTGCTCTTGCCACTGCCATGGCTATCTCTGCCCGTGGCAACCAGTACCTCCAGGACTCTGGTTTGAGCAACTCCACCTTTGCCGAGCAGCGTGGCAAGTGTGATGCAGTTGTGAACGTGGCTGTCAACCTTATCTACCTTCTTTCGGCTATCTTGTTCCCTTACATGCCCGAAGTTTCTGAGAATATCTCGCGCCAGTTGAATGCTCCCCTCCGTCGTATTCCTGATGAGTTTAGCCTGGATATCTTACCCGGACACAAGTTGAATGGATCTGCTTATCTGTTTACTCAAATCGATGAGAAGATGGAAGATATCTGGAAGCAAAAGTATGGTACTTCTGCCAAATAAGTAAAATATACATATAAGTAAATAAAAAAATAAAGAAAGAAACTATTTATTTACTTGTTTGTTTACTACTATCATTACCACCGCTACCCCCACTGTTGTTGTTACTGCTACTGCTGTTTTCTTTTATGAATAAAAAACATATCTGTGTACACACATATACACACACTCATATATATATTGTAAATTTTAAAATAATGTAAAATGTGCCTATTGCATGGAATATGGTACACATACACAAAGGGAAAAAAGGAGGGAAGAGAGAATGAACTTTGTACGTATAAAGCGGCATTGGCGGGGGGAAGGATATATCGGCTGGTCGGGGGATGTGTGGATTATATATTTTGGTTGCAAAAATTCACAAATAAAATATACATATAAAAAAATTGTTTGTATGATAAAAGCTACACGGATAATTCTTAAGCTTTAAATATAATATATAATAAAATATAATAAAAGAAAAAAAAACAAGGTTTGTTTTCCTTCTTCTTTGATTAGACAATCCAAGTTTTTATTGATTGTAGGATACACAGACTCGGAAAAACCTATTTAGGCTATTCCACACAAATCATAAAATAAAAAATAAAAAATAAAATAAAATAAAATAAAATATATAGATAAGTAGATCAATGTGCGTAATGTTTTATATTATTACAATTTTTGTCAGAATCTAACCAAGGCAGAATATTAATAAACGCATGACAATTTATAATTTTACTTTTTTTTTTATATGATTATGAAAATAAAATAAAAAGTGAATAAATAAAGATGTAGGACAAGAAGAAATGAATATCTAAGTGTAAAGAAAGATAAAGAGAGGAAATTGAATGATCTCAGGTGTGTAAATGGACATTGTAGCCCGGGGTTCGGTACCAGGCCAAAAAAGAAAATCACAATAATCACAATAATAAATAAATATGAAAGTCATCCGAGCGCAATAATAATAGTAATAATAAGCATTATTATTATTATTATTATTTGGAGGTATATAAGATCTTAGTGGATTGTTGTGTACTGTGTGTATTTATGGTGGCGTGGACGCCAAAGAGGACACACAAACACACAAGCACACAGTTCAACAAAACATACAACACTAACCCTTGATGATATTACATTCTGTCCTACTGATTCTGGAAAGTCAAAACTCAACGCCAATCGTTTTTTTATCAAATAAAGGTTAGTCGTATTTATTTATTTATTTCTATATTTTTTTATTTATTTTTTTGTTACCAAGATGAACATCGGGAAAGCCCAGGATGTTTTGAGAGTGAAATAACCCAATCGAGCCATGTGCTTCAATTAGGTAACATTTTCGTTTTCGTTTTCGTTTTGGTTTTGTATAACGTAGCCTACTGTCAAAAATAACGGTAATAATAAGAGATGTGCGTCCAAAATGTAAATGTGGGACCGATACAGATTATTATTATTTAGTGGTGTAGGTTAATATGAATTGATCAGCACAATAAAAATAAAATATAATAAAATAAAGAAAAGGGAAAAAAGGAAATTTGCTATTTGGAGAGATGATCAAAAGTGCTTCAAACTGATTGACAGGTGATTCTTTTTTTTTAAAAAAAAAATTCTTTATTTTTCTTATTATATATATATTGTACTTTTGTGTATATGCATTATTCTCGGATGCAATAACAACAACAAACAAAAACAAACAAACAAACAAAAATGATAATAATAATAATAATTATAATACTAATACTAATACTAATACTATAAAGCACCTTGAATTAAGACGTACATATTCCATATAATTATCATTCTTAATTTTTGTTTTTACTTGATAAAATAAATAATCTATTAGTTGGATCGTGCTTTTTTCTTTTAAAGAAAAGAAAAAAATGACTATGAAATATATCCTACCAAGGCATACATGGATATTTGAATACTTTTATTGATTGAATATTCAAAAAGAAAATCTGTCATATGCCAACTTCCTTGGAAACCAATTAGACTATTGCTATGGAAACAATGCATACTATTGCCATAGAGACCGGGGTACTTAATTTTCATGGAAACCAGGTACACAATAACCATAACAATAAATATATACTATTACCACGGAGACGGGGCACTTAATTGTCATGGAAACCAGGTACACAATCACCATGACAACAAATGCTATCAGTGTTTAATTTAACCCAATATTAAAATAACAAAATAAGAAAAGATGGTCACCGGGAAAGTCAAAGAGCAGTAAATCCGAAAAATAAACTCCCTAAACATAAATACTAATATATTATTATTCTTTATTTTCTTTCATAAACTGCCTATTTATTTATTTGGTTTTTTGTTTGTATATTGTATATATATACGTACGTGCACGTGTATGCGTATGCGTATGCGTATGCGTATGGGCATGTGTATATGTATATGTACCTACTTTATTATTGACGAAATGTTAATAGGATATCCCGGACGAACACACGTCAGGTCCGCTCCATACTCCATCGGACGTTTCGGAATCCACAGGTGATCGGGTACGGTCACTCTTGTCTTTTTGTGTACATCTTGCTGAAAGTCAATAGGTATTTCAATATTATATAAATATATATGTATATTTGTGTGTGTGTGTTTGTACTTTTATATAAATATTATTGTATATCTGCTTGGATGATTTAACATATGAATCTAATAGACCAAAAGATATTTTCCTTTGAAATTGTGCCATGTGGGAATATTAAGCCCAGCCGTGTAACAGGATTATATAAAAAAGAAAGAATATGATCGGGCCACAACCACGTATGACACGTTGCTACGAGTGTCTGTTCGTTTTGCTGTTTTTGTGCACCAAATTTATATATATATATATATTATATACACATTCGTACGTAGAGTGCAGATCTGCTACTGCATCTCATTACATTGTACGTGTGCGTACACATATACAGTGAGAACGGTAAATTTTGTCACTTTGAGAAAATTGAATGTCACTTTCCAAAAAATGAATGGCACTAAGCCAAAAATGATTGTCCCTTTATGTCAAGAAGTTTTGTCTCTTTGAAGTAAGAGAAATGTCCAATAAGTTAAATCAAATTGACCTAAAAATGATATTTATTTTTTGACCTCAAAACAGTGTGACTATGAATTACAATTTTTTCATCCATCTTTCATCCATCTTTCCCACATCATAATTCCGGCCTAGATCAAAAAATCGACTTTCACTTGATATAAAAGCACCGGCAAAAGAAAAAAAAACCGTTTACCTAGTCATGGAAATCTCAAGGAATTTGGCAATATGTATGTTTTTTTATGTGGACTATACTGATGAAAACGTTAAAAAATACATCAATCGACTTAAAGATTTTGGTGACGTTGAAATTTGCTACACCACGGAACCAAATAAACCCATCTTGGTCTCAATGAAGCGACTCCGTAATGATCCTGAAAGCTATCATTTATATTCTGATGTTACGCCTGGGATCTCCCAGTAGCTCTTGGTGTCTCTTTTGTTCTCCTCCCTTTCTTTTGTCTGTTCTTCCCTTTTTGTCTCTCTCTGTTGTTCTCTTTCTCTTTTTTGTTTCTCTTTCTGGCCTCTGAGCACTCTAACTCACACCCCATTATTTGTCAAATAATTATAAATAAGAAGCCATTTGGCTTGTAATAAACTACATTATTTCTACCTTCGTCATCTTGTCTGATACATTTTATATTATCTATTGGAAAATAATTCCTTGGATAGCATAATATTCATTGTGATTTGATTTGATTTGATCTTTATCTTTATTATATTTTCTCATTCTAAGTTCGCAACTTATAGCGTGGTTCTCACTAAACTCGATCACAACTGATCTCCTTTTACTTTATTTTATATCTTTTTTTTTATAAAAAACCCTTTCTTGTAACGCTGACAATTGATAGTTTATTTTGATCTTTGAATACAATGATTTCTGTTCTCAATTTTTTTAATAGGTTATTATCTTTAACCAATCTCTCAGTGTCAAAAATAAACACTTCATTGCATTGGGAAAATGTTTCAACTGCAATCCTTTTTAAAGAGGGATTTGCCTCAACCAATTTGACAATATCTTCACTTCGTGTTGTTATACCAGAAAAGTCGATGGTAACCACGCAAACATCATGATGGACAGACTTAAGGTAGGCAAGTAGGTCTTGCGTGTTACCATCAACACTTAACTCGTCCATAATAGCTCGTGAATTGCCTTGTAAATCACGCGATACAAGCGGCGAGGAGGCCCAGCTACAAGGTGAAACGAATATTTTGGTTGCAAAAGATCGTTCTTGCAAATTTGATACCATTGATTTCAAAAGTCTTGTTCTAGAAGTAATGTCTTCCTTTGTTGGTGATTTTCGAGCATAACCAATAATTTTTCATCCATTCTTCTTGAGACTTTTCAATGATTCTTGGTACTTCGGTAAGTAAGTGCAAATCGAATTGATAAGGTCGTCTATAATTAAATACGTTAGCGACCATTTTAATCCCGTCGTATCTTGGTTTACCATAGTAAATGTCTTCCAAAATATACAACTCTCTGGTGATACTTCGGGATTTTTTTCCTTTTGCAAGTAAAAAAATTCAACTTTTGATTACGACACCAGGCTGCAAATGACTGAGCTGTTTTTTCATGAAAAACAGTGGTAAAAGTCTTGACTAATTCATAAATCTCCTTGGTAGAAATAATTCCCTTGACATAGATTACATCGTTTTTTTTTGGTTGAGACGGACAATAAACTTCGTTGATAAATTGCTTGACTTGTGCCTCAGTAACCAATTCAACTCTTTCTCTCTTATTGACTTTTTCTTCTTCAGGAGTTTAATCAAGATATTTTTTATAAGTCAATGGATCGCCTCTTATTCTTTGTTTCAAAACCAAAATGGGATCCTGCTCTCTAATATTCCAACTTATTTCAGAATCTTCAAATTCTTCGATTTTTTTTCTATAAGTATTGACGTTTTCCTCAGTAGAATCGACATAGACAAACGCACAAATGGCTTGGTTTTTTGTTAGCATTTTTGTAAGGGAAAAGATGGATGAAAAAATTGTAATTCATAGCCACACTAAGAAATTTTATGCATCGGTTTTCCCGCAGTTTTTGGAACTTTTTTCTTTATCTCAAGATGTCTACACACGATATCCCTATGTCATTAAAGTCAGAGTGACTTATAGATTTTTCCGTACTAGGTCAGATCAGAACCAGCTATGGAGTATGTTGATGATAGTAACGAGAGCAGTGCGCAAGATATTTCAGAATCGATATCAAAAGGTATGACAACTGCGCACTTATCAAATTCATGAATATTCTGCTTGACATCATGGATCTTAATGGAAATCTAAAAGGGAGCTATTTGGTGATGGATAACTGTACTATGCATAAATCAAAACCGATGATGGGGAAAATCGAAAGTTGTTGCTATGAACTAATTTAACTTATTGTGATATTTCTCTTACTTCAAAGAGACAATCATTTTTGGCTTAGTGCCATTCAATTTTTGGAAAGTGATATTCAATTTTCTCACTGTACACAATTTTCTTCCCAATCAAGACAAGATCATCTCCCCCTTAAAAGAAACCGAAAAAAAAATAGAGTCGCAGTAGCTTTAAGAAAGAAAATATGAATAATTAATAATTTTTGATATTTCTAATAGAATGACATATTTAACCAGAGCTTATTAGTATTTGAGGGTTTCCTTTCATGTATGTCGTTTCTAGACAAATAATAATAATATACTATTATTATATTACAATTTAAACATCAAAAAAAAAATATAAATATATATACTCTTATTTTTGATCTCAGTTGAAGAAATACAAAGGATTGTTTAGCCGCCTAAGATATATATATATATAAATTAATATTATATATTTTTTTTATTAAAGTTATTTAGTTATTTCACATCCGCGGTAATAGTTATAATAGTAAAGAAAGGCTATCGGACTTGTTGCCACGCTGTCCTTGGCGGGCCGAGTATTTAAATGAATAATATGTGTATGGAGTCTGTGGATTTAAAAAGCCAAAAATAAATAAATAAAGAAGGTTTATAAATCAAATGCTATCAATCAATAGAATGCATATATGTATATGTACAAGGCTAGTGTTTTAGTATTGGTAGCTCATTAGAGTATATACAACCTCAAAAGTGAATGTCTATACTATTCAGTGTATATATTTCTCGTAAAAAGAAAAATAAACATGTAAATGTTATGTATATATGTATTGGTAGGTTTCTGGGTGACTGGGTGATTGAGAGGGTGGAGTGGGTCTATGTATTATGTCGCACGAGAGCAAAGTGCTTTACATTACCAGCCATACATTGTAATAACATACATTTTCTATCCTATCCAAGACACTATATTTATTCTGTTTCATTTTTGTACTAAACACATACACAGACGCAATTATGAAATTATCAATTATCATTTAGCTTAATATTAATATATTGTCAAGAAAGAATTCGACTAAATTACTAATTATCTGTATAAAAACTGCATAGGCTAATTTCTTCTTTATTGATTTTGTACCATCTTAAAGAATGTGGCTTTGTACACTCCACTGAAAAACACTCTTTCATCGTTTGTAGTATATATATACATGTACATGTGCGTTTATTAAAAATGATAAGAAGAAGAAGAAGAAGAAGAAAGAAAGAGAAAGAAAGAAAGAAAAGATAATTGAGGCCAAAGGTAGTATTGATTCCAGTGGCTCGTGCCCTGGACTCCTATAGGTACTTTCTTGATTACCTTTGTTGCCTAATATGATCCTGTACTACCAATATATGGCCAAAACATGGGCTCTTGGTCTGTCTGCTTGTCTGTCTGCTTGTCTGTCTGCTTGTCTGTATTTATGTATGTCTATTACTATTACTATTATTATTATTATTATCATTTTATTCTTACTCCAGCTGACATTTGAACTCGAGAGTTTGTGTTACAGACACACGCGATATTGTACATTACACAGACCTTTGGTATTTTTAAAAACGTGGCGACCATGGTGCCCACCCTATTGTTGAATGAGAAATAAACGGGAAATGAGCGGTTAGGAGATTATTCCTTTCTTTTTTTATATATATATTTTTATAAGAGGCAATGACGATTGTAACCAGATAATAATCATTTAAATACAACTACAAAAAAAGAGAAGATTTAATTTTGTCATTTTCCTTTTCTCTCTTTGAAGCGTGTATTTTTCTACTTCTTCTTATTCAAAAACAAGAAAGACGCCTCCCCCATGTGCTCCGTACCTGCTATACACGTTTTATTTCTTTTTCTGTTTTTTAAAGGAAATAAGAATAAAAATAACAATAAGAGAAACACACTGGTTGTCAATCATGTACATCCCCCACACGTTTAATAGGTGCACAGGCCCAGACGTTTGTTTATTATTGGAATTACTTTTTTTAAAACAAAGATAAAATGACGGCAATATAATGGTTGTGGTGGGGTTTATATATTTGGCGTAGACTCATAATATAGCCTGGATCCCACGCACGTACCCACCCGAAACAAATTAGCCACCCACACGCATATATATATATATATATATATATATAAGCAAATTATTGATACTACTGTAAATCGTAGTAATAGTAATTTTGAAGGGGAGAGGAAGTGGAGAGAAATGAGAAGAGAAGAGAAGAGAGGAAAAGGGTTATTGGGGGAGGGGGACCAACACCAAAGCGAACACATTAATATATTTCATTTCCAGAAAACTCATCTCTTTGTCTCTTTATATCTTTAGCTCTTTAACTGTTCATTTTCCTGCATATCTATATCTATGCTTATATCTATATCTATATCTCTGGCTATGCCTGTGTGTGAGTGTAATTGTGTGTAATTGTGTGTTTGTGTTTGTGTTTGTGCCTCAATAATGATCGAGAGTTTTGGGGGGTGTCGCTGTTGAATATTAGTTCAGCGATGTAATCATATAATAATTATAATAAAATAAAAATAAAAATAAAAATAAAAGCGCCAGTCAGTCAATTAGAGCATTAAAAAAGGAAGATTCAAAAAAAAATAAAAAAAATTAAAGTGCTCTTGCTCGGACCCTATTGGTGATCAATGGGCTATAGATATATAATATATATAAAATAATTAAAATATTACTAATAATTTAAATACTTGGATTCTTATCTGACGAACTCATATGTATTAAGCTGGGTTGAATGTTTATTCCATGTCAGCTTATTCAAAAAAAAATTATTTCATAAGAGATTGTTATATATATATATATTATAGTAGTAATAATAATATTATTATTATATGTATATAAAATAAGTGTATGTAAATGTGCAAAATACAAGATTATATATAATTTGTACAAATGTGTATACAAAGTGTCGGTTGGTCGGTTGGGTCGGTCGGTCGGTCGCTTGGTTGGTTGGTTGGTTAGTGGGATGAGTGGGTTGGGTGATATGGGGCCGTGTAGCAAAGGGATCGTGTCATTTTACTACTGTACGACCAAGAGAGCGAGAGAGAAAGCGTGTGTAGCCCTTCCCTGGGCAAACTATAATTTCTTTTTTTTATATTCAAGTGTTATTGACCCGTGACCCATACCCGAGATGTTTATATAAACTGAGCAGCACCCATTGTTCATCTCTTCTAAATTCTATTTCCTTTTTTTTTCTTTCACCTTGCCTATTTAGCTCAATTTTTTCTTTTTTTTTCATTTTTATATTTCTTTTTTACCTTTATATATTTCCCTTTTATTTTTTTATTCTTTTTATCTCTCTTTCTCTCTCTCTCTCTCTCTATTGCCCTTACTTCTTACTTACTTACTCTATCGCTCTATTTAACTTTACAAACGACTCTTAATTATTTCCTTTAAACAACTATGGACATTCGCAACTTACTCAACGACCAAGAAGACCGTGATTTTCTCGAAAACGCCAGCCTTTCGTCCTTTTCCTCCAATGCAGACTCACCAAGTGGTGCTTCTTGTGATTCTGATAAGCCATATGAATGTATCTGGGACGACTGTGGCAAACGCTTTTCTAGACGCTCAGACCTTTCCAGACATCGTAGAATCCACACAGGCGAAAGACCCTATCACTGCGAATGGGCCGGCTGTGGCAAACAATTCATTCAGCGCTCAGCTCTAACAGTTCATTATCGCACTCACACTGGAGAGCGTCCTCATGTGTGCGAATATACTTCTTGTGGAAAATCATTCAGTGATGTAAGTTTTATACTAATTTATAATATTACATTTTACTTTACTCTACTTTATTGCTTATAAAATATTAATAATACATTAATAATAACAATAATAAATACCCACACACACAAACTCACTCGTACTCATTCTTATTCTTATTCTCCTTTTATAGTCTTCTTCTCTTGCCAGACACAGACGAACCCACACCGGAAAACGACCCTATGTTTGCCATTATCCCGACTGTGGCAAGTCTTTCACACGCAAGACAACTCTCTCTAGACACCAAAGATGCCACGACCCTCAGTGGAAATCTTTTAGGTAAAAATCATATTCTTTATTTTAAAATTAAAAATACATAAATAAATACACACTCTCTCACACACACACATGTTTGTATGTACTTCATTTACTCATTCATCATTTTATTACAGCATGACCAAACCATCTCCCTCAAACAATTATCTTCCTGCATCTCCCACCACCAGTTGCGACTCTGAAGGCGACGCCCCTCCCAGTCCTCCTGCCACACCTTTGGATTGTTTCCAGTACAACCGATCCTCTCCCGTATTGGTGGCTCCGATTGTTTACCGCCCCCTGGCAACACCTTACCACCAACAGCAACACCAACAGCAACACCTCCACCACCACCACCAACAACAACACCAACAGCAACACCAACAACATGGCTACAATTATCCCGAAAAGCCCACAGTTGGCTATCCTCAACAAAGATGGTCTGCACCTCAACCATCTGCCTTTCGTCAACAACCAGCCATGAATGACGGGCCCCATTATCCGTACTACCAGCAACCCTATACTACCCATGGGATGCGTACCCAGCCTTCGTCTTACAGCTACCCCATCGAAATCAAGTAGATCCGAAACAATTTTTTTTCCTTGCACAACAACAGCCAAAAATAATCGCAAATTCTCTCTTTCATCACCGGCGAGCTCAATCAATATTCAAATCCTCCCTTTCAGACAAGACCGTTTTCAATATCCAAAAAAAAATGTTTCAATCTTGATGCCATCAACCTCTTCCTCTCTCTCTCATACACTCAAGATATCTTCCTCTCTCTATCAATCGATCAAACAAACAAACAAACAATCAATCAATCAATCAATTAATCAACAAACCAACAAACCAATCAATCAATCAATCAAACAAACAATCAATCAATCTCTCTCTGTCTGTCCATCTGTACGCTGAAAATTATCCGAAAAGAAGAAATGGAATCGAAAAAGGAAGAAGACAAAGCAGTGTGCGTGTGTGCGTGCAATTCCCCTTCCCCTTTTTTCTTCTTTGCTTTCTTTTCTTCTTTACTCTATTTCTGGCTTACACAGGTGTGCTTCATTTTCAACCCTTGTGTAGTTGGCTGTGTATATCACGCATACTCAACTACATAATGTTCTGTATATACATATATCTGTCGCATGGACAAGTTTTTCTCTCTCTCTCTCTATCTCTTATATTTCTTTTAATATTTTCTGCTGCATTGCAAAAGCACTTGAAGTGCTATCATTATTCTTTATTTTATTTTTCCCTTCATAACCATTTTTTTATATTTTTTTTTTACCACACATCTATGTCTTTATATTCTCTCCATATATTCTCTCTCATATGCCTTTTTTTTTCTCTTTCTCTCTCTTTACACTCTTTCTATATCGCCCCACCATTCTTTATATGTGCCATTATATTTTATATGACCTTTTACATCTGCGATGCTAAACTCAAAAAAAAGGAGGCTCTTATATATAATTGCCAAGAGAAAAAAAAACAACACGACATCGTGTGGTAGTTTTTTATACCATTGCCCGTTTCTACGGGCACTCTTTTTTTATTATTCTTTATTATTTTCCCTTCATCCTATAGACCAAAGACAACAACCACAACAACAACAACAACAACAAGCATTTCTTTTTTTTTCTTCTTCTTTTTTCTTTCTTTATACATCTTGTTTGTAATATTTGTTATTCATTTTTTTCTTTACTCTTTTATTTTTATTATTATTTTATTCCAACAATTTATAAATGAATACAAAAGAGCATTCACTGCATTTTTTTACTATAAACCAAAACCAAAACATACATCTTTAACAAAAAAGAAAGAAAAAAAACATCTGGGGCTGTGTTACCAAATGCTTGAAATCACCATGGATACAAATTCTATATAAAAACAGCGCATGTTTTGTAAAGACAATTAAATATCCAAAGTCTTGGATATACTAATACATACATACACATAAATACATGTATATATACGTGTGTGTGTGTATGTGTGTGTGTGTGTATTTATCTGTGTATGTGTATGTATGTATGTATATATATATGTGTTTTTGACGCGCACGGCCGTGATAGTTTCTTTTTTTCTTTTATTCTTATTAGATAATATCTCGGAGCTTGTACAGTGTTCCTTTAATTTTTTTTTACTTTATTTTATTTATATTTTTGTATAATTGTACAGGACATGTGGTCAATGACACGTCTCACCAGATGGTGGTTTTTCCCCTTTTTGGAAATTGCTGTGTTGCCATGGATACTAGTCATTGGCCGTCGTACATTTTTTTTTATTTCCACTCATCCGAAACAAAAAGAAAATTCCTCGTGCAAAATAGAAATATTTATATCATATATATATATATATCACATATATATAGAGGCAGAGACGTACAGGTGCCAAATATATATCAAGTATGATGTTGTGTAGAGAGCATATAATAATATGATGGATCAAATTAAATGTTGGGTGTCAAATATCAATTTTATCGTACGAGGATACCATTCATACAAGCATACAAGTATAAAAGCATATAAGCATACAAGCGTATAAGCGTATAAACATACTAGCATACTAGCATACGCACACGTACACGCACGTACGCACATACGCACACACGCGCATACATACAGACAAACTGACATACACATATACTTTTTATATTATTTTATTATATTCAAAATAAACTTGCCACATAACGATGTCATAACAATCAATTATAATCAATTAACAAAAAGTCGGACATTTTTATTGCTCCATTCCAAATCACTTGGGATTTTGCCTATTAGTTTTTATTTTGTATTTTGTCAGCCCGAGAATACGGGGTTAAAGCAACTTTTTTCAATAGTACATAATCTCTCCCTTCCTCTCCTTTCCTCTCTCTCTCCCTCTCTTCCTTCATTCCTTCCTTCCTTCCTATTCTCTTTCTTTTTATATATATACATATATATTTAATTATATACATATATAATTACTTTTATATTTAATAGCTGTAATCAGCTCATTAATCAATTACAAGCCAACTAGTAAAATACAGTACAGTAGAGTACATACATATATATACATACATACATACATACATACATGCATACATATACATATATATATATATAATATAAAATGTGTGACAATATTCAATTAAGAACAATACACTTGACTCGTATGATTAGTACCTATAATATTTATTCAACACAGACCAGTACGATAGTAATAATAGTAATAATAGTAGGCTACAATATTTGCTCTGTTTTCTTTTTGTTTTGGATATTCAATGTGATACACTCCAATTCATTGTTTGAAGAATAATTTACTGTCTACGAAAACGATAATAATCAAACGTACTAAAAGTAATTATTAGCCTACTTTATTATTATTATTATTATTATTATTATTATTATTATTATTATTACTGTTCTTGTTGTTATGGTTACAGAACTTACATCATATAGTGAAAAAAAATGCCCATTTTGATTTTTTTTTTGATTTTTTATTTTTTACTACAATTCTTAATTTGGAACCTAATTTCAAATTATCAAGTTACTATAGTGATTTCTTTTTTTTTCAAAGATACGCACACACACACGCACACACACACATATATATATATATGTATGTGCGTGTGTTTATAAAGTTCTTAATTGGAATTTTCTTAACTTTATTCTTATTCTTATTATTCTTTTTGTTAAAATAACAAGCAACATTTTCGTTGGCACAAAATAAGAATAATAAAACTAGTATTATTATTATTATTATTATTTTTGGTATTTATTCGAAATCAATGCAGGAATCCTGCATCTTTTGCCTCGTGTACTTCTTAAAAATACACATTATAATCTCGTGCACAGACCTTGCACGTTTTCTGTTTTGGAAACAATTACAGCTGTAATTACAATTACAGTTACTGTGTAGTTACAGTGCAATCATAATTCCAATTGCAATTCCAATTGCAATTACAGTTATGGTTTCAATTGTAGTAGAGAGTGAAATAAAGAACCAAAAAAAAATGCTGTAAGTTCGTACAAGAAATTGTGCTTCGAACTTGTCCTCCCAATAATAAATAGTTAAATAAATAAATAAAAAGCATTTATACTTTATACTATATTATATTATCTTATCTTATGTAGCTGTTATATCATCATTGTAATTACAGAAACAAACTTACCCGAAATGCTGGAAACATTTTGTTAGATACCTTCTATCATTGAAAACATAAACTTGTAAACCATTTCGATTTGCACATCAGTTCACCCTTGCAATCTTGAAACGCGCACAACTGACAATCAATATTTGAATGCCATCTTTGGTGAGACCATTACCAGCCAATCATAAGTTTAGTAAATGATCTGTAGTATTCCATACCGTGCCATCACTGACTGACTGACTGACTGACTGGCAATTGACTGATTGACTGGTTTTTGGTTGACTGGTTGACTGGTTGACTGACTGGCCAGATATTGACCGCCAGTGTGTATGTGTGTGTGTGTGTAAGGCGTATCTCAAAACTATCAAACTCTCAACTGTTCAATCTCTCTCTGTGTGCGTATGTGTCGGTCTGTCGGCCTATAATTACAAGTGCGTGTGTTTGTGTTTGTGTTTCTGTGCCCTTGTTTTTGCCCTGCTTGTTTGTTATACCAAGCCATTTTTATATATTCCTTCTTCTTCTAGTCCTTATAATTATAATTATAATTATATATATTTTACCTATCTTTATCTCCAACTTATTTTAATTATATATATATATATATAAACAGCTTTACGCGTAATCACGTATATACATATACTTATTCTAGATTCTAAATAATGGCCAATCCATTATCATCTCAACCTCTTCAAGTCCGTGTGCTTACGATGGCAAAGGTAACCTTTTTTTTCCGCATACTAATAAAAGAGATAATACTTCTTTACAACAAATACTACCGAGTTTTGTTATGCTTTATTCTTTTATTACAATAGAGAACCACAAAAATATGTGTGTTAGTATATACAAGTATTAATTGACTTCAATAGAACCTGCAATTCCTCTGGTTTACAGGTCACCTCTTGACTTTGTTCGGTGCCTTGTTGTATGTAATCTCTCTTGTGACATTTAGTTCCAGTACAAAGGGCTACACAATGGCCTACATTGGTGCAATTATATCTTATGGTGTTGTCATCTACAAATCCCACGGTGTAAGTACTATATATATATATATATTACTATATCTTTTCTAGTGTGTTCGTGTGTAGTGGTTGTGTTTTTGTGTAGGATGCGTAGAGTTTTGTATTAATACTTTTATCTCAGATCCCTCAACTTAATGCCCCATTTGCACAGAAGTTGGCAATGGATGAGAATGCTCAGTACCTTCTCTTGGCTCTTTACTGGATGTTCTCTAGTCCTATTTCTGGTGAGCTTAAAATATTCACATATTTCTCTCCACACTCGCAGATATATATATATATATATTATACGTGTACTTACAATCATGTCATATATTTTATGTATTTATTGGGTTGGTTAAAGTGAGTCTTGTTCCCTATGTATCATTCAGCACTTTCCATGCGCTTGGCTATGTCAGAACCAGTATTATTCCCACTATATTCCCTGTACCCGCTGGTTCCACTACAAGCTGGCAACCAAAGACTCAGTTGCAGATCAAGACATGGACTGACAAGAACTATGGTCCTGGTATGAGATTTGTTGCCCAAATTGAAGTTGTTGGTATTATGGGTCGTTTGATTCTTGGACTTTTCAAGTAAGTTGATTTATATATATATATATTTGCAAGCAATCTCCTTGATCCCAAAAAAAAAAGATGAGTATAATCTTGGTATTTATTCATTGGTTTGTTTGTTTGCTTAGGTTGCGTGTCATGTCTGTATTTGTGTTTGCCCAATTCTTGCGATTCCGTTTCCACCTCTCTTCCTACACCAGACAGGCCTTTACCGAGCTCCGTACTCGCCTTGACAGCCTTATCTTGCCTCCAACCGCTGATCCCCGTATTCCCGCAGTAGTTCCCAAGGCCTATTTAACCATCAAGGACATGATTACTCGTTATGGTCAAGCTGTTGTACAGCAGCAGCCTGCACCCCAATAAACTAGATAAAAGGGAGAATGAAGGAAAGAGAGTGTATGTGTTTGTTTTTTCTACCACGAACTTTTCTTTAGTATTATTGTTGCTATTATTATTATTAAAAGAAAAAGAAAAGAAAAGAAATGTGAATATATGTATGTGTGGAAAATGAACTGTTTATTTATTTAGATCTTGAATTGAAAGTAAAGCTAAAAAATATATGTGTTTTCCCCTAATATATATACATATATATACATGGATCACTTTTATACGTATCCTACCCACTTCCATGAGTTGCTCGAGTAGAGTTAATCAAGGTCATAAATAAAAGAAGCGTATAGTGTGCATCGTTTCCTAAAAAGATATTAATAAATAGTTTCGGCTGTCAAAAGAAACCTTCCCCCGAAATAAACATGATACTTTCAAAAAATAATAATAATCAAACCCACTAACTCACCTGCATTGTGGAGACACCATGCATCAATTCCAACTTTACTCAATGTAGTTCCCAACGAAGGTGGGTTGGTTGGGTTACCAATTGATGCACCATACATCGTGTCTGTATTAAGGATAGCTACTGCTGCACTGATTCTCACATTATCAACATCTCCTCCTCTTCCTCCACTGCCACTGCCACTACCATTAATACAACGTCCAGGCCACTTGAACTTTTGGGTAGCAAGATATTTGATATCCGAGTCCAATCCGTGTCCCACCAGCACAAATCCACCGTCTCTTTCAACAGCCCAGTCAAGATCCTTGCGTAGCTCTTCGAGTGCTTGCTTCAGAGTACACCACACAGACGTCCCAAACTGAAACCGCAACTTTTGGTTGTCCACGTATTTCCCATTGACCAAGTGGCGGTAGGAACTATTAATATAGTGCTGGTCCATATAAAGATCGGTTTTGGAGTCGTAGATCGACCAGCCAATCTCCAGTAAAATCGAATGGTCCTCCTCGTAGGCTTCAATGTCAAGACTCACAAACACATACTGTTTTGCTTCTATCAACGCGTGTGCCAATTTTAGCTCTTCTTTAGCCACTCTCAATCGATCCCGTCCCTTGTTCATCTTCGCTACTTCTTTTTCCATTTTTTTGTAGGCCTGAGGGTTGTCAATATTGCATGGGGATAATTCAATGTAATTTTGTCGTTGGAAAGACGGCATGACGGGATCAGGTAGACCACGACGGTTGGTTACTAATGCTAACATTTGCTGCAGTTGGGCGCAGACCAGGCTATGAATCAAAAACACTCTTTCCTGTGTAATTGGGTCTTTACCTAAGATGATGAAAAAAAAAATACATTGAAGTTTGATGCGTAAAGTTGAACAGGATTAACAACAATAAGAGATTATAAAACAAAATAAGATTCAGTGCCTCTATTTATTGTCAACATCAGTAGCATTTATTACCGGTGAAAATTGGCATGTTGACTGTAGTGCTTTCTTCTGCAAAGAACTTTTCTGGTTCAAACAAATGGCGAATAACATTGAGAGAAGCTTCTCCATAATTAGTATATTGATTATACCAGGTCTCCTTTACATCGGACCAATTCACGTAGCCATTATCATTCATTCTTTTTTTTTTATAAAAAATATATATATATATATATAAATATTATTTTATTTTATTTTATTTTATTTTTTCGAGGTTTATTTTATGCTCAACTATAAAAAAATATAATTCAAGTATAGATAGATAGGAATAAATAAAATAAGAATAGTAAGAAGCAGAAGAGGAGGAAGAGGAAGAGGAGGAACAAAAAGATAGAAATGAAAAGATGATTAAATTAAATTGAAATAAATTGAAACATTTTGAAACGTCGATGATGTTTTATTATTATTATTATTATTATTATTATTATTATTATGGCTATGGCTATGGTTATAAATATAACCATAGCTATAGCTATAGCTATAACTAGAACTATGATTATAGGCGTAGCTGTAGCTGTAGCTGTAGCTGTAGATATTGTATTGATATTGCTACTTTGATTAATTTATACTTGTGTGGCAACTGCATAGGCACTAGCCCAGGAAGCTACACTGTCATGATCTCTCAAGAGCCACTTGGCGTTCACTCTGGCAGCCTCGAGCGCCTGGTCGAGTGGGCGAACATACGGAGATTTTTCCTTGTCCGCAAAGAATTCCTCTGCCTCTTTGATCTTGTCTAACGAAACAAATCCTTGGATGGCTAACTGAACAAGTGAACCAAGCGTACTTATGGAGTTAACAAACTTCTTTTCAAAGAGATAGTAGTTCTCTTTAAAGAACTCCCAATACAAAGCATGACTTTCATGGTTTCTTGCGATACTTTTTTTTTAAAAAAAAAAGAAAGAAAGAAAGAAAGAGTATTGTTTGTGTAGATTATTTTAAGATTAATAAATAAACATTCTTTTGCTGCACGCGTCTTTATAAAAAGTAACTAGTTTGAACTTACGGAGTGATGATGCTGAATATATTTTGTGCACGAACTTGCTTCTCGTCTAAACTCATTTGCAAGAGTTTCTTCAAAAGAATATCGCTCTTGATCGAACCAAGTGCTTTAAGTGCATTCAACTGCTGATCATTGGGCAGACTTTCATCGTGGTAAATGCTCAAGATCTCTTCGAATCTTTGATGCTTTTCCTCTTCGGTTTCAGCTGATTTGATAACAATACGATAAACCTCGCCGCGAACACTGGGGTACACAGCATCGTTGTCACCCTTGATCAGTCGATCAAAACGTTCGTTGGCCTCTCGGATTGTGGCAGGGTCCTTGGAGTCACCAGCCTGGTCAATAGCCATAACTCTCAAGCTTTTTGTGATATCATCCTCAGTAGAATGGAACTCCCATCCCAAGCGGTTAATTACGGGTACAAACAAGTGACGGGTTAGTGCAGTGAGTTGATCCTGTACTTCGGTAGGCTGGTATCCCCACACGCGCTTGATTCTTGCAAGGTATATGGTAATTTGGGACCAGACGCTATATATATATTATTTAAAATAAGTCAAAACAAATAGCTTAGGAGACAATGTAATCATAAACGAAAATATTACTAATACAAATACCAATGACTTACAAATAATCGGTTTCATTCTCAAAGTTTTGAGCAAGACGAAGGAAAGCAACTGTGCTTTGATCTCCACTTATGCATAGGTTAGCAGCATCATCAATTAAGCCAATTCTGTCTGACGAATCTTTCAAGAGGCCATCTTGTCCTTTTTTGATTTCATTGGAGAGGATCTCGATGGTCTCAAGTGGATAGTTGACTCTGTAAATCGATTTCTGACCAGCGTTGATCTTAAAAATTCCATGTGAAGGTACGGAGAATGTCTGAGATTTATCTGTCAGTGTGTAGCTTTCGAGACCTTCTGGGGTGAGAATATTGAGGGGTGTCCACCAAATAGTACTAGTTTTGATTGAGTAAAGAGAAATGTAACAAAAAAGGTGAATATTTTGACAATTTTTCTTTTCTTTTCATATTTAACTTACTCGTCTTCTTCTTCCTTGACATCACCAGTAGAAAGATAGCGGGTCTGGGTAACAGTAATAGATCCAGATCCATTCAATGTCACTCTCAAGAGGGGGTACTATTGAAGAAGAATAATGACGAACGGCCAATATAGTTAGAGGTATTGGATTTTTTTTTGATAAAAAAAAAGAGCTTCATTTTTTTTGAGTATATGCTTACACCAACACGACGTGTCCAGAGAGTCATGAACTCGGATACATCTACGCCAGCAGCATCACTCAAGGCAGCCCAAAGATCATCTGTAGAAGCATTCGAAAATTTGTGTGCCTGGATGTACTGGCGGATACCTTCTAAAAACGTCTCGACGCCTAACCAAGAACTCAACATACGGATGACACTCGCACCCTTGAGATATGAGATGGCATCAAAGATCTGGGAGACCTCTTTAGGATCCTTGACAGCGACTTCGATCGGGTGAGAAGATCTGAGAGAATCAAGAACGAGAGCTGAGGGCAAAGAGTCTGTCACAAAGTTTGTCCAGACGTCCCACTCTGGGTGGATGTGGTCGAGAGCAAACCAACCAACCCAGGTAGCGAAACCTTCATTCAACCACAAGTGATCCCACCACTCCATAGTCACCTTTTTTTTTTAAAAAAAAAAGAATAATAATAGAGGGGATTAGAAAAACTATGTGAGTTAACTAATTAGTTAATTAATTATGTACTTACCAAGTTACCAAACCATTGATGGGCAAGTTCATGACACACAACATAGCCAATCGTCTTTTTGGTTTCGATTGAAGATCGTTCATCATCAAATAAAAGCTATGTGGTTTTAATTTGTTTTAGTTGACTGTTTGTATTTCTCTCTCTCTCTCTCTCTCTCTTAGGTTTATATATGAAGGAAAGAGTGAATTGCATGTGTACTTACGGCAACAGTTCTGTAGGTAACCAAACCTGCATTGAAAGAAAGAAAACAAGTTAGCAAGATGTTCAACAAAAAAATAATCTATTAAAACCAAGCGTGTAATTACCCCAGTTCTCCATGGCACCTAAAAAATTTATATGCATATTAGTATTTTTCTTTTTGTAAATAATGATAATAAGAAGAGGAAGGCTTCAATCAATATACCTGAATCGAAATCGGGAATGGCTACCATGTCCATCTTGGGTAAAGGATATGGTTCACCAAATACCTTTGCAAAGTACTCCAATGCCTCTGTACATACTTGGAGAGCATGGCGACCTTGATAGGCTGTACCTGGCAGAGTATACACACGAGAACGGATTTTACGCCCATTGTGTTCTCCGGATGTAAAGGCCTCAATATACTCGAAAGGACCAACCACAAAAGCCAACAAGTATGTGCTCATAATGGGTGTTGTTCTATAGACAACATCCTTTTTGGAGTCGTGTACCTCTTCAGAAACTACGTCCATGTTAGACAATGCGGTCAACTCAGTAGGGACCACAAGTGTAACATCAAATGTTGCCTTTATCGCTGGCTTATTATTGATAAAATTAAGAGCACATACACACAAAGAAAGAAAGAGAGAGAAAATTGGTTTTAATTAATAATCAGATCGGATTAGATATGATATGATATCATTCTAGAGCATGTGTTCATTATTTACCTCGTCCCAGCAAGGGAAAGCGCGTCTGGCAGAAGTGGCTTCAAATTGAGTAGAAGCTAAATACCTTTTTTGTTTTATTTTGTTTTGGATTTTAATATTTGATTAATGAGTTCAATGTTATAGGCTTCAGACTTTTAAAGACTTTTTAGTAATAGAAAGCATACTTTGTATTTCCTTCGGAATCTTTGTATGTCGAGCGGTAGAATCCATTCATCTTGTCATTCAAGATACCCTTGAAGGAAATGTCAAGTACTGCCTTGGAACCAGCCTTGACTTCATTAGCAAAATACAGGGTAGCAATCTGAAGGTCCTCATCATAGGTAATCTTGGTGGAAGTTTGACTAGAGAAAATTGATAAAGATACCCATTAATGTATTATTTGGTATAAGTTAAGACATAATCTATTTATCTGTTTGCATTGAATTGAATTGAATTGAATTGAATTGAATTGATTTTTTTTTGGTAAAAGGTATTGGAATTAATCGATCGATAAATAAATAGAAAACCTACGTTTCACCCGAGACAACAGATAGCACAGCAGAGCTTATATCAATCTCTTGTACGTTGACTACAATGGTTTTAGATGCATCATTGACGTCCAGGCTGCAGGGAAGAAGTCAAGGATAAATAGTAAAACAAAGTGGATTTCGAATTAATACGCTTATTAATAATAATACGAATAAAAATGATTGACCAAATGAATTAATTGCACAGAGAGAGAGATATTATACTTGCTCAATTTTAACTCTTCCTTCAAATACAAATTCCTCAAGATCAGGTGCGAGAGTGAGAGTATAATGAGATGGTCTGACATTAGAAGGCAAAACTTGACGTTCGGTAGGAATAGTCATGATGTCACGCTGATTAGCAATGTAGATTGCGACAAGTACTGGAAATAGAAGCCAAAGGAACCGCCGATCAAAGCCAATCATTCGTGATGGTTTTATAGTGCTCATGTCAATAAGCCTTCCAAGCTTGTTGTGTCTCAAAGACGCTAGTGACCGAACAAGGAAAAAAGAATGATCACAGCTATTCAATCCATTTACAGAAATTTCCCCCTGAATTAGGTACTTTGCAAGAGAATTTCAAAAAAAAGAAAATCAACTGGGCTTCAATACAACAAATACTGGATTACCATGATCCCGTCTTTAACTAACATTAGGCTTGTATAGCACATATAATATATCTGACCAATTAAATATGTAATACTCATAAAAACATCCTATAGAGTTGTTTTGAAACACATATAGTACCCTAAATAATTGCATTACTAAAAACCAAAAAATAACAATAATAATAATTCCGGTTTCTCGGCAATCAAATAAGAAAGTTTGACTTATATTTCTATACCTGGACACTTCTTCCTTGCTAGGATAAAAGCAACCCAAAAATAAAAGATTAAATAAGAAACGCTCTATTTTTTCTTTCTTTCTTTCTCTCTCTTCCAATGTTGAGTCATGTTTCTCCCTCTTACTTTATTTACTTTGCATTAATTTAATGTAATATTATATATATAAAAATAAATAAGCGGCGGTTGGACCGATCCACTTTTGCAAGTAAAGTGCTGAGAGGGTAGGTTACCCTGTCCAGAGGTCCACCGCTAAAAGTCTAAATAAGAATAAATGGAAATTTTTGTTGGAGATTCTATATATATATATATATACATAGACATATACTTGGTTCTTAAATATGTACCATTTAGTCAAAGAACTACAACTATTGTTATTACAGCATTAGGACTGTTGGTTAAAAGTAAAAAGGTGAATAGTCAATTATTCTTCTCGAATAAGACAAACAGATATATGTTTCAAAAGCATTGTAGCCGCATTTACACCCTCAAGTGAGTGAAAGATTAAGAATTAAATGTGTATATACTTTATTTAAACCTCAGAATAAATGGCCTTATTTATTTATTTTTCGAGTTCTGTAAAGCATTAATAAAAGGAATACATGCCATACCAATATATGCCACTAGACCTTAAGTCTAAAACATTGCTGATACTAGGAGATTGACACATCTCAATTTTACTGGACCACCCGCTTGTGTCTTGCTGTCTAGCATCAGATAATTATATCTGATCCAAAAGTATTCATACTTATTACCCACTCAGTTTGTCTACTTTAAATTCAGACGATTTTAGCTTTTTCTTCTTCTTCAGACGAATCAAAATAAATTAAGATTCCTGAAGTTACCTGTACGGATATGTCAGGAAGTCTTGTTAATCACATACTGAAACTAAATAAAAAAAAAAGCTTATACTTGTGGTTGTGACCGCCGGAATGAGAAATGTCGTTGATTCTCGTTTTGCGCAGTAAACATAAATTAGTCAAGCATATTCTTTGCCGCATTGACATCGCGATTCCAGATAATGTCACAATTGGTGTTACTGTAACGCAACACTGAATGGACTTTCTGTTTTGAAGCAGCCGCAGCAATATTGTAAAGGCTCCTATTTTTGCAAGCATTACATACCTGACTGATGATATATTCGTCGACAAAACATACTTCCACAAGATTCTTAAGCCGTTGCATTATCTTCTTTTTTATCAACTTTACAGGAGCAGCCTTCTTCCCTTTCATAGAACTAGAAAAACTAGCATTTTAAAACGCAATTATTGTCTTCGAAAGAGGCATAACTGTGTATTGGGGCACATTTGGGTAGTGAATGGAACCTTTTCTTTGGGAGCTGTCTTGATTCCTATTCTGCTGCCTTGGTAACACTTCTGGATTCCGACAAGTAACCGTTGGCATATTTCACTCACGCCTCTTTTTGTTTCTTTAAGTATGCTTTGAATCTCAACTTTGAGTACCTATGTAATGTGTTATTAAGAAATCATGTTTTATACTTAAACATCTATTGATTTACCAGCTATCTGCGTTATAATAGTCGTAGAACGTGTCATGAATGATAATTCGTTTTCTTCACAAGCTTCATTCAATTAAGATAAATCAACAGTTTTGACAGAAGGAAGTTCGTTGATCATTTTAAATATTGCCTCATTTTCATCTTGATGCTTCTTTCTCAAGTGTTTGGAGTTATTATAACTGTTATATTTGTGTATCTGGAAAGGTTGGGACGACAAGTACCTTGAGACTCTTTTTTTATCGTTTGTTTAAAAGATCAAGTCAAATCGAGCTTTCTTAATAAAAGCTATTTTATCTATGATATTTATATTTATTGAGATATATACAGTCACCCTGGGTATGAGTCCTCTCGACTGCTTTGCGATAATAGTTTAAGTACTTCTTGAAGATGATCCAATGATGGTTCAGACATATTGCTATTATGTTTCAGACAGGAACTTCGTATTGGATCATCATTTATAACGACCTCTTTGACAGGTACTTCTGTATGGGTTCGTACATGATATCAGATATCAAAGTATCACAAATACAACAATAACCACAAATATGATAATATTCATTGAGGGTCACTACTATTTGTCGTTTTTGATCTTCCAAAGAGTCCACGGCGGTCATCAAGCCAGTTATACCTGGGTCGACACCCTATATTGTGCAACCGTTGTGAATATCAGAAAGCAATTCTGGAGGGTTTCTTTCAGTGTCCCTTTTCTACTTTACAGTTCCACAACGTAGGAACGACAATGAATAGCCGCCCGTAAAAGTTGTTTCTCTAATTATGGACCTAGGTTAGGGAGGACTTTACGGACAGCCTGGCGAGAGATCAATGAACACTAAGTGCGAGGACAAAGTAGTAAAGCTAATGCATACAATGAATATATTGAATTTCTTCAAGTCCCACCATTTTGCCCTGAAGGTTTAGAGAAAGACACCGGGCCCCGGACATGTAGCCACAATTGATTAGTCCGGTTAGATAGAAGTGTCGTGCCCCACTAGGAAATGTCGTTCCCGTAAGATCGCTGATATTGTGCTGCCCAATTATTCATAATAATGTATGTTAACAAGGTCATAATGGTTTCTTTTTCTCTCTCTCATTATCACGACGATTGTTTCCATATTCCAAGCCAATGAATAAGTTAAACACAGATACGAGAAGGCCATTACTTTTGGTAAAGGGTATTTAAAGTCTGATAGAAGCTCCACTAATATCTCAATACTCAATCTTAATACAGACAGAGGTTATTTCCCTTTATACTACTTACACATACCTATATTTTTTTTTAAAAAAAAAAGAAAGTACTATTATTTCGAAATAGAATTTCAACATAACATTATGTTTATCTTTTGAAATGTTTGCTGTTTAGCAAAAATGTATGTCAAGTAATGATTTTTTTTTTACAGAGTAGCCAATATATAAATAATTAACAAAGGCTTATTTTTAATAATAAAAATAAAAGAATAAAACAAAAATTTCCTTTAATAATTTTTGGTTTAAAGGATTCTTGTTTTCTGGCTCTTGTTATTTACTTGCCGCACCATAATTAGTACGAATTTGCAACGCTGTTGTCAAAATGTACATCGTTTTTTACTACAGTTTGTCTGCTACTTGGGAAGCCAGCTTCTATAACATCCTTGAAAAAGTCAAATTTCTTTCCTGATACGCCGCTATTCTCGCTACAGTCAAAATCAGACAAGTCAAGACAAATGTCATTATTTTCAATTTGTAATGGTCCGATCACTACAATTTTTTTTTGAAAATAAAATAAAAATAAGCAACGACAAACATAGGTGTTAGTAATGCTTGAACGAAATTATTTCGTGTGTATATATATATAAAACTCACACTCGATCTGTGATTCTAGTCCCACAATAATTTGTGGAGCACCATCCATATAACTTCTACTATTTCGGTTACTTCGGCTAGTCTCTTCAGCCATACTTCGCGAGATGTGAAGTTTTGAAGAGTCTTCTATCAAAGTCAACTCAGGCTGTGCGGAAGATAATCCATATAGATCCTTATTCTGCTGGTACAGTGGTACGTTAGATTTGTAATTGTATTGTCCACCTGTGATTAAAGAGTCATCGTTGTCGTTGTCGTCGTCGTCGTTATTGATATTAACTGTCCAGAATACATAGCTAAACTCGGTCAGAAGTAGATGAAATATACCAGAAGGGATTCCGAGCGTTGCAGAAAAGACAATTCCAATGTTTCGCATGTTCATCTTATTTATTTCGGCGTTTTGTACTACCCGTACGAGATGAGCAGATAGGGTTCGCAAAAGAGTGTAGTTCGCCAAGGGTAACAAGGACACAAGTCTTCCAAGTTCAGTAATCCTTTCATTGCGATCGATCACATCTAAAATCAATATGATCGTGATTTTGAAAATATTAGAACATACCCACCATAAATCCTCTGTTCATTTATTTACTTTTAGAAAAAGTAAATGCGCACAGATATAAGTACATACCAATCACCAACATAAAGTCGTTCATGAGCTCTGATGTTAGAATGTTTCCCGGAAGTTCACGGAGCCACATCTTAAGTAGACCAGCAACAGCGTGAAGATCATGATACTCTTCTGACTCGAGAAGATTGATATCTCCTTCTAATGAATATTATATTGATTAGTATTTACATATACATATAATCTCAAAAAGAAATAAATAAATAAAGATTGGGGTTATGCCATATTCTTACCTTGATTAAATTGATCTTTCAAACTTTTAATCTTCACAGCACTGCCACTAAGACGATATATTCCTTCTTCTTCAAATGCATCCTTTGCCTCAAGGTATTCTATACAGCGATAGACAATGGCAGGAAGTTCATATTTTTCAGATATCCTGGAAATACGAACTGCTTCTTCCAAAGGTACGCCAAATACGGGCCTTGAAGGTTTACCAAACATCTCTGTACTTGACATTTTATTGTCAGCCATTGCTCTTTCTGCTGTTTCGCTCGAACTACGGGAAAGTAGTCCGCGTAAGCCACCAGATTGATTGGTGTTTGAGTTTGCAGTCGAGGATGATGTCGACGGCGAAGTTATTGCTGCTGGTGCTGTTAATGTTGCTGCCATCGTTGTTGCTGTCGTTACTGACGCTGATCCTAACGAGGATGCCGAATCTGGTGCGGCTGTACCAAAAATGTCGGTCTGAAGGACTTCATTAGAAGAACTTGAGAATATCTTTTTCCCCCAAAATGTGCGTCGGTTAATCATCTGCTTTGCCTTTTTTGCATCTTGCTCTACAGAGCTATCGGTGGTTCCTGATCTATAGAATGGCCTTGGGTTGTTGCCATCAAATGTGGTACTGATTTGCGACAGATAGTCCGAGCTTCGGAAGAGTTCGTCTGTGCCTTCTCTTGGAGGAAAGCTAATCGAATTGCGCTTTGAGAACTGCTGTCTCTGACCAAAGAGGACGTGGTCAGCACTCGATCGGTCCCGCAAGGCCTGTATATCCTTTTCTCGTATGCTGGTCAGTGTATTACTACTAGTAGCATCAGATGGTGATAATGATTCGGAAGGGTATAAGGTTGTGTCTGAGCTAGATCGTGGTAAATACGATGTTTTCTTGGTGTTTGTTGGTACTGTTGGGACTGTATCACTGCTCCGTGCCTTGCGTGCTTTGTCTCCTTTCTTGCTGGCTTTCTGGTTATTGTTTCGCTTTATATTCTCTTCTTCGCTACTGGCATTTTGCCGATTGACATACTGGGCAAGTGCTTCTACCCACTGATCTCTTTCGGCATCAGAGCTAGCACAGAGCACGTGGCGATTGACACCATTGGGCGCTGTTTTCTTTGGTTCCAAGATCAAAAAGGCGTGTCTAAATGATCTGTTGTCACTAGAAGAGTCTGTTCCAGTTTGTGGCGCACTGGTTTGACGACCAATTTGCGCACTATATAATCTGATTGTACCAAGAAGAGGACCATCTTTCTACAACACCAACAATATAAACAAGTAAATAAATAAATATATGTGCATAGAATAGGATAGGATGGGATGGGATAATTCGCTATTAAAGAAAGTTCTACTCACTCCATCATAATAGTGAAGTTCAGGACCTTCAAGTGAGAAATATCTTGTTTTCCATCCACCAAAGTTTTTCCCGCGTTTGGTCAAGTATCCGTACTTGTGTCCTAAAGGCTAAAAGAAAATATACTCTGAATTAGCTATTTGATGAAATATATGTTTTTCTTTGTTATACTTTACATGAGAAGGATGCCGTTGGTCAGTGACTACATTTGTGCTAAGGAATTCGCAAAGCCAATTGGAATCATCAACTGATACATTGATAGCATTCTGTAAATATTTTTCAATTGCAATCTACAAGAGCAAAAAATAATAATAAGCAGCTAATTTTATTGATGTTTAAATGTATAACACACACAAATATAAGATAGCTAACCTTTCTTTGATCCACTTTGTTTGGTGCATGGGTAGAAAAGAGTGCTTTGTCCGGAAGTTTACCAATTCTCTGTGCTGCAGACCGAACCTGAAGTTTCAACTAGGTAGATATGAGCTGTTAGATATATATATCAATTTTTTTTTAAAAAAGCTAGTAAAAAAATCACTATTCTTATGTGTTTTACCTGTGAATCTAATGTCACTATATCTGAATGCTGCTTTTCTACTCTCCAAAGCTCTTCGGATGTGCTGCTTGAGAAATCAGGTGTCTTGATAACCGCAATAATAAAATACACCGCTTCTTTTCCTTTCTCGTTTGTTTTTATGCTTGATCCAACCACTTTTACAGAAATACCAGCCATATTTGAAAAGAAAGGGTTTTTTGGTAATGGTTTGGTTACTGTCTTTGCCATTGCTGCCATTGATGCCGCTGTTGTTATCGGTACTGACATCGCTGTTGGTGAAAGAATGATTCCTGAAGTACTAACTAGTGTTTCTCCATCAAAATCTCTCCTAAATTCATTCGGTTGGGTACGGTTGAATCGATCCTCATCCACGGATGAATTGTGTTGTACAACAGAAGTGCCATGTACCTCAGGGCTCATAAAAGGCATTGGAGACGGAAGAGCGTATGCAGCGAGCTCTTGTCCAACCAGAGTACGAACAGAGCCTGAACTGTGATCTTGATGTACTCTTGCAGGTCGCTGTGGTTTATGCACTTGTGCAAGGAATTGTGGCTTTTCGTGTACGAGCGATGAGTATGATAGCCCGTCGGGGTCCTCATTTCTTGAAGAGCAAACCTGTGGTTTTGTAATCGCCCGAAGGTCTTTGTCGCAAGACACATTGTAGGCGGGGGATTCAGTATCTTCGGTGAGAGCATTGTAGTGTGCAGGTACTATATTATGCGAATACTCATGCCCGGCTGTTGTAGGTGTGTAAGCATGGTCATTAGCGGTTTTTTCTCTCGTATGATGGTTGCTTTGATGTGAATGAGAAGAATAAGGGGCAGTAGTAGTTGAGGTTGAGGTTGAAGTCGAGGTGGGGGTTGAGGTGGAGGTGGAGGTGTTTGTTGTAGCGGCAATGGTGTGAGATAAAGTTAATTTGAGAGGCGCTGGTCTATTGGCGTGTGTTTGATTAACAGGGTGGGGCTGAGTATCTTTGTCGTGAGTAAGGTTTTGTTGATAATTAGAGTTTGATGGTATGGTTGAATTATAGGAGGTACTAATATTAGTATTATTATTATTATTATTATTATTATGTTGTTGTTGTTGTTGTTGATTATGATGATGAGCAGAAGGAGTAGGAGGAGCAAGAGCGGGAAAAGTAACAGGAGCAGGAGCAGAAGGAGTATTAGGGTGTAAAATGGTTGAGTTATGGACATCTTTGGACGAATTTTGACGATAAGGAGATCTTGGAGGGGGTACGGGCCCTAGAAGTATTGCCTCCGAGAATTCGGGGTAAGTAGCGGGCTGTTGAAGGGACTCAGATGACGAGCTCAAAGAAGACCTTTCGAGATTATCAATGTGATGGTGATTGTTATCAACTTCAGGTATAATTGTACTTGTCAGCTCATCGTCCAGGTCATGATTTCGAGACTTTTTCAGGAGATTATCGCGTTCGGCTGTCACTTTTACCAAGCTCTTTTGGAGATTCTGAATGATGAGTCGTTGTTTCTCAATAATTTTCCATAATTGATCGTTCTGAGCAGCAAAGTCAAGAGAAGGTTGAATCGTTGGTACGATGGTAGTCATCGCGATAGTTTTAATTGGAAGTGTATTATTAGAAACGAAAGCAAAAATAAATAAATAATAAGAATACTAATAAAAGGGCAAAAGGTAGAAAAATAAAAAGCAATAAGCAAAGTAAAAAAATAAATAAATAAATAAATATAACAAAACTCAAAAAGCAAGAAAATGAAGCAGTATAGACAAGTTTATAAGAGGCTCATCTACACGGCACTCTAAATAATCATAGTATATATAAATATAAACTAAATATAAAGAGAAAACCTGATGCAGCAAAAAGATAACCACGGGCCTCTAACAAACAGGCAGCTGTCTGTTTTTGGCTAGGTCTTAATTTCGTAAGCGCCTTTAATTATCCAAAAAAAATAACACCAGTAAATGAGTTGTACAAAAGAGCATGTAGCCGCTATTTCTGAATTTTAAGCATTTGAGTAAGTTGTATAAATATATAAATATATATGTTTATTATAGTGTAATACGGCTATTAGTAGCCTATGTGTAGAATGATATTGTTAAATGAATTATATACCTGGTGCTTAGGACAAAAACCGCCTCATGGCTAAACATCCAATGGAAAATTATATGTATAAAATGAAAATAATTCAGGAGCCGTTTATTTTATTTTATTTTATTTTATGAAAATAGTGTAACATCTCTTTGTAAAATAAAATAAAAAGAGTCGAGAACATAAAAGAAAAGGTACAACTTGAAGAAATGTACCTGTGATAATGGTCATGGTCATGGTCATGGTCATGGTTCTGGTCATGATAATAGTCATAATGATAAACTACTAATAATATAAAGTAGTAAAGAAATATTAAATAGCCAGTCATTGAGTAGGAAAGGTTTCTACAAAAGGTAACTAGTTGCACACATCAAAGCTACAATCATGCTCATCCAATAAAATACTCCTTTCTTATTTGAATTACATTGGGTACAACATAAATAGGTAATATATATGTATATGACAAATGGCTTTGTAGCCTACTAGGCAATTGTTCCTACCAGGTCGAGTTTGAACGCGTGCTGGAGTAGATCATATTTCTAATAAGCATGTGTGTAGTGTAAAATAAAAATAAGAATATTATTCAATCTTATTAGGCCATTTTGTCCTACATCAAGTCCAAGACCACCACACCAAATATGCAGGAAAGAGTATATTTACCATGTGGATAGAAGATTCATGTAGTTCTTTTCTATATTCTCAAAGACATGCCTCGAAACGTAAAAATAGGATAGGCAAAGGATATTTTAATATCAGAGTACCATTTCCAGGCATCTTGATCGCATTGCACAGACACACACACAATACCCCACGATCTTTATTTTGTTTGTTTGTTAAGAGGCTTACATACACATATACTCTAACTTATTACTTTAAGCATATATGATTATACTATAATAAATAGCGTGCTAGCTATAAAGGATTTCCTCTTCTTCCTCTTCTTCCTCTTCTTCTTCTTAAAGAAGATGATTCTACAGCATTTCTGAACACAATTAAGAATATTTTAATCCACAAATTTACATGCTGTTAAAAATTGATGGAGATCTCTTTACATTATAAGAGTTTGTTACCCTTTCTGAGATTTCTTAAGGTAATATGATTATCTTTTTTTGGTATTCTTATCCATGCATTAAGATTTACATCTGGTACTGTTTTGGCAGTGTAAGCTATACTCTCGGCAATCATGATAGTTTGCCAGGACATTTAAGCAACAAGTTGGAAATCAACTAAAGTATGTTGTACATTAATACATAGATACATGTATAAAGAGAGAGCAAAGATAATATCTGAGTTGTATAAAGTCGCAAAGCTCAAAAAGACTTTGATCCGCAAATCAATTGGCTCGCTATTGATTTCTTTTTATGGCTTCTTTTATAAGATTGTAACAATTCTATGAACGCTTTGATCCTACTCTGCTTTCTTGTTTGGGTATTGCTTGTTCAAGATGGCCCAGAAAGATTATTTAAAGAATAAGGAGATATATACTATATGATACTTAGTTTTAGCAGAAAAACAAGATTTTACTCTTTATTACCATCAAGGCTCTAACATATGAAAATGATAGTATATATCAATCTTACTGTTTATGTGTAACTTATATAAAAGCACTCTTTTATTGGTAGGCTGGTTGGGTTGGTTTATTTTGTTTTTGGTGCCCAGGTTGAACCCAAGCCATACTATTTGGAAGCACCGGCCAGAAGAAGAAGAAGATAGATTAATAAGGATTATGTTAATGAGAGCACAAGAACAAGATGCTGTGAAAAGAGAAGAAAAATAATATATATAATAGAATTTTATGGTTGGACAGACAAGCGCTTTATTTGCCATAAAATTAAGTTTGATCTGCATGACTGAATCAAAAAGCTGTACTTATGTATATGCTTATGGTATAAATAAGCAGTGAATATTGTTATGGACAATATTAAACACTAACAGAAATTTGCTCTTTATTTTGATAGAAATAAAGAATTGAATAATATATATGTGCTTTTGTTTGGATCAACGTCTTTCAAAGAATATTACCGTAAAAAGCCAATAAATTGTACACTTAATATTAAAAGCGAAAATCATAAGAGCCACCCAAAAAAAAAAGGATCATTTTGGAACTAATGGTTGACATTTGTTTTAGTATTTCTTCCTATAAAAGTATTAATTTCCTTATTATATTTATAATATGTATACCTCTGTGACCACATCTATATTATTTCTGCTAGTACAGGGTATCCGAATAATATCCATTACTATTAATTCTTAGTGTATATATATACAAATTTTTTGTATTGAAGGAGTACAAAACAAAAGACAAACCGACACTGTGGCCAGAATTCATCCATCGGGATGGCGGACAAGTGCAACACCAAATTCTAACAAATTATAATATAAAGTAAAATTAAATTAAATTAAATGACAAAGAAAAAGTCCCTTTTATTTATTATTAGCAAAAGATGTGTTGAGTACAGTGAAGTCTATTGATTGAAGAATGGGGGTAGACAGTTCTCACATATAGTGGTTTATTAAGGTATAAAGGCAATAGAAATAAAGTGTTGCATTATAGAGCATTCATGCTGTAAATTAAATAAGGATTCATGTGATCTAAGTGGTAGGGTTGCTTAATACAAACGAGATTCAATATATATATATAAGTATTCTCGATTAACAGGATTCACTCGTTTTAACTCCAAAAAGTTGGAAAGGCATGAGATAGGATTAGAGCAAGGCATACGAAACGGCAGGAACCAAGAGCCCAGCAAGGGCAGAAAGAGCCAATTTGGTGGCACCGCTGTCCTTGTTTGCGTCATGCCCGACAACGGATATACTTGCTGTAGCAGTGGCACCGTTCAAAGGATTGCCCGAAGAACTAACACTAGAAAAAAATATGGTTAGAGAATCCATAAAAGCCTCAATGGCCAAAATGCAATGCAAAACAAAAGGTATAGCTGATTTACATACCCAGTTGGCTTGGAAGGAGTAACGACAATTGCACTTGAGGCAACAGCAGAGGGGCCAACAGAGGAAGCATGGCTTGGGATGATACTAGAGAGAGCTGAAGAAGAGACAGAGCTTGGGTCGGCAACAGCAGAGGCATCCTCGGCAACGGAGCTTGGATCAGCAGTAGCAGCAATGGTGGCAAGGGCTGCAAAAATGATCAGGGTAAACTTCATTGTTATAAGGTATTAATAAACGAATAAACGAATATAGATTGATGGTTAAAGATAATAATGGTAGGAATAGATAAAGTCGGCAGCAAAGACTTGACTGGTATTTATACAAGACGCAACAATTTTTATTTATTTTATTGATCTATTTCAAGTGCTTTTTTAGATACCAAAGGGGTACCATGGTTCAATTGAGCTGCCTTTTCACATGAAAAGATATGACGATTGAATATTGTACGCGATGCATATGATATTTCAAACTTATCCCGTTTATCAAAAGAAGAAGACGAATAATAATTTTGAAAAGTTGACAATTTTTTTTTGTCCCTTGTGCAATCTTTGTCTTTCTCTTCACTTGGATCAAGAATATGTATATATATATTACACTTAATTAATAATTTGATTGGCAGTCCCATAGTTCAAGCTTTACACCAAAAAAAAAAGCTACTTTGAATATTCCTGTGCGACATCGATGGACGCTGAATGGCACCACATCTGTCATGGTAACAGAGCACACCTATATAATTACACTCAATAACTCTATTTGGCATTCAATGGCCACAAAATAAAAAGAAAGAAAAAAAAATAGAAAACAAATTATTATTATTTTATTTTATTTTATTTTTTAAAAGAAAAACTTGTTTTTAAACTCTCAATTCCAAAAATGATCAATCAGTCAATAAATCAATGAATCTCTTTAAAGTACTAGTTATCCAAATCAGTGTGAATTTGACAGCCGTCGTCTTGTAAAAACACCAAAAAATTAATTAATAAATAAATAAATAAAGAAGTAAAGAAAAATATCATTCGTTTTTTTTTGTACTGTTTGTGAAAAAGGCAGATCCCTTCTCCGAATGCCGTATTGTCTCTTTTTGGTTCTGAAAATGCGAAAAAAAAATCCCGAAATACAAATACAGATTTTCAACTTGAGATTAAGACAAATTAAGAAATGATCTAGACGAATCAAAATTGATTCCTAGACAAAAAAGAGTTAGTTTTCAGATGATTTGGAAATAAATACAAGACAAGACTTCTCTACCTGTAACAATCTAAATCCTAAAGAAAGGAAAACCGTGTTTGATATGGCGATTATTATTTTTTCTTTGGCGTAAAGACATCCGGTCTTCTTTCTCCTGGCCAAATTGACTCTGAAATCGACATCATGTTTTTGTCTGCGTTAGAATCTCTTTGCCATACTTTGTTGCATTGTTTGCAAGATACAACGGCTACACCTTTAAACAGTTTTGTATTGATAATTTTCATGTTATCAAAGAAACAGAGGCTGCGTGTTTTGGAGGTTTTAAATTTGTCTATTATAATAACAATCAACTTATCTTCAGCCTCTCGTTTCTTTAACGACTTATAAAGCTTGCCAGCAACACCACATCTATGTCCTTTTAACTTGATATCATCTTTACCAAATATTCCACTACCAAATACAAGCAAGGAGCTTTGCTACTATCTTGCTAATACTTGATAGGCTTCCATTTGTCTTGTCTTTTTTTTTAAAAAAAAATAGATAAATAAGAAACATTTACAAACAAGAAAAAGTAAACTGCTTACTTGGTCCAAACTTGAGTCAAACTTTCAAAAGTGATGTCGCCATTATTCTTCATCCTTTTCTTCCTCTCCTCTTCTCTTATTTTTTTCTCTTACTCTTTACCCTTTTTACCTTGCTTTGTTTTCTGTCACCGCTTATTAGCATGCTGGCTATTATATTGGGAGCTCACTATCCGCCTTGATACAAGAAGAACCTGTATTTTGTAGTATCGAAGTCATAAGTAACGGCTGATATGGCCAGATATTGAAAAAAAAAATTGGCGTAGCTTTTATAAGAATTCAGATGTAATTTCTGGGGTGGGAATGGAACTTTTGATTTTGTTAAGCTCTCGTTCTTTTTCAGCTCTGTCTGTTTGACGGCATGTTTTGTAGTCCCCATATAATGTTAGTACTCTTTTGTGCTCCAACACGTCAACGCATGCTTCTGAGTGCTTAAGGCACAAGCAGTAGCAAACACGGAGCTTCTACCTGGATCAATAAAAACGGGCATATATTCTTGTTCGACTTCTTGGTAGTTGAAATATGACAGCTTTAATTGGAGGCTGTGAACTGGGTCCTTTATAGTTGTATTTATTTTGTAAAAAAAAAAAGGGGGGGGGGCAATCTAGACCAAAGCCATCGGGTCTAATGATATTACTAAAGAGAACATCGTTATTGTCATTTAGTTAAAGAGCATCACTAGTTTATGAATAGAGTAGTCAGAGCGTGTGTCAAAATAATTCAATAGTGAGTGACATACTTTGAAAACCGTAGCCTATCGGATTTTACACGGTGAAATGAGTTTAAGTTGGTCATTATAAGCCCTTGGAAGCGACAATGAAAGAAGTATACGTATACCGTTGATACTTATGGCTATAGACCGAACGTGCATCGATGGATTAGGATATAAATCATAAAGTCGCGGCAAAGGAAGCCGCCTGATATTGTAAGGCTGGTGACATATGTGTTCAGCTTCGTAGGAGGATAGAATATATAATAATAACGGAATAAAGCTTTACGTTTGTTCTGAAAGAGTTACCAAAGTAGCCTCCATTGGCAAAAGTCCTTTTAGTGGTAGGCATATATCTTTGATTTGTTCCTTAAGATCTTCTGATAGTGAGTGGCAATTTTCCCATTTAGGACTGACGCCACAAACAAACTGATAACAGTACTGTTTTTTTTTGCTATGAAAGCCACATATTTAGGGTGCATATTCTACAAATCGCAAAGATGTTAGATTTTGCCACAGACGAGCACAAATAACGGCTTACAAGAAATGTATTTTACATAAGATATCTAAAATATTGTAAAAGCTTACCTTTAAAGTTCTTCGCTATATTATTTTTATAAATAGTAACGAGATCTACACAAGCTGCTGTCAATGGTTAACTAGCGCCTTTAGGAAACCTTTCTGCATAACTTACACTTGAATACAAAGTACAAATGTGCCCAAAATAATCAAAATAGGGCTGGGAATTATAATACTGCTTGTTACATTTCGGCCTTTTACTAGCTAGCAAACAGAATACCAATAATTTTGCTTGAAGATACAGTCTGGTATTGGTTCTAGATTTTCTAATATAAAGTAATTTGTAAATAGCATTGCCTTAATGCCTATTTGCTGGATATATATTGAGCTATCGATTATTCTGTTTCTTAAAGTATTTCTGCACGCGTTGTTTATCATTGTATCGAGTGCACTCTTTCGATTAAAGGCCTGATAGTTACTGCCTAAATTGGCTTCTACTACCTTCTGTTTTGAAAGCACGTGGTTTGGGCAGGCCTTAGAGCTAGCCGTACTATGCCCATTCTATTTACAGTCTTTGCATACAGTATATGATGAACTTGATGATGTTACCCATCTCTTAGCTTTTGATTTTTGAGCCTTTACTAAGTAGCTTTGTTTTCGTTTTTTCTTTATGTTCTCATTCTTAAACGCGTTAAAGTGCTATCTAACTAAATCTAAATCTAAGATATATTTAATAGTTTACTATCATTTGCAAACACTTATTCGTAGAGGGGACATTTGCAGAAGCTCTTACTGGTGTTTCCTTTTTATTTGTAGTCAGCTCATGTCATATCTATAAAAAAGGCGTGCTCAGTAAACGCAAGTTTTATATACATGTAGCTTACTTACTTTAAACCCATTGTCATTTTCATCACTTCTTGCTTCAAGATTCATTAAAATCTTCTTTTTCTTTTTAATAATAGTATTATTTTTCTTAACATAGTACAGCTTGAAATATTGTTGAAGGAAAAATAAGATATGAAAAAAAAACTGATTTTGATCTTACAAAATGTCGTTTGATAGATTTATTATAAAATGATAGATCATACATATTATTAAAAAGAAAGAGAGATACTCTGTACAAGACTTACATTTAGTCTCTATATTTTTAAAGAAAAATGGAAGAAAGTATTATTTTTCTTCTAAATAAAGCTTTGGCTGTATCAAAAACATCATATAATTCAAAGAATCTAGCAGCTTTGAAAACCTTGGAAAAACCTAAGAGACTTAAGAGACTCGAAAGTTTTTAGGTGCTTAAAGAGTTATAAGGGCCATAAGGCCTATGAAAGTTATTAGGGGTATTAGAGCTATAAAAGCTTTAGACACTTTAAGGAAACCAGAGATTGTAAATAATTCAATGATATCGGAAAAATTCTTGTCATCATTATATACATTATTACGTACATAATATATAAAATGGTAATTGTGCGCCCAATCGAGATAAATAACATAGAAGTAGGAAAAGTTAGAGATCAGATGACATACCATATGGAATTTGGATTTACACAAGAAAACATTGTAACTCTCAAGACAACTATAGAAATTTGAAAAGGTTTTATAAGATTAGACAAACGGATAATGCAAACATGTAGTAAATACTTAAATTGATAATAGTATAAGAACCGTGTAATAAAGTTTAGCTACAAATATTATCATAAACATTAGAAGATGAATGTATACAAATTATTAAATAAAATGAAAAAAAAGAAACTAAACAACAAGTGTAATTATTACTATTTTATTTGATCCAAAATTTTCAATTTTTGTATGGATCATTTTCGTTTTTGATTTAGTATCGAATATTTAAATAAGCTTAAACGACCAGTTTTTCTTTCTTTCTTAGAATAGCATGGCTATTGCCTCTTAAACTGTCCCAATGAGAACAACCGGTCGATCCCGTGTATCATATACTATATATAGCCAGATTTAAGAAGACATGAGAAAAAGCGCAAAAAAAAGGGATAAGGTGAAAAAGGTAATTTGGTTAAATCAGTCAAGTAAGCTAATGATAAAGATATCTAATATTAAGGAAGAATATATCATAATCTTAATAGATATTGTCCATAGATAAAAATATGACAGGAATAGCTACTGTCATCTTTGGCTGTTTATACAGAATGTACCAATTTACAATCTATTGATCTTCTTTCTTTATTACAAGAAAATATACATATGTATATATATCAGACACTTACTAAGTGATTGTAATATTGGTCACAAAATTTAAAAAAAATGATACTGTAGAAATACCTTGACATTTTCTCTTGGCTCAAGAAGTGAAAATTGAGAAAGAGGGGGAGCATGTGGGGACGTGCGTACTAGGAGAATGTGTGTGAATGTGTTTTTACTTCATTTTATAGGCAATATGCTGTCAAGTGTATTTGCTGATGTGCAAAAGAAAACATCTCTCTATTGTAATGCTCAAAACAAGCAAGACAGTCTTTTTTTTTTTAAAGAAAAATGGAATCAAACCCAGTTTTCCCCTAGGGACAGACATTTGTGGTCAGAACAGGAAAACAGGCTTTGTGTTTTTCTACACAATAATTCTGCAGTTTATTCCACCTAACCATCATTTTTTTTTATTTGTTTGAAATTTTTGGGATGTCGTTTATTTAGGTCTTATTATTAATAGTGATTATAATCTTTATTTAACAGTAAGCAAAAAGACTATGTTTTTATTGTATTTTTTTGTGTTAAATTCTTGCTATGTTGTTTGGTAATGAATGGTACAAATTGATGGTCGTCTTTAAATTATAGAATTTCTCGACATACTTTAATCTCTATACAATACTTATTTATTTATTTTTGCTTTCCTTTATAAGTCTCATAACCTTGATTGATAATAAAATATATTTGCTTGTATATATATATATATATATATATAATTAGATATGTATGTATAAAATACGAATGTTTATACTTTGTACCAAAATGAGTATGATGGAGAGATTGTCTAACCGGAAGAACGTTTTGCCTTACTGGTTTTAATTTATTTATATATATATCATGGGATAATAAAACAATAGAAGGCTGTTTATATGTATACAAATGTAGACACATACATACACACAAAAGATAAATGGTTTATAAAATCAATATAAAGCTAAGCCTGTTTGAAGCTTAATAAAAGACCACAAGACTTACTGTATCCTCAAACAGACAATCAACCAATCAATCAACCAATCGATCAACCGATCGAACAAATAAAGGAAAGGGAATTGAATTGAATTGAATTGAATTGAATGGAATTGAATGCGCTCAACAGATTTTCTAGTAAAGAGTGTCCAGACTTCATGTTTAGAGTATATATCTTTAGGATTTAAAATATATTAGTATAAAAAGATAAACCAGCCACATCTGGCATTCATATATCTGCCATCTTTGTAACACATACACACATATATACATATATACATATATATATATATATATATTTACAACTGTAAAAAGAAAAGGAAATGAATGAATGAAAGAAAGAACAGCATGATCTTGTTTGTTTAAAAATAAGAATGAATTCAAACCAACTACCTGCTGTAGAATATAACATATATAAGAACAGCAGCAAGAAGTGATATCAATTTCTACAATTAGAGGAAAGATGTATACAATACTTATACGTATATATTTAAGTCAAGTTGAAGAAGAAACCCAATCTTCTTCGCCACAGCCGGACATACTTCACAATTGGCAATAAAAATAAAAATAAAAATAAAAATAAAAATAAATATTGTCTTGTGTGTGTAGAATAATGTACAATTCAATAGAGAACCCGTTGGGATGTGATATTTTCAAAGACTGCTAAAAAAGAATTATTAGTGAAACCCAGTCAAAAAAAAAAAGAAAAAAAAAACCCAACCACAGTTGATGAAAACAGAAGTACTGTGACAAACATAAGAGAGATACATCTTAATAAACTTGACTTTTCAAGACTTATTCTCTTAAGTAAATATATAGAGACGACTCTTGATTATATTATGTTTATGTTTGAAGGTAGAAAAACAAGCTCAATTCTTAATAAAGACTTGGTGATGAAATGGCCTCCCTCAGTAAACTTTTACATCTTTTCATTGGAATGTAAATCGCCGCGTAAAGCAAAAGTGAGTGAAAATTCTAAATTTTCACTTGACAACGGGTTCTCTATTATCCTTTTTGTCTCACACTGATGAAGATCGCCCTCTGGCTGTGCTCCAAAAAATAATAGCCCCAAAACCAAAACCAAAACCAAAACCAAAATGTGTGTGTGCAAAAGTCTGATCCAAATTCTATTGTTCTAGTGTGGCAAGAAAGTAAAAACATAAAACCAAAACAAAGAGTGTCTTTACTACAAAACGAAAATTTAAAATTGTGCATATTAGAATAATTTGCAGTACTTTATTTTATTTTCTTTCATTTCATTTCATTTTTCTTATTAGAGCAAATAGTAAATACTCGAATTTCAGTCAATTGTACTCTACTCTACTTTACTCTACTCAATTCAGTTCAGTTCTTTAAGCACAATGTAAAATATAAAAAGGGGAAAGGTGGAATGATGAAATGATAAGGTCAGCGGTCACTAGGCAACCCCATTTTTTAAGCGCGTGACACTTTCCACTATGGCCCACGCAACATTCTTATTTATTTATTTATTTATTTATTTATTTATTTATACATAAAACATAGTTACATACATATTGTATATTATATATATATATATATATTATTTAAAGAATTTATTAACCATAGTAGTAACCATAACAACTCTTTTTATTTTTATTTTTATTATATTATATTATATATTATATTATATTATACGTTATATTACATATTATTATTATTTACTTGCTTTGTTTTGTTCTTGCCCTCGTTGGCTTGCTCTGCGATCAAGTCAACTAGCATGAATGCTCTCGTAGCTCTCTTACACTTTTGTGAAGTGCATGGTCCATGTGTTGTCTTCTGTACCCAGGCAATTCACAGACCAGATCTGCCTCATCATGATTCAGACACAATCCTTACCATCCCGACCCACTTCAAAGACAAATCCACGGATAACCATCCAACCACGCCATCGCCACCCCCACCACCTCAAACTCTAACTCCAACACAAACACCTCATCTCCAACCCTCAGCCTCTATCTCGTCCACGCTTTCTATTTCAGAACTCCACGCATCACCTACCACTACCACTACCACTACCACTACCAACAGTAGCAGCAGTAGTAGTGGCAGTACCACTAATACTAATACTAATAATAATCTTTCCCCTCGTCTGCAGTCTCCGCCGTCTTTAACCTCACTACGCAAGGTCCCATGTTCGATAACTTCTTCTTCTTCAAGTACAAAAGGATTTACAAGTTCTCTTCGTGATCATCCTTTGTCTGGACAGACATCTACCTGTGCAGCATGTACAGCGCAGATGCCAATGATTACCACAAAGGAACATTGTGGACCACAAGAGGCAAGGTCACTCTTGACTCGCGATGAAGAAGATCCCTCGGTGAGTTATATAGGTAGCAAGGCACCACAACAACTCCACCTCTACAAAGCTGTTAGACTTGCCTGTGTACGAAGGTATATAAACCACATATACACATACATACACACACACATATATATATATATATATATGAGTATATGATTATAGAGATAGACATAGAGATAGACATCGGTATATAGATAGATTAGTTATTATAATATACATATATTATCACCACTTAATATTGTTCTATAAATAAATGAATAAATAAATGCTTAATTATTGTTGCTATATTACTTTTTTATTATTATTACTATTATTGTTATTATATATCAATTTCGATTTTCTGTTTCTATGCTTTTTTATTTTATTTTATTTTATTTTTTATTTATTTATTTAGTTTGACAACAGAATTTTGTCCTGGAAGAGATGGACCAGTGTTGTTTGGAGATGATGAGAATGGCTATGTGATGAGCTATATGTTCAAATTGAGAGACTCTCAGGCAAGAGGAGAGGTTCGATTTTATTCCCTGATGATGCTTATGACAGATCGTGTATATCTAATCTCATGCTGGCCATTTCTGGTCAGGTACGACATAATCAATTTTATATTATATTGTATTATATTATATTATATCAATTCAATTCAATCCAATTCATTTTTTTCTCCTGATAGTGTTTATTAACTGTTCTTATTATTTAAACATATAATTAATTATTTGTTATTGTCGTTCGTTCTTTTCTTTCTTTCTTTCTTTGGGTTGTCTATTGTAGTGCTTTCAGATCCATGGCCATTAACCTTCAGGAACGAGCAGATGTCATCTTTCAAAGTGAAAAAGAAAGTCGTGAAAGGCAACCGGTTTTTCACACCATGGCAAACAATCGACGGGTTGCACCAATGTCACAAGGTAAGATAAGATTACATACATCTATAGAGCTGGTTTGAAATCAATTCAAGATTATTCATTCATTCATTCATTCATTCATTTTATTTTTCTTATTATTATTCTGATATTGAACAACTTGTTCATTTCTAATTTTTTTTTAAAAAAAAAAACAGATCAGTTCTTTAGACGTCGCAGCAATACTTCACTCAGGTCGCTGGTCGATCTTTTGAATATCAAAGTAAGACAAGCACACATACATATATAATTAGATATATATATATATATATATGTGTGTGTGGGAATAATTTATTTATTTTAATATGAATTATGTAGGATATTTATGCTCAAATACATGCCCAGTTCAGTTATATTCTCAAATTATCTTCAAGAAAGCGCATGGAAAAGATTTCACCTGGAAGGAGTGCTGGGCCTGCTTATCTAAAGATGGTGAGTAAAATTCCTACTAGCTGTATAGATATATATACATACACATACATGTTTATTTACCTATATTTCTATAGCGTGCAGAATACCTTGCAAAAAAGAATCGCCAACACGAAGGAGCAATGAAAGATACCCGACCTTGACCATAACCATAACCATAACCATAACCATTCTCCAACTCTCACATATATTATCTTACTATCTACCTATCTCTATATTATACACACATCTCCACATCTACACATACATATATATTTAATATCTTTCTTTTTTTTTCCCTGTTTTATACGGTTGCTATTACCCTTTTTATAGTAGTAGTAATAGTATCATTGTCTTGTTTCCTATTGCTTTCTATATACAGCAAGACACACTATAAAAGTCGCATAATCAAAGAAAATAAGTCGCATCTTTAAGAGTTTTTGCGTTATGAATGAACCCCGTTTTTTTTTGTATGGAGCTGGTGAAAAGCTCAGGATTTTATTAAAGTCTGATTGAATAGGAAAAGAGAACATTAAAATATTTGTTTGTAAGGTTTTGTAGGTTATATGATGTTTTTGGCTGAAATATAGTAGAATCTCAAAAAGTGTTCACACAAATACATACATATACATATATTTATATATATTTATATGAACACATAAAAATGAATAGGCCTATTTGCACGTCCTGACGTCTCTTTTCTTACCAGCTGACTTTTCCCCTTGCTTATTCTTTTCTTTCCAAAAAAGAAAAAAAAAGCAAAAGTAAGCTAGTGTTTCGCTTCCTCTTCCTCTTATTCTTCTTCTTCTTCTTATCGTTTGTATCAGTTATGTGGTTGTCATCTTTAAAGACCCTTTGGGTAGCAACTGTCTTGATAGTGTCTCTTGACTCTATTAGGGCCGAAGACTCTTTCCAGGATGTCAACGCGGCTGCCAGTCTTGCTCGCCGAGTTCTGGAGGATGCTAATATAGGAACTCTTGCTACAGTAATTAGCCCTTATGTACATTATAACTACACTGGTAATGATTCTTATTATGATGGCAGTTATAACTACAGTCATAATAATAATTATAATTATTCAACAAGATCTTCCGTTTGCTCTTTTGGAATACTACAGTGTTCAGTGTTCCAGCACCGGAGACCCCTTGCTTTACATGTCAGATCTTGAGGTAAACCAAATGTTTATATATATATATATATTTCATTTACAGACATTTTGGTTACGGAAATTACTGAAACACTACCACATAAATAAATAAATAAATATATTAAAAATTATTAAAAAAAAAAAAAAAATTCTAGGTGAATGCAAAGAATATGCACCGTGAGCCAAGAGTCTCGCTTTCTGTCAGAGCCCTGCAAGACTACAATCCCGGAGGTAGTCAGTCACCTATTCAACAACCTCGTTTCTCGTTGCTCGGAGAGATTGAACCTGTTCCAGAATCAAAGGTATCTTAATCAGCCAATGAAAACCTAATGCTTGCGTAGATGTATTAAAAAGAAAGAAAGAAAGAAGCTTTTGCAGCTCAAACATATTCTCTTCAATATTTTTGTTACACTAACACCTTGTGTATATTCTAAAACCAACAATAACAATAAAAATTAGTTTAATATTGCTTTGTCTTGCTTCTTGGCTGTTCATCCTGAAGCAGCTCCATGGTAAGAATTCTATTATATACATGAATTTTTTTTTATTGATTTATTGATTTATTGATCATTCTAGGCAAAGATTCCATGATTTCAAGTTTTACAAGCTAAAGGTCTCGGCTGTCTATTATGTTGGAGGTTATGGTGGACTGAATTACATTGGCTGGATTCCTTTGTCAGTGTATCAGCAAGCCCAACCTGATGCCCGTATGAAACTCCAAACCTAAAATGAACTAAAATGAAATAAACTGCATAAATTATTTATATGCAGATGTGTGTGTGTATGTAGTTAAAGTGATTCTGATTCTTTGCTTGTTTTCTTCAAATAAGAGAAATCTTGTGTTTCCTATTATAGTAACTACAGAAATAAAAACAGGCGATATATATAAATAATAATAATAATAATAATAACAGCTTGTTGTACTACTAAATAAAAGAAAAGAATAGCCGTTTGTAGTTTATGTGTATTGGATTACTCAAATATTCATTCAATTGTAATATTGTGCATGATTTTCTTCCCGTTCCTCTCTTTATTGCTGTGATCATTGTAAGACCACAGATAGCTGATATTCATCTATAATAATAATAATAATAATAATAAAATTAAATCTCATGAGGATTTGGTAATTTTCTTTAATGTAGTTGCTATAATATTTCAAGATTTTCAAAGAACATAAAAGAAAATTGTACTCCAAATGTACAGAATCCAAGATTACTTGATTTATAATTATTAGCAGTTTAATTTCACAGTAACACAATTCTTGAATATATATATTCACAATGTCCAAGGTAATATTGCTGTTGGTTTATCCATTTCATTAAATAAGTAAAACATGTGTTTAGGGTATTAATGCAAAATATATATATATAAAAAAGCAATTGATTATTGAAGAGTCTGTTGATCAGTTAAACTCTTCAATGATCATATTGGTATATAATTTGTCTTTTCCCCCAAAATAAATAATAAGAAAAAAAGTTTAGTCTAAATTTTATCGCATTACTAATCTAGGGTGATTATATTAATCAAGGTAAGATAATAAACGTATTACAAATACAAGAAGTACTTGCTCTTAATTCATTTATTTATCTTTTAAACCTCGTTACAAGTGAACTTGGAAAGCATAATAGTAAACGAATATCGTATTTTGTAAAATAAAATAAAATAAAATAAACGCTGTTATTTCTCTCCCTATTTTGTACCTTTTTAGAATATTAATATTTTAAAGCACTGATCACCAAAAGGACATAAGAATAAAGAAAGGATAGAAGGATTGCACTGGCCAAGTCAAGTGTGTATGAATCTAAAGATGGACAAATGAAAAAGAAAGGACATTGATATACAACATGTGTGTATAAAGAGATATATTGGGGGGGAGGGGGGGTTGTGGAATGCGACTCCAAATTGTAGATGATGTACAAATTGAGGTAATTCAATGATACCTTTATATATATAATATCCGTTTACCCAGGATAATTTTCCCATTTCAAGCAGAAAGCTTAGGAGGAAAGGAAGCTCATCTATATATACAATTTTCAACCAATTCTAAATAATGAAATATTAAGCATTCGAATATGTTCAAGTCAATCTTTATCTATTGTTTGATAATTCACTCAATAATTTTTACCTATGTGTCCTGTAACACTACCAACTATAGCATCTTCTTCTATCTATCCATTTATCTGTATAGTAGTAGCGTCATTTTTGCTCAATCGGAAAATAATAATTTAATAATGATAAAATCCGGTAAAGAGAGAGAGACAGACAGAGGAAATAGCATTCTATACAATAACCCATTTGACATTGCTTCAAAAAGAAGAAGCAGATCTTAATGGTGTCATATAACATAATAGACTAAATCAATACACACACACACACTATAAAGAGATATGATCTAAACGAATTTTCCGTTTCTGTTCTTTGTTTTTGGGGCTAGTTCGTCATAAAGACGTAACAAGTCTCTTATTTTTTTAAGTAGCCGATTTTTATCAATATCCGAAAATCAAGCCATTTCTTATACCACTTCTTCTTCGTCTTCTTTATAACTTTTATTCTCATCTATATTCCCATTTCATCTAAAAGCTATACTCAATGTGTAAGTCAAGACAAAAAAAAAACCTTTGATCAATTCAAGAAAGTATTTTTATAGTGCATCATCATTAATACGTATATATATCTATATATATATATCTATATTACTGTTGCTCTTATGTAGCAAAACAAGAAACACTCGACTCCAAGCTATCCAACCGCGCAGAGCTACAAGAACTTGTAGACAGAAACATCATCAAAGGTAGGTGATTTTTATCATAAATATATATATACAACAATTATTGCTGCGAAATGTGTACAAATGTTTCTTACACTTTTATAAATCCCAAAAAGATCCTTCAAGGTTTGCTCCTGCTATTCAAAAACAAGTGGATGATCTTGCTCGACGCCAAATTGAAGACAACCTTCGCCACAAAATTGATAATCGACCAACACGTGATGAGTTGGTTGAAAACAATATCCTCAAAGGTAAGTGAATAAATAAATAAATATATAATAAAATAATAAAATAATAAAATACAATACAATACAATACAATACAATACAATAGATTCTAGTGTGGCACCTGCATTACAGCAATCTCAGGCTGCTCTCGAAAAGAGCCAGTTGCAAGATAAAATGGAGCACAAGATTCATGACCGACCTGATCCCGCTCTTTTAGTAGAGCATGGTATTTTGAAAGGTAAAGACATATTACTACTTACATCTTATCTGCCTATAAATCTTTAACACAACAAAACTACCTATTGGTTCTGTAGGAGACGATATCCCTTGAATATAGACAGATAGATTAGGCTATTCAATATTTCAAGATTTTCAATACATTCTGTTGATTTATATACATTTTATTTATTTTTCTTTTTTGAAGGCTTTTCAAATACACAGCCTTATACATATATTATATGTATGTATTAGTTTTTTTTTATATTGTGTTTATTCGACTGCTTGTTCAGGTGCTTTTCGTATCAGTCGAAGATTATTTGGTACAGACGAACAAACTTTTTTTGGTTTTATAGCTCGGGTCGAAGTAAGTTCTTTCCAGACAAAGCATGAATGTCCAACGATGTGATGCTTTGGTTTGCGCCCCCGTTTCTTGCGAGGAATATGAAGATCAGGGTGATCCGATGTGAAAGAAGCTTGTATTTGTGGTTGTGGTTGTGATTTTGATGGTGATGGTGATTTTGATGGTGATTTTGATATTTGTGTCGTCGGTATTAATGTCGATGTCAATGTGTGTGCTGGTGCTGGTGCTGGTGCTGGTGCTGGTGCTGGTGCTGGTTTTGGTATAGGTGTATGGGTTGGTGTATGAATTGGTGTTGGTGTATGTGAATGTGAATGTGAATGTGAATGTGAATAAGTATGTAGAAGTGGATGTGTGGGTGTCAATTTAGATATAGATGCGGATGTTGGGCGTCCAGGATTGACCTCCCACACAGTTGGGGCTAAGAATACCCAGCCACCTTCCCATATTGGCTCACGTAGGTTAGGTGGCCTACCTCGGCGACGTTTGAGAGCCGGTGGTTGAGATACTGGACTCTGAGCAGGTGTGATTGTGGGGGATTCAACAGGACCAGCCTGAATAGATTGATCTTGAGCTTGAGATTGTAAAGAGCGTACTAGTCGTTGGGGTGGGTCGTCACCTTGGAGTGGAGGTAAGGTGTCTTCGCAAGGTGGAGAGACTGGGCGGAATGGTAAGGTGAGTGAAGAAATGGAGGGAATTTGATGATGTTCTGGAGATAGTCTTTGGTTTAGCTCTGGCCTAGGCGACAGAGTCAAGAGATGGCTAATAGAAGGTAGTTTATGCTCATGAGTGTAAGCGTGTGTGTGAGAGTGGACAGGCTTATGGAATAAGGAAGCCATGAGGTTTTTGTTTGAGGTGAATGGTGGAAGTAAGAGAGGAGAAGCTATTAAAATAAGAAAGGGAAGAAGACCATTTATACCAAATATATATATATAAAAGAAAACGGTTACCAGGGTTAGAGAAATAAAAAAAAAGGAAGATTGAGAATATTCGGTTCAAAGACCGTTTGACTGGACAAGTTTTTTTTATATATATATAATTTATATGACATATATGAGCTTTGAATGGTTGAACAAAATAAAGTAAAATAGTAGATCCTAAAGAGAACAAAGCAGTGACACCACACACAAGTAAGAAAAAATATGCGTACACAAGCACAAATACACCCAGAGATATGCGCACAAATATACACACAAGCACATTTTACTCTTTTTGAGATATTTCTGTAATTAGAAAAAAAAAGGATTCTTCTAGCCTAATATAGCGCTCTAGAGAAGAGAAGGAAAGGAAGATTAAAAAAGAAAATGGGGGGCAACACAATACAGGGAAACTTGTGTTCATTTGCTACCACAACCTTCCTTTTGAAGGATTCTATTTTATATATATATATCGCTATAAACAAATATGGAAAAATTAACGGCTGCTATTTTATGCTTCTTTATTGACCAAACAGTTATACAATCCAGTAAATAATAATATCAATATTTGCTTTGTCGTAGTAGCCAATATGGTCTATATTTATTTATGTGAAGACTTAATAAAGGCTTATAAATAAAACAAAATATATACATATATAGATAGATATACAAATGCTGTAGATGTGACTCATTTAATACACACACAAAAGAAAAGCAAACCCAAGAAGAGGTAAAAAAAAAAAAAAAAACTCAATTCTATTCTATTCTATTTTATTTTATTTAGCCTGTCAAAAATGGATTAAAATGCTTGATATTCATTTAATTTAACAGACTTTCCTTCTTTGTATATATACAAAGACCTACATACATAGGAGCTATCATGAGAAAATCGAACACGGCTTTCCTTTTTGCCTGTTAGACTTTTTTTTTCTTTTTTCTTTTTTTTTCTAATGGGTACAAGTAGTGTGGATAATGAATATAATACAGCAAGACAATGAATATATATATATATTCAAAATAAATAACCTATTTTTATACATTTTGATATCATAAAAGTATTTTTATATATATATATTTCTTTATTAATTGATTTATCAATTGATTCAAATATATACTTTTATGTCATAAAGGAGTACTTTCTCTATTTTGAAACCATTGTATATATAAACCGGCTTTTATTTTGGTTTTTTTATTACCAAATCGGATACTTCTAATAGATTTTGATCATAAAGTAATGCAATATGCACAGATTACACATGCCTATAAACAATTAATCTTGATATTTTAATACTGACTCAAAGATTAACATTAAATATCTACATATATATATAATTAGATATAATTAGATATACACTAATAAAGTATATATTGGAATTCAAGTAACCATGACAACAATAACACTATATGTATCTATGTATGTACGAGAGAGAGAAAAAAGTTTGTAAACTGCATAATGTGTCTTTATATATATATATATATATATTAAACTAAATGTATATAAAGATAATACTATCACGAAGGGCAAAATAAGCAAGAAATAGTATAGGTTATTATCTCTGGATAATTCCATAAGGGTTCAAAATCCTATCCTGTTATCCTAGAACCAAAATAATAATTAATAAACTGTTTTCATTATAGGAATATATATCAAATAGAAGCAAGTAATAGCAGTAATACAGATAGCCGGTATCAGCATGTATAACTCCGTACTCGTAGGAAATATACGGGTGCGTGTATATATATATATATATTGGCCAATAGCATATCAGCATGTCACCTTTTAAGCTTATTAGTTTCACTTTTAGAGAATAGAAGTTGTAAGATTCTGGGTTTCTTTATTTTTTTTTGTATGATCCTGTCTTGGATACTATAGTCTTTTCCACCACACTGAGTATGTTAATATTAAAGTCATGATTTTTTCTTTCTTTTCATATGCTTCATGTTGGGATTTTACAATTTATCAATTCAACCTTTATAAAATAAACTCTTTTCAGAAAGTAAATTCACTGGTTGAAAACAAATGTACCCTAAAATGATGAGAACAGAAAAAGAAAGAAAAAAAAAAGCAAAAAAGACATATTTCATGTTGTACAAATCCTTGGTATACATGGATACTGTATATAAACGCATATCAAGTGCTCAACGGCTCTTTGGGAGCGAGAGAAAGTTATAGAGAGTAATTCAGGCAGAAATAAAAATAAAAATAAAATGATATAAAGCGTGGCAGGCGCGTAGATGCGGAGGAAAACGTCAATGAAGCGAAATTATACGTGGTACTTTTATTAGAATAAAATGAGATTCTTCAAGTTGTTGACTTTGAGGCGTCTGAATGCAACTGTTGTAAAGCAGCTTGTGATTAACGTTCGTACAGCATAAAATATTGACTGAACAGTACGAGAGGATGATTTTAATAATATCTCTAACAAATAAACGTTCTCCTGTTGTAGTTCAAGTTCCAAAGACACGAGCCAAAAAAAAACCCCAAAAAACAATAACCACATCAATCTTAGGTGCAATCTCTGTCCAAGGTCTGATTGAATGCAGCCTCAGGCATCCTCTGTCTACGCCTAATATTACTAACAATAACAAAGAGAGAGAGAAATGAAGAAGACGTTGGGTGTATGAGCACACGGAGAGCTGCAGAACATTTCTTTAGTTTTCTATAAAGAAAATCAACAATGGATAAGATGGGCTAGCACTCTCACATGAAAGTACATTACTTCGCGGGGTATAATAGTTCAATTCAAACATTGGGTAATATAGCCAAGTATGTAGAATTTCGCGGTAACCGTTGTGTCGTTTTGGCTCCCTATTCTTCTGGGCTGAATCAAATCGAAAAGTCTTGGTCAGTGGCTAAGAGTAAAGTCAAACGAAATAAATTTTATTGGGAGCTTAAGACACTGATGACAAGAATCAGGGAGGCTTCTAATGATCTGAGGCCAAGTCATCTTCAACGGTTTGTTTGGTTGGTTGTTTTCATAAATGCACAAATAAGTGTTGTAATAATAGTGATTTTTTTTTATCATCCTTGGGCGCCTATGACTGCTATTCACTACTGCTGGGGAGCTCGGCACTTGGACTCTCTGCAACTGCTTTTGCTCATTTATTTATTTATTGTTTGGGTGGTTCCTCTGAAATCAACCGAATATAGCGCCATGGTTCCAAGTCTACTGTCTTGGTTGAGACTACAACTGTAACTGTAGAATTCTCATCTTTCACGACTACAGGTTCTAGGCAGGTGTCCTTCAGTCGCTTTATGGTCATTGCCTTGTTCTCGGCTGTAACTTACAGGGCATAGATCAAACAGGCATCCTCGTTAGCTAAAAACAAAAGGAAGCTATTTTTTGGCTGAGAGTGTAGACATAAAAAAAAATGGGTGATACAGCACTGCTAGAATGAGGAAAGTTTGAAAGAGAAAGAAAGGGGGAAAAGGAGGACAAGAAAATAAAAATATACACATGGAGCTGCCTTCTTTTTTTTTTTTTTTTAGCTTTTTGTGAATGGTGGAGTACTGAAAAAAAAAGTGGTATGTAGCGAATTGGGCAGTAGTAGCTGAAACAAAATACCTTTGCCACAGTTTTTTATTCTCATATGTGCATAATTATTAAACACAGAAGATATCCTATAAACTAACACAGTATAGTATTGATGACACTGTAAGAGAAACACCAGTTAAATTATAGTCAAGTATTATACGCCAGGAGCTGATTAAGAATACATTTTCAAGAGTCTCAGTTGTTGCCCACCAATTGAAGATTCACGTCTTCATAAAAGATGTGGTCAAAATGTACGACAGGTTTCTTTTTCTTTTAGCATTTATAAGAATTATATATATATATATATATAATGTACATTGACCACATTGACAATTGAATATAGCCCAAAAACAGAGGGTCAAATTATGTTAGCATTTGAAAAAGGACATTCGGAATCTTTAGACTATTTACTAAATTTATATATAATGTTGTCTGAAATCTAACCACTTTAGGTATTCAAAGACAATCGCCACGAAGCCGTCTAAAGGGCGTCGGACCAGAACCAGTGATTCTGAGACATGGGTACCCCACAGATGCGGTCGCAACGGGCATGATATATTGCAAAATTGATATAATTGATGAATATATATAACTAAACTAACACTGTAGTAAATGGCAGACATTATAACTCCGCGACCGTATAATTCCTACGGTCGCGAAGTTGTAATTTCTGCTAATAGAATATTGGCTTTTAGTAAATTAAAAGTATCTACAGCGAATACTATTTATTGGAGTTCAAATTACTTTTTATCTAATCCAATAAAATCGTTTAAAGTAGCACAATTATACCATTTTTAGATATCTCTATTCTTATAATTGGTTCAACAAATACACGGTTTTATATTGGAATTTTATAGTTTTTATTGATCAAAATAATACAAGTTGAATATAAAGAAGTATGGAAAGAAGAAGTACTATTTTTTATGATATTTAGTAGCAGTTTAAGCTATAAAGTTACTAAATAATACACATATATCTATTTCTATGTAATATTTTTTATATTTTTTTATCTAAAAAAAAAAAGGCTATTCTCTAAGTACTATGATATTGATGAAGATATGTATATTGCTTAATTAATTCTTTTTATCAGAGTATAAACCTGCTTCGTGTTAACATTGTCATGTCTGATTCCTAATTTTGAGAAACCAGAAGACAGATTCCTTGCAATTCTCTAAATCTACCGAGATTTCTAATGAGCATGCGAGCAATCTTGACAACCAAATTGTACTTGATGCATATATTTTTCTGTCAATTCTTCTCAGATTGCTTTCTTTTGTCAACTTTGCTGATTCGTATTTTATTAATACTAGCCTTCATAGCTATTAAGTATGCTCCTTTTAGAGACATTTAATAATTCTAAGCCTTGTGAAAAAAAATAGAAACAAGTCCTTTTAGATGTACCAATCTAAATTGTTTGGAGAACATGGACGGGTCAGAGGTTATGCATCGTTTGTGGAATCAGGATCTTGCTGCTGTCCTGAACTTCCGACATATACTTACCAATCTGAGATATGATGAGACTATACCTTTAAGGTTCACCCTCGTCATTCGGATTTGACGTATCAGAAGACAAGCAGAAGAAGATCTCCAGGAGGGTCGTAGTTTGAGACAAAGTCTGACTAGACTTCAAAGAAGATGAAAAAATTTCGTCCTGGTTACCGCTTAGGACCCACCCAAGCTACCGCTGGTAAGCCATTAGATTTGAATAACTTGGTATTTAGTTTTGTAATGGGTTAAAAAAGCTAAGAAAAAGATGTTTTGCTTTGACTGCAAAAAAAACATGGTGGGGTAAAAAAAAAAGGTAGAATATAAAAGAGAGTGAGAGAGAAATTGGTGCATAATTAAAACGCAAGTACAAGATACCCTAAACTTCGGAAAACTTGCAACAATTCACTAAAATCGCCTATTTTTTTTCTATAGGGTAAGCACCGTATAGCAGCTAGATATATATATAGATACTAGTATGCCTTGATCCTATAAAAATTAAGAGAACAACATCTTTAATAAAGGAATCTATCTATGATTCTTTATCTTCTCTCTGTCCATATCCTTGACCGAATCGGTTCTTGCCTTTTTTTCTGATGCTTACTAAAGTTATATATTTTTTTGTTAGCCCCAGTGGTGTGTACTAAGTGCTGGTAACAGGCTGTGAGTTGATTTTTGTTTTGTTTTGCTCTGACCAGGTATCTTGCAATTCATTATGTTCGTTCTTAGTTGGATTTTCTTAAATTCTTTGCATGACCATTGTCCTTGTTAATATACACTTTATCCTTTTTTCTTATCATGTGAAGTTTACAACCAAGTAGTATTTCTCTTTACAGGTTTAAAAAAAATCTTCAAACAAGCAATCATAAAACATATCTCTAAATCTATTTAGCTTGATCTTTACTTGATGCATATATACTTTGTTTTTATATTCATTCTGAGAATTCTTAGCTTATCACAACTTTTCACAATAGCTATCCTGCTCTCTCTCTCTCTCTCTCTCTCTCTCTCTCTTTTTGTTAATAGGTATAAGTAGTGTGGCTAATGAATATATATTCAGAATAAATAATTTATTCTTATATCTTTATCAATTGATTTAAATATATACTTTTATGTCATAAAGGAGTACTTTCTCTATTTTGAAACCATTGTATATATAAACCGGCTTTTATTTTGGTTTTCTTATTACCAAATCGGATACTTCTAATAGATTTTGATCATAAAGTAATGCAATATGCACAGATTACACATGCCTATAAACAATTAATCTTGATATTTTAATACTGACTCAAAGATTAACATTAAATATCTACATATATATATAATTAGATATAATTAGATATACACTAATAAAGTATATATTGGAATTCAAGTAACCATGACAACAATAACAATATATGTATCTATGTATGCTTTGTGTATGTACGAGAGAAAGAGAGAAAAAAAGTTTGTAAACTGCAGATTAAGTTATTTGGATTTAAATTCCTTTTTTTTATATAAAAGGATAGTAGATTACTACTATATTAAGTAAGTCTTATTTACAATACCCTTTCCTTCTATAGAGAAATAGGGGTAAAATCAACACCGATAAAAATTAAAGCTGATAATATATATATATATATATATGTAGAGAAAGAGACGTATGGGAATATATGGATATTTGGAATCTTTCCATGCTGAATAGTTGAAACACGCGTTATTTTAATGAATTTACCAAATAAGATAAAAAGGTAATAATAATAAATCAAGAAGAATATAAAGAAGAAGAGGACTTGAGCAGAAATTATCAGAGCCAGAGCCAGAGCCAGAGCCAGAGCCAGAGCCAGAGCCAGAGCCAGAATCAGAAGAAGAAGAAGAAGAAGAAAAGGAATGCATGAATGAATGAATGAATGAAAAGACCACCAGTTTTGTAGATTATATGAATAGGTCAACAAATCTATCGATTAAAAAAAAATTATAGAGAAGAACAAGCCTAAAAATTACACGTTTTAAAGAAGAAGAAGAAGAAAAAAATCGACAAAATTAAATATCGAATGACCTGGAGACTTTCAATACCCCCCCCCCCCCCCCCCCCCCCAAATAATAATAATAATAATAATTACAGGCATACAAACATATAAATATCTTGTCAAACTACCATTAGGCCTCGTGGGTATTTGAGTGCAAGTACAAGCCCACCCACCCATACACATATCTATATTTATATACACATAATCCAATATTATAAAAATATATATAATATATATAATAAAACCCAACAACGACAAGAAAATAAAAATTGCTTATAATTATAATTATATATATATATATATTAGTGGGATGGTTTTTGAGTAGCTTGATCGGATGAAAATATTGTGTACACTGTTACTATTGCTATTATTATTATTATTATTATTATTATTGTTGTTGTTGTTGTAATTGTAAATTATAATTTTTATTTAATATTGTTTTTGGGAGTTCTTAGTTTGGTACTCGTGGTATATACTCCATCAATGATTCCACATTTGCCCCTTTTCATGTTCTTATAGTTTATCTAAGGCGATCTCACTCAATTAGGACACGGGTGATTCCGATACCCTTTCAAAAAAAAAAAAGAACCATATAGAAATAAATTAATCGACGCATGTCTGCCTGCCTGCCTGCATGCATGCATGTCTACCTGCCTACACATTTTATATATACACATGCTCTCCTTCTCTTTCTTTATACATATTTACACTGTCAATCAAATAATAATAATAATAATAATATTTAAAATTTTATTTTTGGATTAAAAAATAAAGAAAATTAAAATTAAAATTAAAATTAAAAAAAAAAAAGGTTATTATAATGATAATACTATATTAATCGTATGTGCTATAATAAATCTAGCTAGATCTTATATAATCACACTGACTCCAAGCCACCGAAATATGACTGGATAAAAAAAAAATTAAGAACAATCGAGAAAAATGTAACAAATCCAAAGAAAAGCTCAAGAAAATAAAAGAAACAAAAAGAATAGACAAAGAGAGAGAGAGAGAAAAAGAGAGAGAGAGATTTTGAGCGGTGACGAAACCGGAGATATTTTTATGACTGTCTTGTGAATCGATCCTTTCCAACCCCCTTGTCACTTTTTCCTTCCCCTCCCACGCTTTGCTTCTCTTTTTTTTTTTTTTAGTGTGTGTGTGTGTGCTTGTCTAAAAAGAAAAAAAAAAGAGAAAGTCTTTTATATACATATTTACATACACATATTACTTTCCCTGTTTTTTTTTTAAAAAAAAAAATTAAAAAAATATGTCTGCCTACAAAGCAATTCTCTCTACACGTGCCCGTGTCAGTAGCCATGTTGTCACCGGATTCCGTACAACCCCAGTACGAAACTACAGCTCACCTGTCCGTGTATTCATCCAGACGATTAAAGATCAAATGAAGAAAAACAAAGAAGTCCAGGATGGTGTAAAGACCCTTCAGGACGAGTCTGGCAAGATCGGAGAGAGTGACACTCTCAAGAAAGCCCGAGAATTGTTTGAGAAAGCAAAGGTATGTTTGTTTATTTCTTTAATAAAGTGTAAGAAGGAGGAGGGGTTTTACTGTGTTGTGTTCATAATCATATAACATCATACAATAATATCATGTACTGTATTATTTACTCTTAATTTATATAAATAAATATATATATAAAAAGGAACAACAATCGGCACAGTCAGAGAGATTAAAGCAAGCCAGTGAAAAGATCACGCAGACTGCAAGTAAGGTTGGCGAGAGTATCAACGAGTCCTACAAAAAGGCAGCCGACACCGATTTTGCCAAGGAGACTGCCGAAAAACTGAAAAAGGCAGCCGAAAACATTGACAAGGCAGCAGACCCATTGAGAAACAGTGCGGCTGCTGGCAAGATCTCCGAGGGTTTCCAGACAGTCGTCAAGGATGATAGTGGCAGATACGCTGGTTTTGTTGACAAGGAGACTCGCCGCAAGTTGCGTGAACAGGCTCAAGCAGAAGCTCAGGGCGGCGGTCTGGGAAAGAAGAAGGTTGTGGAGGATCCTAATGCTGGCTCAGGAATCGTGCTCCACAAGGACTCAAAGTGGAAAGAGAGCTGGTCAAAGTTCAAGGAAGACAGTCCTATTATGCAGGGTATTTTCCGGGCCAGAAAGAACTATGAAGATTCAGACAATATCTTTGTGTCTTATTCCCGAGCCTTTACTGACCGTGTCTCAGAGACATTTGGTAAGCAAGAAAGAAAGAGAGATAGATAGATAGATAATGAAAGGACCAAAAAAAAAAGGAAGAAGTATTTTGTAGTGTATTACTGTGAGTTGTTTTTCTCTCTCTCTCTAATATATATATGTGTGTGTGTTTGTTGATTAGGTTCCATGTTTGAGGAATCTGATCAGGCTCAGGCCATTCGTGCTTTCCAGACAATTGACCCCACCTTTAACATGGAAAAGTTCATGACCGAAGCACGTAGTTACATTGTACCTGAGCTTATGGAGGCATACCTCAAGGGTGATGTGGAGACTTTGAAGTTGTGGTGTTCAGAGGCTGTAAGTGCTTTTTTTTTTTAAATTTTTAATTTTTATTTTTAAAAGTGTATATATTTGTAAATTGATTTTGGGGGCGGATCGTGGAGAGATAAGAACGCACGGGCACTTACCCTCATTTTATGTTAGACTTACAATGTCCTAACCGCTCTTATTCAAGCCCAAATGCAGCAAGGACTCGTGAGTGATTGCAGAATCCAGGATTTGAGAGATGTTGATGTAAGTTATATTTATATCTATAATACAAAAAAAATAAATGAATTATGTATATAGTTGGTGACAGCAAAGATCCTTGAGAACGATGTTCCTGTCTTGGTGCTTTCGTTCCGTACCCAGGAGATTATTGTGTTCCGTAATGCAAAGAGTGGAGAAGTTGTATTTGGCAAAGAGGTATGTTAAGTAATGTGTGATTGTAAGTGATCGAAAAGAACAAGAGGCTAAAAAAGGAAATGTGTTTGGTTTTTGTAGGATCACATTGAACAGGTCACATATGCCTGTGTGCTCACAAAAGAACCTGAGGATCTGCAGAACCCTGTGACAGGAGGATGGAGAATTATTGACATGGCAAAACACGACTCTCGGCCAGTCTGGTAGAACAATAGGCATTACACATATGCACGTACATAAATATTCTTATATATTTGTGTGTATATATATATAATACCAGTCATCAAAAAACCAAACCACTTTTTAGACTCTAGTCATTAAGCAAGTATTTTAGAATATATATTTTTATATATAAATGTATACAGACACACTACACACAATACACAATACACAAAGCACCCTTTTCCTTTTTTTTTTTTTCGTCTTTTCTTTCACACACCGATTGTAATAAATTATTTTTATATAAATAATTATTTGTTTGTTGCTATGGTTAATTTGGGTGACTGATCCAAAACGTATCCCACATATGCTTCTTTCGGGTGAGCACGGTGTGTTTTTAGTGAAAGGTACTAGCCATGTGGAATGGTATGACAGATCAGGTAAGAAGGCAAAGTAAAGTATTAGATGTGGAGCTTGTTCTTCCGATTGGCCTGTGTGAATCACGCGATGAACTTTTTTCTTTATATATTTTCTGGTTCCTTTTTTTTTGTAGTTGTGATTTTTGAGTACTCTTTTTTATATACAAAAAAAAAAAATAACAAAATAACAGCCATAAACAGGGCACACACAGACACGCATGTATATATTTTTATATTCATACAATAAAAAAGAATACAAAAGAAAAAGTTAACAAACACGCCACCAAATCCATGCCATAACCTTACAACAATTTATTATTAATTTTTTCAACTGAGCAAATAATAGTCTATTGTATTCTTAACCTTTTTGTCCTTTAAAATTTGGGGGGTGTGAAGAAATAAAATAGAATAAAAATGATCGGTCTTGAGATTTCTATTTTGCTACTTAAACAACCTCTTGAAAATCATCAATTCCAATTCTCTCTCTTTCTCTCTCTCTCCTTTCAACTCATCTCTACACACAGACATTGATATATCTATCTATCTATGTGTGCGTCAACATACATAAAATTCATCATACAAATTCACAAATAGATTCCTTTACAATTATTATTATTATTATTTTCTTTTCAAAAAAAAATTAGCAACGACGACAACGAAAGAATACAACCCAAAAACAATGTCTTCCTCTACCAGACCTTCATTTTCTCGAACCCCGTCCATTGCTTCTTCTATTCAATACAACCCCAAACGAGCAACTGCCCAGACAATCCTCACCAACTGCACCCTTCATGACATCCTTACCAACCCTAGACTTCTCTTTTCCTTTGAACGTTTCCTCAGAGGAACATGGTCACACGAAAACCTTTTATTTATCGAAGCAATGAGCCAACTACGACATGAAAGTGACCCAAAGATTGTCGAAACAACTCTTCACAGGTAAGAAATTTCAATTCACTTTATTTTCTAGTAAATCAAACGTACCTTGATTTACATACCATATTAACATTTCTTTCTTTCTTTTATAGAATTTATAAAACCTTTATTGCCTGTGGATCACCTCTAGAACTTAATGTGACCACCCAAGCAAAGGTCAAGAGCAAAATTGACTCTATGCAGTGGGCAATTCTTAGTAGAAAAGAAGCTGTCTCTATTCTTGCAGAAACTGAAGATCAAGTTCTTACTACCCTTGTAAGGTTCTTTTTCTTTTTTCTTTCTCTATCTTAATAATACATTACATTACAATATATATATATATATTATATAATTAGATTTCTATCTATTTAATGAGCTGATTTGTATTACTATTTTATTCATGCATTTTTTTTTATAATACAATATATTTAGAATGCAAAATTAGCTGAATACCTTGAGGCAAGCAAGGGAAGCCCCGTTGAGTAAGTACCATTTATTTGGTTCAATTTGGTTCAATTTGGTTCAATTTGATTAAAAAGTTCCTGATTACTATATGGATATTTTATTAACATAAAAATTATTAAAATTATTATCATTTGCAGTACGGCTGTCAGTCTGTCTTTGCCTCAAAAGCTTCAGAAAAAGGTTGTCATTATTGGTGGTGGATTCACTGTAAGTAATGATAATAAATCAACATTTGACAATAATAATAATAATAATAATAATAATAATTTTTGTTTTCTTTGAACTTTTTAGGGATTCACAGTTGGCTCGATTCTGGACCCAATGCACCTATTCCATGTCACTTTGATTGACACAAAAGGTAAAATAAAATATCCAATTCAATTTTTATTTATTTATTTATTTATTGATTTATTTATTTGTTAGATTCATTCGAGTATACTCCAGGAATTGTCAAGAAAATCGTCAACCCTTCCCAATCAAGCTCTCTGCGTGTCCGTCACGATAGTTACATACTCAATGGAAAGGTTATTCTTGGCCATGTAGAAGAGATTTGCAGTGACGCAATGTCACTCAAAGTCAATGGAGATTTGGTATGTATTTTCTTAATATTTTTTCTGATATCCATAAAATACATATATATATATATATATACACATATATATATATTGTATTGTATTGTATGTACTACATACATAAATCGTGGGCGTAAAATAATAATAATAATGCCACGAGAAAAAAAAAAAAAAACAAGAAAGTCAGCGGAACAACAAGAAATAAAATATTGGGTTTCTAAATATGGATTTTGGCTTTATTTTTTCTTTATTATTTTTATCACAAAAATAAAATAAAATAATATAAAGATCTCGTTCGATTATTTGGTTGTGGCCACTGGCAGCTCTTATTCGTCTCAGCTCAAATCAACAGACATCTCCTCACTCTACCGTCTATCTGGTCTGGAAGATCTTAATACCGAGCTTCAGAATGCCCGCAAAGTCTTGATTATTGGTAAAAAAAAATAAAAAAAATAAATTAAATCATAATTATCTTAACAGATCATTTTACTGATCTTATTTATTTATTTAAAAAATAAAATAAAATAAAAAATTAGGTGGTGGTTTGGTGGGCTGTGAATTGGCTTCTGAGATCGCTGATTTCGAATTCCCTGGTCCGTATCCCAAGAAAAGCATCACAATGGTTGAATCGCACAGTAACGTGGTCAGTCGAAGTGATGTGCGCCAACAAGAACGTGCTCACGATTACCTGGTCAACCTTGGGGTCGAGATTGTCTGCAACGAGCGCATCGTTGACTTTGACAGTGCCGAGGCCAATGTGTATGTCGGCTCAACTGGCCGGGTCTACCAAGGCTACGAAAAGGTGTTTGTCGCCACAGGCACGAGACCCAACAGCGACCTGTTTATGAGCAGCACAAGTGAACTGTCGCTCGAAAGCTGTCTGGATATCTGGGGCCGCATCCGGGTTAAGCCGACTCTGCAGATTGACCATTTTAGCTACCAGCACATCTTTGCCGGCGGCGATGTGACAAATGTCGTCGAAGAAAAGACAGGCTATGCTGCGACCATTGCCGGAGTCTGCATTGCCAGAAACATCTGTCGGCTCGTGAAAGGAAAACCTGCCTTGAAACAGGGCACAAAGGGAACCTTGCCTGCACCAGACAAGCCTCTGCATGGCATGAAGGCCCATGGCGGTATCGGTAAACAGAGCCTCAACATCCTCAAGAAAAAATTCTCGTTCCTTAACCCATCCTGGGCCGCCCTAAAGTACTTTAACGAAACCCAGTTCACAAGAATCGTCCAGGGCCAGGGCAGCATGTCATCCCATATTCTCGGCAGACTTCCCAGAAGACTCATGCTACCCTCCTCCTCAAACTCCCCAACATTCCCAACCGCCTCCTTTTCTACTCTCTCGATCGCAACCTCTCCATCCTTATTTACACAGTCAGAGTGTTCGCTTGACACACCAAAGGATCTCAGCGATCGTACGACATCCAAAATGTTGTGCACCGCTGACTCTGCTACAGCCATCACCGCCACCATCACCACCACCACTAGTACTATGGCCGGATGTTCGAGCAACCGAAATTCCTGTGACAGCTGTGGCCGCAAATCTACTTCGAGGTGTAGCTCGTGCGACAATGACAGCAGCTCGTCCATTGATGAGTACCTGGTGGAACACTTTACCTTTGGCGGAGAGAACATTGAACTCTTTGCAGAAGAAAGACGCCGGTCCATTAAGGCTGCCAAAGAAGAACCTCCTCTCAGCCCAAGGATCAAGTCCAGACGGACCAGTGTCGTATCTTCTTATTCAACATGCTCAAACAAGAACTCTATATCCCCGCGCAACTCTGCCTCTACGCCACCTATCCATGCTTGATTTTTTTTTTTAAAAAAAAAGAATATGAATAGAGATATTCATAGTAAGAGTAATAATAATGAGCTCACTTTGTCATTGATTATTTACAATTATTTAGAATTCTTATTCATTTTAACTTTCTACATTTTAAGACTCTCCCCATTTACTCTATTTTTTTTTTTATATATATGCTCTACACCCCCCTCCACACACACACTCTCCACCTTCGTCACCTTTTAAACCCCCCTCCATTTTTCTTTTTCTTTATATACTTTCATCATTGCCCTTTCCTCTCTTTTTTTCTTTTTCTTTTTCTTTTTCTTTTCATGTCCATTAACCTTAGATTACCCTTTTTTTACCTTCATTCATTTATAGGTAAAATTGATTGTATTATATAGATCACACATTCCCCTCTATCCTCCACCCTCCACCCCAATCCATACATTGGATTTATATACGCAACCACAACATTTTTCTGTTTGTTTCTACTATCAAAATTTCATAATAAAAACAAATTGTATGCAATTCAATTCAATTCAATTCAGTTTAATAACTCTTTTTTTTTGTTTTGTTTCTTTCTAAGTAATGTATATAGGAATAAGAATATTGTCGAGTATTTTATGTGCCTGTGTGCCTGTGTGTGTCTGTGTGTAGTAGAGTGGGAGTGTATTGTGTGTATTGTGTACGTCTGCGTGAATGTAGTATAGTATATAGTGTAATATGGTGTGGTGAAGCAATTTTTTTTGTAATTGTAATTGTAATTGTAATTGTAATTGTAATTGTGTGCGCGTCTTCCTCCTCCTCTTCTTCTTCTTCAAGGTTTGTTCATGGTAAAGGGGTTGATTGTGGATTTGATGTATATAAAGAAGAACAAGAGCAAGGAAAGAGATTTTTGTTCAAATTTTAAATAAATAAATAAATAAAAAAAAATATTATATATATACACACACACACACACACACACTAACATACACACAAATATATATACAAATATATATATTTATGCCTCTCTTTCTCGTCCATATTCTGGCATTTCCATTTCACGACCCCTCCTTCCTTCATCATCACGGTTTCGAGTTTCCTTTCTCTTCTCTCGGACCGTCAATCTCTGTGCCTCTTCTAGCTCTCTTCGAAGTGCTCGGTTAGGGTGCTTGAGATGCATAAAGTTACAAAATCCACCACGGTTGCACTCTGCAATTTCATGCTGTCTACAGCATGCTTCTCTAAAATCTGTCACTGGCGACAATTCAGCATAAAGTGGACGTCCTACAAATGAAATGTATTACAATCAATTATTATTATTATTATTATTATTATTATTATTTGATTTTGTTTGCTAAATAATATAAATATAAAGATACTTTACCAGCATAGAATCGATTGTTCAAACTTTCAACAGCATTGCCGGCATCCTCTTCATACCGATATTGGCAATATACATTGCCTACCAAATGATCACCGACATTGTCACAGACACACATTTCCTCTACTTCACCAAACTTGGCAAGTTCGGTAAAGACGTCTTCGTAAAAGAGATCAAAATCTTCTTGCAACTGTTCCTCTGTCATGTTACATGAGGGATCGTGTGCTGGATTACGGTACATGTTTGCAATGAGAATCGTCTGGGAGAATGTTGGCTTTACGTGTTTTCTAGAACAACGATCGCCGTGACGACATGCTCCAATCTATAAAGGAGTTGAGTATATAATATAGATACATACATGAAGAAATTGTTATAAATTGTGTTTCTCTCTCTCTCTCTCTCTTTATGTTTCTAACAGTTTATATGTCTCTGTCTTTCTTTTTTTTTTTTTTTTTTAAAAAAAATTCTTTTGTATTTGCTGCGAATTGCATTCATTATTATTATTTAAAGAAAAAACTCATATATGTAGAATACATATGGTGTTTATATCTATATATCTTTAGATTATTGTGTTTATATATATAATGAATTTTGTTTGGCTATTTACCTTGAAGTAAAAAGAACAATTGACTCTGAGAGTTTGAGTAAAGGTAAAGAAGACAAATTAGGAGAATGTTTATAAACGTAGTATATCAAATAAATCAAATAAATATATATATATATATATAGACGATGAATAAAATAATAGTAGTAATTTAAGTAGTCTTTCTTTTTGATGCTGCTGTTGTTGCTGTTGTTGTTCTTTATACTTCTTTATTTCTTTTGTACTTCTTTTTATTTGCTTTTTTGTCTTTTTGTTGTTATTGTTGTTGTTGTTCAAATTAACAACATTGTATTTCATTATAATTATAATTACATTATTTATATATATATATATATAAATTTTTTTTTTAAAAAAAAAAGATGTACAAAATGTATTTACTTACTTGTCCTTTTCTGTTCCGTAAATACTAGCAAGATATTCAGCCATTAGATGTACCTGTGAAAAAGTGGATTTATTTTTTTATTTTAAATTTGTATAAAGAGGGAGGGATTGGAATGGAAGATGCTTGGACGAGGAAAAAGCCACTTCATTTTATAGGATCGGGGTTGCTGACGTAGCATCGTAATCACAATCTTTAATTTATATTGTATATATATATATAATACTCTATTTGCACCACTAGAAATCCAGACAATAGTAAAAAAGAAAAAAAAAAAGAAGTTTACTGTTTTTTTTTGCATTCTTTCTTGAATGTTCTTATATATTTATAATCAATAGGTAGATATAGATATATAAATATGTTTCAGATTTGTAATGGAACCAATAGTTACAAGTCATTAAAAGTCAATAACAAAAAAAAATTGGTTATTATTTATTTTTTTACAAGTAAATGTTTCAAAGACAAGTATCGATCTGGACAGACAGATATATATATATATAATGAAGTAGCAAATGTTAATTGTATTTATTTACTTCAAAAATAATATTATACATATGAATATTTTTGTATGTATCTATGTATGTATCTATGTATGTATGTATATATGCAAGTACTATGTCCTCTTCTTCTTTTGTAGATAAATATATATATATAAAGGTAAAGGATAAAGGATAATTATAATTATAATTATAATATAAAGGTGTAGAAAGGTCTTTTTTGTTCTTCTTCTTCCTTAAATTTCAAGCAGTTCTTTGCCATTACGAGCAGATCTGATTTGTTTGGTGCGCAACTTTTCCCGCTTATCATATACATAACGCTTGTCTACATTGCTCAGCTCTCCCGGATCATCATCGTCCGAATCAGCAGCAGAGCCAGTTCCGAACCGACATGAATAGTGAAATACTTGTCTTAGCATATCATTTGTCTTTTTTTTTTTTTTTTTTTTTTGGTGATAATAATTAGCAAATAAATTCAATTCAATTAATTCAAATTTACCTTTATGTGTTGTTGAAGACCTTGTCCAATGGCTCTTCTAAAAGCATTCAACAAAAGGATTTTGGCTACAAAGAAAGACATATAAGTAAAAAAATAAAATAAAAAATAAATAAAAGTCTTACACCATCCTCGGAATGTGAGAATACGCCCACTGATCTTCAATTCTTCCACTGGCCGGGTTCCTTCTTCAACGCTCTTGATCACATCTCTGAACACAGACTTTTGTTCTGCACGATCATTCTTGCTTCGACGACGATTGCTATCTACAGACAGATCGCGCAAGGTGTGTATTAACCCGTCCATGTTGTCGTACTCGGGCCACTCTGTATCGTCCACATCCTCTTCTTCTTCAATATGTTCAGTGTAGACCCGCACAGATTCAAACATCAAGGCAATATTTTCTCCTGCGGCTACTCTGACGTCCTTTTCTGAAGATTCTAGTAGCATTTCATGCACTGGAACAACTCTATATAATAATCAATAATCAATATATATATAAAAAGGGGACTTACTTTTCTACTTCTTCCCATAAAACGTCAAAATCAACAGCACCTTCACAGAATGTGGAGATGTAGAGTAAACCATAGGCCCGTAATGCTGCACAGGTCAAATGTTCGATCTGCTGAGACGAGATTCCTTCGAGTTGAACTTCCTCTCCTCCGGTTTCGATTATATCAAAGATAAAGTCGCGCAGCAATTGAGTATCGATATCAGAAGCACCAATAAATGCGATAAGAGCAATACTATGCAGGCACTGAATATAAGAGTTAGATTATGCATTTGTTTGTTTGTTTGTTTGTTTATTAAGTATTTAATTTAATTTAATTTAATTTAATTTAATTTAATTAATACCTGAATCTTGAGATCACATTCAAAGGAATTCACAAGTGTGCTTCGAAGACTGTTTGCAACAAGCTGATAATGGTCTTCTTCTTCTCCGAGTGAGATTTCTCCATGGTTAATAAAGGCAAGCGGCATTGCTTTTGCGGCCAGGATGCTTTCTTTGGTGCTGTTTCCCTTTTGCAGGGATTTTCTCAAAAGGATCAACAATTCTCGGTTACGGTTTTCCAAGACTTCGGAAGCATTATGCATAGTCAATCCATTGATAATATTTGTCAGAGCTTCTTCTCTTGTACTATAAACATTTGCGTATTGATTATTAATATTCTTAATTCTATATTTATATCATATTATGGTTTGGTTGAGCTTCTTGCCTGGTGCGATTTGTTCCAAGATCATCAATGGCTTGATTGAGTTTGTCGACCCAGTTTGAATTAGTTGTAATCGGTTCATTGTCTTGGTCTTCCAAGGCTCCCTTTTTTGCTGAATGTTTTTTGGTAGGCATTGGCATGTTCTAATCGGAATGCTATTCCAAAAATTATATATATATATATATATATATATTATATGTATGTATGTAAAGAGTAATAGCTAAAGAAGAACAAGAAGAATATAAAATCAAAATTATAAGCACTATATTTATTTTTTATTTTTTTATTTTTATTCTTTACACAAGTATATAAATAATTATAATCATTTTAGGCTTCCGTTGCAGGAATTTTTTTTTTTTTATTATTATTTTTGTTAAAAATATTTTCTTATCTATTTTGGGCAAGTTATTTTAAATGAGCTGTGGGTTTTTGATATCTTTTCTCTTTCGTGCACATTCTTTTTGAATCTTTTGAATCTTTTGAATTTTTTTTTTTCTTGAAGGTTTGTATCTGTAAAATGATTTTCTTTTATGATTCCAAAAGATTACAATAATTTGAAACACTTCATCTTGTATATACATAACTTTTTTTTTAAAAATATATATATATATATATGCTTCTTATTATTAACACATCTTTACATAAAGCATAAATAAGAATGAAAGGGGAGAAAGGCATAGGTTAATATTTTTCAATCTACGGTGACTGTTTACGTGAACATGACGTACCAAAAAATAAAATAAAAAGGGTAACTCAATCAATCTATGAATCCTGGATTTTATTTGATTTTATTCTTGGTTTCTGGTTCAATTTTATTTGTTATTTAATTCTAATACGTCATCTCTTTATTTTCTTTGGGAAACATTACGGACAGCCTGGCAGGACAGCCTGAAAGTATATGATATCAGTCATAATAAGGAGTTTAATGGCTATACATATTTTTTTGGGTCGGGGTCAGACTTTACAGCAATCTTACGGTAACCACGTTTCTTGGTGGGGTACGATATTTCTATCTAACCGGACTAATCAATTCTGGCTACATGTCCGGAGACCGGCGTCTTTATCTAATCCTTTAGAGAAAAATGGTGTGTCCTCAAAGAAATACAATATATTCATTGTACGCATTAGCTTTACTACTTTGTCCCTACACTTTGTATTCATTAATCTCTCACCAGGCACCTAACTTTCATTACTTAAAGAACCACAGCCTGTATTTGAGAAACTTAATAATAAGATGCTGTCTCATACGAAAAACAAATTCCGTATATTCAATTAATGGCCCTGAATATAGACTTGACAAAGAAATAATCATTAATCGCAAATACCCTATATCAATAGCCATTTATGCAAAGGACTATAAGGAGTTGTTGTCATTAGACTGTGGCGCAATCCTGTTTGATATCTTACTATTTATTGACCTGTTTACGCGTATCATGTCTTTGTCTTTCTTTCACCTAAATATTCCCAGAGTTCAGCAGCACCAGCTGGTAAGTAACCCCCATCCGCTCTTTTTCTGAAAATTACAAAAGAATGTCTTTGTTCAAATATTTTGTATCCATAGGAGCCAGATAGAGTTATTTCATGCCGAAAAAAAAAGGCTACGATTTGTGGTCCGGTAGAATAAAAATGTCGCCCCTCACCAAGAAATACCGTCCCCCCTAAACTAAGGGTACACGCTGTCCAGGCTGTCCTGCCAGGCTGTCCGCAAGGTTCTCCTTTTCTTTGTAATGCAATCATATATCAAGAAATTGTTGTAATAATTTATGCCATTCACCAGCGTACGAGGGAATTGAAAGAAAAATTACTTTTCATAGTAATTTATTCGATTCCGAATTGACAAAATTCCTAAAATAAGGACTCTAGTTACAAAAAGGAATATACTAAACGACCATACTTTAAAAAGCTCATTTTATATAGCCAAAATGAAACAAATCATTAACAAAAAAAATAAAAATGGGTAGGGTATTGTAGTAAATAATTAAAAAAAAAACAGATGCTGAATAACAATCGTAATCGTATATGTCGTGGTTCAATTCCCTCGTACGCTGGTGAATGGCATAAATCGAGCGTTGACTGTATGTTGACACCCCTTCCTCTTCTCCTCGTATTGTAAATACGGTGATTAGTAATGATGAAGCGATAAACTGTAGGCAAAAACAAAACAAAACAATGACAACAACTCGTGAAAGAAATGCCACTCATTCTTTTTATTATGTTTTGCCGTAGGCTCTGATTCTTCATCTGTTCCTTCTGACAAGTCTACCTACAATAATTGTAAGTGATTGCTTATTCGAGTGCATTGTGAAGCTGATTGTGTGAATGCTGATATTGTCTCAACCACTTAGTAAAGCCAACGAAACACTGTGTACTTGATTTATTCAACTGCATCGCATCGAAAGATGCACCAGTGAACAGATAATTATACACATTTGGTCATTGGAACAACATCGAATTATTTGACTTTGTCAAGAGCTTTATGCCGAATATAGTTGTCATTTACTCTCCCACACAAATGATTGATTGGTTGTCAAAGGATGGTTGATTTTGCTACTCACAAGTTACACGCATCGGTCGCAAAAGAGAAAAGCGACAATCTTTGTGGATTGTCAAGCAAGACCATTGGGGTGAGTATATAAATTACGGTGCATGTCACTAAAAAAAAAACAAAAGTGCAAAAACAAACAGTCTTTTTTTTTATAGATGAAGTCTTGAAAATCACCTTGAACACGAAATCGTTTTTGGACGCATCAATGGAATCACATGGTTGGATCAATGTCGGTTATGCACAAAAATCACGCACAAATGAACCTGTGAAAAACAAGATCAAGCCAATACAAAAGATGACAGATTTCCTCCTTATCAAATGTCACTGTGCGAAAGTCTTCTTATCCCCCCCCCCATGTGCTCCTCTGGATCGAAATTATGCCAACATGATACAAAGCTGTCAGGACTGGATTGTAATTGACACTCAGTCACAGTATTATCCAATCATAAGATATTGCCTTATTAAGAATGTTAATAAGCAATGACAAAGAAGTAGTTGGTAACAAATCACTTAGTAATAACTACTTAGCAAATATCGTCTCTTAGTCATTCACCAATTATATCATATATCCCAAAACATATAAATATCTCAAATATTCCAACAAATAAACATTATCTTTATCTTCATATTCGTTCTATTCATATTCTCTTATTGTGTGACTTCTCGCACATTACAAAGCCGACTCTCAATCTCATGGACAGTGTTCGCCATAAGCATAGCAATATGCAAGGTGGACAGCAACGAAACTGGAAGTTAATAGTTAGCCATTTTTCTTTATATCCGCCTAAGATTTGATTATATTTGCGAAATCAACCAACTTTTCCGTACGGCTTGTTGTGTTGGACTACACTGGCTTATCCACGGATCCCATGGATATACGAAAATTTGTCAGGTATGAAAACAATTGCCTATAAATCATGGATTTCTCGTATGAACAGCGCTCACATTTTTTATTGTATCCATAGAGAACTTAAATCAATCAAGGAACTGGCTGTATACCATGGACACAAATTCGAATCAATACCACGACAAAACGTTCTTCATGGAAATCTTATCAACAAATTTGATTGTCGGCCTGGTTGTGTCAAGCGTTCGTTGATATGAACTTCCTTATTTCATCTCACCTATCCACCTTACTCCAATGATTAATTAATGATACCAATTTTTCTATTGTTCCCGCAACTCGCAGCGTATTTTCTCACTTGTGAAAAAAATAAAAGAGAAATCCGTAAATCGTTCTGCTCTTATTCACCAACACTATATTTGCTTTCACTCTTATGTTATGCACCACATCTCATCTATTTACAGAAAATTCAAAGAGAAAAAATTACCAAAGGCAGACTTAAAACTTGGCATAAGTAATTTCCTTTTTTACATGAAATTGTGCCCAATCGTTGACGCACTTTGCCTCCACATCATCACCACCACCTTTTGCCTTCATGGAGTCTTCTTGAAGCTCACTGGGGTGCTCGAGGCTTTTTTTTTCCATGCTGCGTGAGAGATGTTTGCGGTCAGTGGCCATTACATTGGTTCCCTGTTTTGACATTTATTCTAACACTTGTAAGAATGCGAAACGAAACCTTTGAAGTGACCTTTTTCTACATTATTGCACGCTTCTGTAATTCTCTTTGATAAAGTGTCTTCCTGCAAAAACCTATGGCGCTTAATCTTACTTTTTGCTATTGCCTAGAACTGTTCTATTGGGTTAAGCTCCGGATAGTATGTAGGAAGATATACACATTTATATCCTCGATATAAAATGTATTTCCTTATGTTTTCATGCGTGTGAATGGGTGCATTATCTATGACTATATAATGACCCTTCATATGAGGGTGTTTGTCCATTTCATCGAGTCATTTTTAAGAAATTTATGTAGTGGCCAGTCACAGTCCCTGAGCTTACATACCCCCTTCCGTCTTTCTCTTCTTTGCAGGTCTTGGTTTTTTTACGCCAACTGTGATCAAACCTGCAGCTGAGATAACACCCAGTATCGATGTTGTGTTTGCTCTCGTGGTAGGCCGAGTAACAATGGCACGCGTACCTTTTTTGGACCAAGCTCTTGAGTGTTTCATATTGATATCAAAAGCTGACTCGTCAAGAAACACGTAATTCGTCAAAAGATTCGTATCAGTATTTTCCCATTTACGAACCCAATCATGTCTCTCTTCAATCTTTTCTAGGCTGTTTCTTTCGATAGAATGGAAGTCAGCTTTCTTCAAAGAAAGATTGCACTCACTTCTCATGAAATTATAAACAGTGCTACGTGAAACTTTAAGATCATTGAACCGATTCAACAAATGTTCAGTCATTTCAACAACAGCAGCAGAAGGATTAGCATCAATGAAGTCGATAACAGCAGTTTTATGCTCTTCGCTCAAGATACATTTACGACCAACCTGCTTACAAACCTCGAAAATACTATCAGGACGCATATTGTACTGCTTAATCCATCTCTGCGCAGTTCGAATGTGAATACCCAACTGCTTCACTGCAGCTGATGCGCTCATACACTTTTCAATCTTCAGGTCGAAAAATCGAGCCTTATCCTGAACGGTGTACCGCACGTAATCACGTTTTGTGTCTGCTTCTTTCATACGGATGTCTTCATCTTTTGGCTTTTCTATCAACATTGGACAAACCGATGAAGATTCACAAGAGGGCATATTTTTCAAGTACTCGCTATGAGTCGCAATCGACTCTACAATAAATTAATTCTGATCAACGATATATTCCATGGGTTCAGGGCCTCCATTCTCATCGACATTTCCATGTCCATCTTCAAATAAAAATATTGCACTCATGTTAAACTTTAAACAATTGAAGAAACGAAAAAAAAAACAGACCCAGGAGATGAAATGACCTACTTTTATATTTTTCGAGTGTTCCAAGAAATCATCGTAACACGACTTCATTTTCAAATGCACGACATGGTTCCCGGAAAGTACGAAATTGACTGTTGGAAGCACTGTACATTATATAAAATCTCAATAATTTCAATAAAGATAGATACCTAAGATACTTGTTACGTCACATTTTAATCCCCATTTGTATCTACTGATTCTTTCCGTCTTTCCTTTCCTTCCTGCTAAAGTTGTATTTTATTTTTCTTGACAAGAAAAAAAAAAAAAAAGAAAACTCAATCATGTTGCGATTCAAAAAGCATGAACAAGGTGAGTCAATCTTTCTAACCTTTATTGTTTGATATAAAAAAAAGAAGAAGAAAAGAAATCATTCATTCAACCATCTACTTACTTTTCTTAACCACTTTTTTAAATAAATGTATATGCATTCCATTTTAATTCTATAATTTCTTTTTTTTAGAGGAATCCTCTTCTCAATCTAAAGCATTGACCAATCGTGACGATCGTGATGAGGGAAAGCAAAGCAGTCGAGCACCTCACTCGTCGAACCGGTCCCGCTCTCCTCGTAGAGATCGATCGCCTCGCAAAGAACGTTCGTCTTCACGCAGGAGTCGATCGCCTCGCAAAGACCGCACGTCTTCACACAGAAGCCGTTCGCCCCGCAAAGACCGCACATCTTCGTACAGAAGTGGATCCCCTCGCCGAGATGAGCGTCGTTTATCAAGGAGATCGCGATCAAGATCTCCCAAGAAAACCAAAACTCCTCGGCCACGCAGCAAATCTCCACCAAAAAAGATTGTAACTGAAAAGGTAAGACATAAACATATATAAAAAGTTCTTTTTTTTTTTAAAAAAAAAATATACTAATACTAATACTAATACTTTTAATAATAATAATAATAATAATATTTAAATATATGTATTATAGCCTAAAATCATTCAAAAGGTTCAACCTAGATATAGTTTGATTGAATTAGAGGTCAATGATAGATTGGGCAAGAAAGTTCGTGTGAAATGTAGTCCCTCAGACACGGTTGGCGACTTTAAGAAATTGGTCGCAGCTCAGATCGGTACAGAACCTCAAAAGATCGTACTGAAGAAGTGGTACAAGGAATTCAAGGATCATATTACATTGAGTGATTGTAAGTTTTATTGATTTGTTCTTTTATATATATATATTTACTTGCTTGATATTTTTTTTATAGATGAGCTCAACAATGGAATGAACTTGGAATTGTACTACAGATAAAAACACATTCATTCATAAACATTCAACACATAATACACAACATAAGCTGTCTATTCATCATATTTGAATTTGCATCCCATTTTCATACACATACATACATTTCAATATTCATTTTTGTTCTTTTTTCATCTATAATTTTTTTTGATCATTATTATCATTATTATTATTATTGTACAAATAATTATCGCAATGATTTTACGTATAGATGTTGTTAGTCCAATCTCTGGTCAAGATAGAATTGGGACCAGAAGAGATTAGGACAATAAAATATTATCCAGATCATTAAAAAAAAAAGAATCAATTATTAGATACATTTTATGCTCTTTCACTATCAATTCTTTACTTCCAATTCTTTCAAAGCGATATATGCGTTTATATTTACATTTGCATTTTAAAAAAAAAATCTTGAAAGCAAGAAAAAGGTTCATGGTAACTACAATTGGAAAAAAAAAGAAAAGAAAAAAGGTGCTACTTTTGTTCTTTCTATTGTTCTGATTTTCAATGCGATATATAAATAACGATGACCGCTATATGGTACCGGTGCCAAAGGGGAGTATTTAATCCGAAAAATAAATAAAGGTCCTCTTTTATTTATTTACTACTTGCTCAAAAAAATAATAATACCATAGTGTGTATATATGTCAACAACATATTAGGCTTAATTTTACCCCGAGTTTGTCTGGCTTTTGTTGTCATGGAAACCATAAAAAAATAAAAGTTTGTTGAGAAAATTAAAGTATTTATTTATTTATTAAAATAAAATAAAATAAATCCTTGGCATATGTTAGATCAAACTGTATTTATCCGGTTAGAAAGAAAAGAAAGAGAAAAATGTGGAGTATATGTGAATTACACAAAGTCCTCCCCCAGTCTTTATCTGTGCGGGAGTCGATCGAAGAAATCAAATTATAGAGATACGCTTCTTAAAGAAGAATGGATATATCTGTATCTATAAGAAAATTATTTATAGACGCATCATTAAATTAGCCTTTTTATTTTTATTTTATTAATTGTACTTTAACAATTTCACAAGTATAGGTCTTTATTACTATCGAGCCGTATACTTTATAGACTATTGGCCCTGAAAAAGCCTTTATATATATATATATATTCAAAATGTGATCTTGATGATCAAGGCTCTTGTTTCAAACAAATTAGGTTTGATCTGTAAACCCAAGCCTGCCCTGTTTTTCTTTTCTTTTTCTTTCCTTTGACATTCAAGGGTGCGTCACTGGTTTTTTTTATATTTGAGAATTAAAAGTATAGAATATAATAGAATATAAAGATGTTGTTATTTGACATACAGTCGTTCCAACGCCAAAAGGCGGCTTTTTAAATGAAAAGGCGGTTAATAAATATTTCTAAAGGGCGGCTTTTCAATTCCCAAAAGGCGGCTTTTTTTAATTCAAGGGCGGTTTTCGATAATCCAAAGGGCGGTTTTTTTAGACCTTTTCTTTTTGTTAAACTTCGTTTTTTTTTTTTCAAATAAATATGAAGACTACTCGCTTTTATTATGAAGACGGCCAGGGAAAATTGGTTGATGAGGAAGGAAACGATGCGATGGACTGGGTTGAGGAAGCTACTCCTTTTCACTTAAGAACTCTGACTCGTATCACAGAGTATTGTAGAAAGCAAGAGGAAGAGGGGGTTTCCTCTGAAGATTCCTTGGGAAATCTTGATGCTGATATGGAGGAAGTCATAGCTATAGTTAAGAAGCAGAAAAGACTTCATCACAAATACTCAAACGAGCAAAAGCTCACTTTTGTGTATTATAACCGAATTAAATTATTTAACACAGCTAAGTCAGGGTGCTTAGCAGGCGGCATAGCCAAGAGAACAGCACAGAAATGGGCCAAGAAACTCAAAGAGGATAAGGATTGGAACATATTTGAAAAACAAACCAATTTGGTCAATAGACTAAAACCACAATTGGATGAGAGACATAAGGTTCACCTGTTAGAATGTTACAATAATTGTCCACAAGCACAGGTGCTTGATGCAATGGAATCACTCACTCAAAAATTCTCTGATCTGACTGTGAAGAAAAGTACTGTTCACAACTTTCTTAAGAATGAGTGCAACCTTTCTTTTAAGAAGTTAACACACTTGCCGGTTGCTAGAAATAATTCAGATAAGATCCAAGCTCGTAAAAATTGGGTCATCAAGTGGACTGCTACTGATATGAATTATTTGGAAAACTGTGTATTCGTGGACGAGTCTGCATTTGATAGAAACATGAGACCTCCTAGCGAATGGTCTGTAAAAGGAACACCCGCTATTACGACCACTCCAACCACTAAAGCTGTGTCTCATACTGTATTAGGCGCCATATCAACAAAGTTTGTTGTTGCTATAGAACTCCGTAATCCTCAAGAAGAAAGCTCTAAGAGAATTAAAATTGTTCACAGTGGTAGTAAAAGAAAAGCACCTACTGAAAAAAAGAAAAAATCTGGGGGTACAGAAACTGGTCACTACGTTAGGTTTCTCAAGAAGTGCATGGATGAAATGGATTTGTATCCAGAACTAAAAGGCCATTATATTGTGATGGACAATGTGCCCATACATACTGCTGACCGGATTGATGAAATGATTACTGAAAGAGGTTACAGAAGCATCTACCTCCCTCCTTATTCCCCCGAGCTCAACCCAATAGAGAATTTCTGGTCCATTGTCAAAAATAAGGTAAAACGAAGTTCGTTTAAAGATGCTGAAGATCTAGCCACTCGTATCGCTGAAGCTTGCAATAACATCCCTCCCGAGCATTTGAATGCGTTTGCTCAACACTCTGGTAATTGCTTTGATATCTGCTTGCGCGGAGACCCTTTATAAAGCTTTTTAATAAAGATATAACTATTTGATTCTAAAACAATAAAACAAACTTTGAAGTGAAAAACCGAAATTTGAAAAATTGAAAGGCGCCTTTTGGGTTTAAAAAAACTGCCCTTGAATTAAAAAGAGCCAATTGAACAGTTCTGGGCATCGGCAAAAGGCAAAGTGAAGTGCCACAAGCTTGAAGATAATTAAAAAGGACAGAAATTATGTGCGTTCTTGTTCTTTGTACACTTTTCACCCACCCTCCTCTTAAATCAAACCCATAATCAAACCCATTTGGATCTGGATCTTCATGATCTGGATCTTCAATTTGGAAATTATAATTAAACGCCTTACAGCACTTATAATTTATTCCTATTATTGTTTTTACTTTTATTCTTTTTATATTTTCTATGAGACAACACAAGTCTTCTTTACAAACTTTAATAACTGCAGCCATGTTGACGGTACCAAAATCGAAATGCAAGCAATGTCTTAAGCCCATTCATTCCACAAGAAATAAAATAAGGCTCTGTCAAGACTGTAGGAAAATACCAATGGAGAACCCGCAAGCCTTCAGTTTTGAAGAAGGTTCTGAGCAAGCTTTAGGCACGCAAGGTCAAACTGTTAGTCAAAGAAAAAGATCACATCATTTTGTACATTCTGTGGACTGTCAACCATTCAGCTTGGAGGTATTTGATTGCAATAAACGTACAAAGCTTTCAACAACGTTTGCTTTGATGACAAACGATTCTGCCCTTAGTCTTACTTCTTTGATTGATTTCCAAAATAATATCACGTCTGGTATTTTTGACGGAAGGGTTTCTTTCTCATCAAATGATACAATCGAACCAGTGTTAAAAGACAGTGCTTGTATCTCTGCCAAGCTCGAAATGACTGTACGCACCTCTACTGTTCCAAAACTCTTGCAGGAGCTAGGGCCATATCAAGAAATTGATGCGATGGTACTAGACTTACTAAACTACGATTTCCGGCTCAGATCTGAATTGATTGAATTAATACCACCATTATTCTGCAGTGCATTGCTTCACGATAGCATCACTTTACTTATTATTACGTGCGAAGTGTACAGCCATCACTCTTCAGTTGATATACACTCCGAGTCAACTGAATCCTCTGTTCCCAGCGAATCCTCCAGATACAAGAATCACATGTCCTGTACTACATATGAAAAATCGGATGGTGGTGCTATGAAACTGAAGCTTATCATTGGAACAAAGACCGTCAACCTTTTGATTACTTGCTCTGCTGAAATATCAACTGAACCTAAAATCAACATTGGACCTGGTGTAGAGTTTGGTCATGGTTCAATCACGGACTCAAATTGCAAAATCTACTTGATGAAATCAAAAGTTGAAGAATTTTTAAAAATGTTTGAGACCTTCAAATTAAATCCTTTACACGTCAATATATCAAATTTGAGACAAATTACATCGAGTTTCAGCAAATGCTCATCTTATTTACTATGGAGATCTACATTGCAAGAATTTGACAGTAGTATCTACTTGCTGGCAACAGTGTTCACTCTTTGTGACTTACCAAACAAAGATGGATATGGCGTTGAAGCAACATCTGGTGCTAAACTTGGTTCTCAAATATTACAAATACTTGCAAAAGCGATATTAGTCAACAAAGGTGTCATCCAGCCCAGTGATTTCTATAACGTTTTATTGGAGTATGAGAGTATAATGAAACAAAAATGCGATGTAAAAGAGTGGTTCTCGATCATTAAAGTATTGGATGGAATAACTGCAAGTCTAATTTCTAGTGAATTGAGCGTACCCTCCTTCTGCAACAACAATGGTGGATCAGTCAGTGAAGTCGCCAATAAATTAAGCAGCTCAATTTCCACAGCAAATAATATGATTGCAAAAAATGTCAAGAAGAAGTTATTACAATTATACCAGTAGTCATTAAATGCATATTATATTAGTTAATAAAAAAAATAACGAGATTACTTTATTCCAGCCGTTATAACTTCCATTGAGCCTTTGACTGAAGGATAAACCACAATGCTTCATTTACCCCCATTAGTAAAATAGCATCAATTTATCCATTTTCAATACGTACAACCCAATCATTTATACAATCGTCCACGTCATATGTTGATGCTTCTTGTCTCCACTGCACATTAGAATAAAAGGAAGAGTTCAATTACCCCAACGCTAAAATATTATTTCCTTTGTCAACAACCAAACATATGTTTTCTTTTCACCATCATATCTCAGGGCCAACCTTTAATTGCAACCATTTATTAGCTCGCGAGCTCCAAATATTTGTAGTGTAAGACATTTAGTTTTTTACAATCGCAGTATAAGAAATAAGAATATCACGCTGAAGAAAAAAGCACTGTTTAAAAAGCACTAATTTCAAACAATAATGACCAGTCTTGAATAAAACAAGTGCCGGAGTACTAATTCACACACTCATGGCTACACTTGAATGAAATCAGTACTTGAGTACTGATTTCACACAGTCACAGCTGCGCTCAAATGAAATCAGTACTTGAGTACCGATTTCACACATTCATGGCTGCGCTCGAATGAAATCAGTACTTGAATACCGATTTCGCACATTCATGGCTGCGCTCAAATGAAATCAGTACTTGAGTACCGATTTCACACATTCACAGCTGCGCTCAAATGAAATCAGTACTTGAGTACCGATTTCACACATTCACAGCTACGCTTGAATAAAATACC